CAGCAATCTAGCACTATTCAGATCATCCTTCCTTCCACCAACACAATTTATGGCAACACCACCAACATAAACCAACACCACCAACATAATCAAGGGCTTTGTTCCCACTCCAGTCTGTCAAATCAATATATATATATATATATATATATATACAAAACCAGACCCCCCCCCCCCTCCTTCGATCAATGGTGTCTTGTGTAAACTTGAGGTTTCACTTTGAAGACTCTTGTCCTATGGTCTTTTTTCCAGAACGTGTCCATCTGTGAGGACAAAACCAGACCCCCCCCTCCTTCGATCAATGGTGTCTTGTGTAAACTTGTGGTTTCACCTATATATATATATATATATATATATATATATATATATATATATATATATATATATATATATATATATATATATATATATGTATATATATATATATATATATATATGTATATATATATATATATATATATATGTATATATATATATATATATATATATATATATATATATATATATAAGTGAAACCTCAAGTTTACACAAGACACCATTGACCACACCAAGACCATAGGAGAAGAGTCTTCAAAGTTTTCCAGGCCAGCCACCAAACTGATGGCGAGATGCAGCGAGGACTCCCTAATTATATATTTTGTGTGAAATTGTGTTCTATCAAACTGGTCCTATAGTCACTGTATTACATGTGGAGTAATGTGACAAAAGTAATTTCTCCCTGGGATTATTAAAGTATCTCTGATTCGGATTACTCATTGATGGGACAGGTGTTGTGAATGAAATGGTGCCCAGCTTGAAAGAGCTCCCTTTGTGTCGCTGAATGTGTGCATTGATCATGGGTGGTTCCAGACAGGGGCCAACGGGGGCCAGTTCCCCTGTTGATCATGTCCTGGCCACTGTTATGGCCCCTCTACTGAAGACATAATACTCAAATAAACTCTAATGATGATATGTGCTGGAACAGACATGGTTACTGATAGGTCCTTTGGATCTATTTAATTTCTTTTCTGTACAAATTCTGTTTTACTAATTATTTAAAACAATAGGGTGATGACTTCAGTGGGATTAGGGTAGGATCCCAGTTTTCATCTGCTAAATGTTTTTTTCAAAACAAAAGCTCAAATTTTTATGGCTGAATTTATCAATTTTTCTTGAGTTCTCATTCAGATTTTAGAGCAAATGGTAATTTTAACCTAAATTAAGTCAAAAATATGTAAAATTCCTAATTTATGTATGTTTATTGATCTAATAGGAAATAGAATTTTAATTAAACCTAATCGAATAGAAATTTCACTTCATGCAGCTCTCTTAATATATTTGAAACCCTTGCCCTGTTTTTTTTTTTATTTCATGCTTTTCTGGGCCCCCATTAAAACACCCTGGCCCCCTCCTGGCCCCCTGGTACATTTGGTCTAGAACCGCCACTGGCATTGATGAAAGACATCTTCTGCCTCCATTTATCAGTTTACTACAGTGTGTTGAATTCCTGTTAATGTGTATTTAAAAATGTTTCAGTTAGTGGAAAAAATTGCAGGGGGGAATATAAAAAAAGGTGTAATCAACCAAAACTTTCGTGTACCTCTGTGGACCCCGTAGGGGTCACGGACCCCCTGTTGAAGACCTCCACCATAGGAGGCTCCAGTCTGCAACGACTAAAGAAGTATAACCTGAAACAGAAACTGCTGTTCATCTACTACTCTATTATCTGTCTTGTGCAATAAAATTTCTGAGACTGGCCTAAATCCTACACAAACTGCTTCCAGTTACCTTCAGCTCAGTGCTTAAGAGCCAAAATGAGCAACAGCAGACAAAGTTTCTCTCTCAAGGCTGAAGGAAATTTTAATCAGCATCTTGGTCAAAGTTATACATATTTGCACTAAATCAACCGTTGCCTGTTCTTTTTGTAAAAAAACAAAATACGGTGTGAATATTGAAACCTATTCAATACATTTAAATACTATTAGTTTATTTGTTTTAATTATCTTACTAATTCACATGCTTTTAATCATACAAAGACTTTTTTCAAGCCTTTTTTTCCTTCTGATCATTATGATTTTCTGCTCAGCTTCTGAATAAAATTCTATAAAAAAATTGATGAAATGCTTCCAGTTTTTTATTTGCATTTCAAATGTTTGTTCATTAAAAGCAAAATTGAAACAAAGTAAACGTCCTTGTTTCTGTGCAGCACCTTGGCCGATGAAGCTCCCTCTAAATCATTTAAGTTGGTATCTGTCAACTCTGCAAAAAGCACCAAGATCATTTTTATTGACAAAGGTATCACTGTGCTTTATTAGCCACCAGATTCCAGAAGACGGATACCTAAAAACTAGCATTTGCTAGCATGTGAGCTAATTTGAACTGTTGTTTTTTTTTAGATCTTAAAGGTATAGTGGAGGATGTTCTTTTTCTCAGTGGATCATCAAAATAAGTGGTCCTCCTAATTGTCAATCATTCTGGTGATATGTTCACCAGAAAGAAAAACTTTCTACATGCTCGTCCACATTTTCACTTACCGGTAGTGAGTCTGACATAGTGGAAAAATTGCAAACCTTCCTTTGGAAAGTAGCTTGTATGAGCGATACAAACTGCAACTTTTAAATAGATCATGCACGAGGAGAAATGGGCTATCGCTCACGTTAAATTGGCCTTCCCTCTCTGGTGCGGGTACAGGGTTGTGCATGTTAATTTTTTTTTTTTTTTTTAAGTAGAGAGGGCCAGTCTATTCAAAAATTTGCAAAAATCCTTTACTATACCTTGAAGAACTTAATGGTTATGATGCTTCAGTCACTGTGAGGTCGAATGTTGCACATTCAAAAGCTGTTACTGTCTCCTTTGGAGTAATATGTAAGGCATCATGTTCAACACTGACTGATGGTTTGGGTGCATCTATTAACAGAGTAAGAGACTGTTGAAAGTTGCTACAAGGCGTCCAGAGGGACAGTTAAAAAACATCACTTCCCAAAAAAGGAATCCAAAACAGATTGTAAGTAAAAGAATGGAGAGCAGGAGACTGATGCTGCTTTATTTCTCTGATGAATCTTCCTGGTGGATTGGAACATCAATTCCGCCTGAAAAATAATTCAAAGAGCTAAAACGTGTGTCTGTTTTTGTACTAACTATAGTGGATTTCATGACTGAGTACAGTAACTGCTTCTACCCTCCAGGAACAATTTGTTGATTTGTGTATTTTCCAGTGTAATGAGTCACAATAACACATTAAAGTGGTTCAAAGATGGTTTCATTGTTCTTTGTGAGGATTTTCTCACTGTATAAAATGTTTTCAGTACTCTTTATTCAAGTTTCTGTTTTTATGTTATGTTACTTATGGAACAAGATTATTCACATTCCAGGCAGATAAAGCTTTCACTGAACCATTTTTGCATTTTGCATTGCGGTATTTATGGATAGGAGAACAATTCTTTGTGGAGGGGCTCTAGGTTGTGACGAAGGCAGGGTGGCTGTCCGACCTCAAAGTTTCTTAGATTGAAGTTTTGACTTAAACTCAACAGGATATATCTGTTCAGAAAAAAATAACATTAAGCAAGTAGAACTTTAGGGTGCCGTTTAATATTATTTACTGGCTTGGAGTAATCAGGAACTATTTTATGTAATTGAACCTAATGAAGCGCTCTGAAACAGAATGTTTTTGAATATTTGTTAAATTTGCAATAGAAGCTAACTTTTAATTATTTTTCTCTCTCATTTTACCATTAATGCAGTAAAATTTTAGATTCCGGCTTTAGTGTTTAGCTTTATACAATTTTACCTTTTCTATGTTTTCTGACTTATTGTCAGATTTTTTTTTTCTACTCTTTCTGCTAAACATCAGGTATTGGTCAAAGGCTCTAGGGTTAATTAACATTGCTTAATCATAGTAACCTAAACTTCCATCAGACCTAAAAAGAAAATTTCAAGGTGGTCTTGGGAAGATGGTTAACAATGGGATTCATGGACAACCTGAGAAGAAAAGGGAAAGCAAAGCCATTCACTTGGCTTTTTCATTTTTCTCAGATTGATTGGTTTAAAGCAGTGCTTTACATGTCCTTTTAAACTCATCCAGGACGATAATATGCACAAAAGATTATAGTCCTTTCATCTGCTGTTCCTTCACCTTCATCTTTTTATAGACACAATCAAGCAATGTGCTACTTTTAACAGCAATAATGAATGACAAATTTTAGGAAAAAATTTCAACTTAATTTCATTTCCCTTAGGATAAATAATGTTGTTTTTTTATTGAATTGAAATATTCAACCCACCTTGGAAATCTGAACCAATCCTGCAAGTCATGGTTACAAGAGTGGAAAGATTATGAGGTGGTAGCTACAAGTGATGAGGAGTTCATTAGATAACGGGTGTAAGGTTATAGGCTGCAGCCAGAGAAAATGCCACAGATGGCTGCTTGGCAATGGGGAGAACGTCAGAAGTGTAGGAGAGACGGGGGCTGGAGTTCACTGATGATGCATTTGCAGCTGGAGACACATTTACATTAAAGGGGAAGTTTTTCCGGATGTATGACAGGTCTGAAGATGAAGATTATAAAATGCAAAGAAAGTAAAAAACCAGGAGTGTTTGTTTTTAGTTTACACTTTGATAGTTGGATTTAAACTCCAGTCTGATCAAGAGTATTTTACAAAAACTGTCCAACCATCAGGCTTAGAAAAATAAAAGCTTGCATATTTACTTACTTGGTTGTGTCCCTTGCGTTTTCCTTGCCTTGCATCTTTGACTTTGCAGCAACCTTCTATACAGATCATGCATGTAAACGTTTCACACCACTGATTATATTTTATTTGTGATTCCTGGATCCAATAGAGGGTCAGGAATCCCTCTTCATGGCACCTTTGTATGGCTTTAAGATGTGTTTTAATATGGTTCAGAACATATATGTTTTAATTTATTGCTCCTCTCTGCTACCGTACATTGTTCTTACAGGATAAATCCAAAAATGTATATAAGAACACATAGAGTTTTTTTATTTTATTTTTATTGGAACCATTCTTCTTAGTGACAAAAACATCACACATACAACTTTATTAATATATACTAAACAGGTATATAGGACAAGCTCTCATTTGATCAGTAATGTGCTGGCCTCTTGAAGCTGTTTTGCTATCATTGAGCTATAAGTGGAGGCTATAGGCAATTACAATTTACAATCACATTGTTGTATTGTTTACTGGCCACAGGCGTATGTGCAGAAATAATACTTGAGATCCCCTACCTGCTCTTTGACGTCACAATTAATGATATAATTGTTGCCAGTCGGGACTCTTAAAAGTAGAAACAATAACTTCCAGCGTCTTCAGTAGCTTCTGTCTCGGCTCCTGTTGGGTCCCCCTATTCTTTTATATCAGCTTCCTGTCTTGAGTCGCGCCAGAGGAGCAGATCTAGTTGGCTGCATGCCCAAACCCTAGATGAGAGACCAAAACACAGAGTCATATAAGTCAAATGTATTTACTCTCACAGCCCATAATTCATAAACGGTGAATCCCCCCCGAATCTAATTATTTTTCCCATTTTTGATCATTATTTATTGAAAGCATTGAGACTTATCTGTTGTATTATATGTTAGTTGCAGTTGATACCAAATTCAAGCACCTGCCCCCGTTCCTAACCAGGAGTCACTGTGGCTGGACACCCCTGCCCCCGCAGCCCCCGCTCATCCCTCACCTCCCACTCTGAAACTCTGCTCTAGTCATGAAGCATGGCTGAAAGCACGTACCTTGTCTCCCTCTTTCTCTCTCATGTTGGCTCAAACATAAGCAAACAGTCCTTTGAGCAAACAGTGCAACAAAGCTGTCAACACTCTCTTCATTTTAGCACAAGAGACAAATCTAATTTTGACTGAGCAGACAGCTGGAGAGATTCGCTTTTTAGAAATATATGCTATATAGGCATGCAATATATTTATTCAATAAACACATGTATTTGAAATTCATTGAAGCCATCATAAATGGGAAAAAGTTGAATTTTTACTTGTCCTGGTCAGACGCATGCATCTGATCACTCATATGTCCCTATATAGAGATGTTAACTCAGTGACTTTCTGCTGCTTCCAAGTATCCCTGTATGAGTAATGCCATGTGTGTTATATGCAAACATTTACTTTTACTACTATAAGTTGCTCTCGGGAAGACCCCTACCCCCCAAACCCACCCCCTTCACCCTGGAGGACTTTCAGGAAATGTCGATATGTTTCCTTTTTTTCTGGCTCCGCACTGACTGTCAGAGGTCAGAGTAAGGACAAGTGATATGAATAAATAATAAATATAACTACTGCTTAATCTTATTTTCTAAATCAGCACTGGCGTAATAGATATTTCTAATTTAATATTGTTAATTTATTTTCAGTGAAAGTTTAGATTTTTTTGCATTTATTCTAATAGAAGTTTTGCTTATGAAAAGCAGTGCTTTAATGGCTTTTATTTGTCACAGATCTGTTTGTGGTGAAAACTGGGAAATAATGTATTTGAATGCAGCAATAGCTAGTGAGGAAATTTGTTTTAGTGGGGACACAGATATAAAAAAAGGGGCTCCAGCTACAAAATTAGGTGTTACTATTTTATATTTTGCAACTATATTAACATAGCAGCTTTTCTCAGCCTCAACAAACACAAATTTATGTCATAATAATATAATATTGTTTAAGAGTTTTTGTATTCAATAACGAATGTTTTCTGCAACGTATGTTTTAGTCAATCATTTTAGCAAAAGTAGAAAAAGTTTACAAATAAAAATTGAGATTTATTGCACAATATGTTAGAACCTACCCAGGGCAAAAAAAATCTAAGTTGGTTGTTCATGAAGGACTGAAACCATGAATATTAATTTGAAAGTTGAGAGGGAAGATGTGTTAGAAAAAGCTGCACAAGCAGGGCGGATGTGCTTTCAAGGTGTGGATAACAGCTTGTGTGTTTTCTTCAGTGGGTGAAACAGTCACATTACTTTGTCAGAAGGGTCTTGCCTTGTGAGAAAAGAGACTTGATGGTTAAATGGTTCAATAGCATTTTATAAGATTAAAGTACAAATTCTACTTGATTGGAGAATCAGGCTCCAGGGTCTGAAAGAGAGCAAAGGTGCTAAATCCAGTTTGCTCCAGGTCCAGAGTTCAGAACTGGATTTTCCAGCAAACTGAGTTTTGCTACATTCACTCCCAAATCAGCTTCTCTGATTGGTTGATGTGGTGAGTCGAGCAGCAAAAGTAACATTTTTCAAACTCCAGCAGCTGCTGCTTATGAAGCGCGTCACGCGTGTAAGATGCTCAGAAAGCTCACAAAACTAACAAAGATCACGAAGCACTGCTTCAGCTCCTCCTGCTTTTCAAAAGGCGCTGCGGGACCTTTTGCTGCGCCAAGATGTGCATCAACCATTGACTTTGCATGTAAATTAGCTGCTTCTGCTGCCTGTGCTGCTTGCGGTGTGAAAGTAGCATTACCCTTTACCCCAAAGAAAATGTTGGGGTTACTTTGAACAGTAAGGTAAGGGACATCAACCCCAACAAAAAAGCACATTTAAAGCAAACCCTCAGCAGAGCAACCTGCTAATAGCTCCCACCCTACATTATACAGTAATCTATTCAAATGGAAATCTGAACTGATCTTGTATACTTTGTTGTCCAAAGGACATCCCAGTTGGGCTGCCCCTGGGCTTTAACCTTATTATGGTGGAGGAGTTTGAGTGTCCCAATGATCTTAGGAGCTATTCTGTCTGGGGCCTTTATGCCCCCTAATAGGGTCACCCAAGGCAGACAGGTCCTAGGTGAGGGGCCAGACAAAGAGCAGCCAATAGACCTCTTAAGATGAGCAAGACAAATGGATCTAGTGTTCCCTCGCCCAGACGCAGGTCACCAGGGCCCCACTCTGGAGCCAGGCCTGGAGGTGGGGCACGCTGGAAAGCACATGGTGGCCGGGCTTTTACCATGGAGCGCAGCCGGTTACAGTCCAAAGAGGAAACATGGGTCCCCCTTCCAATGGTGGTGAGTTGGCTCCTATGGAGGGGGAGGTCAGACCTGGTAGGCCCAAACGTATTGTGAGGGTTTTCTGGGAATGTCTGACAAAGTCCCCCGTGAGGAGCAGCTTTAACTCCCACCTCCGGGAGAGCTTTGAACACGTTTCGAGGTAATGTGGGGAACATTGAGGTTGAGTGGACCATGTTCCGTGCAGTTAGTCAGAGCTGTGGCTGTAAGTTTTTCAGTGCATGTCGTGGCGGCAACCCTCGAACACGCAGGTGGACACCAGTGATGAGGGAAGCTGTCAAGCTGAGGAAGATGTCCTATCGGGCTTTATTGACCTGTGGGACTCCAGAAGGATCTGATGTGTACCGGCAGTCAAAGCGGCAGGTGGCCCAGCTGGTCGCTGAGGCAAAAACTGGGGCATGGGAAGAGTTTCGGAGAGGCCATGGAGAAAGACTTCCGTACGGCTTCGAAGTGATTCTGGTCCACTATCCGTCGTCTCAGGAGGGGGAAGCAGTGCAGTACCAACACTATTTATAGTAGGTGTGGTGTGCTGCTGGCCTTGACTCGGGATGTCGTATGTCAATGGGCTGAGTACTTTGAAGACCGTTGAGGAAGCAGAGCCTGGGTGATACGGGTCCGGTTCTTCCATCTCTGGTGCTGAGGTCACTGAGGTGTTTAAAAAGCTCCACCTGTGGCAAGACCCCAGGGGTGGATGAGATTTGCCCTGAGTAACTTAAGGCTCTGGATATGTGGGGCTGTGTTGGTTAATGCAACTCTGCAACATTGCAAGGTCATCTGGGGCAGTTCCCCTAGATTGGCAGACTGGGTCAGTGGTCCCTTCTATTTAAAAAAGGGGACCAGAGGGTGTATTCAAACTACAGAGGTATCACACTCTTAAGCCTCCCTGGTAGGGTCTATTCCGGTGTTCTGGAAAGGAGAGTCCCTTGGATAGTCGAATCTCAGATTCAGGAGGAGCAGTGTGGTTTCTGTGCTGGCCGTGGAACACTGGATCAGCTCTACACCCTCAGCGGGATCCTGGAGGGTGCATGGGAGTTTTACCAACCAGTCTACATGTGTGGATCTGGACAAGGCATTCGACCAGGTCCCTCTGGGGTACTCTGGGGGGTACTCCGGGAGTATGGAGTACCAGGCCCTTTAATAAGAGCTGTTAGGTCTCTGTACGACCGGTGTCGGAGCCCGGTCCGCATTGCCGGCAGTCGGACTCGTTTCCGGTGAGGGTTGGACTCTGCCAAGGTTGCCCTTTGTCAATGATTCTGTTCAAAACTTTTATGGACAGAATTTCTAGGCGCAGCCAAGGTGTTGAGGGGATCTGTTTTGGTGGCCTTAGGATTGTGTCTCTGCTATTCGCAGATTATATGGTTCTATTGGCTTCATCGGGGCGTGATCTACAGCTCTCACTAGAGGGGTTTACAGCTGAGTGTGAATCGACCATGGTCTTGAGCCGGAAAAGGGTAGAGTGCCTTCTCCAAGTTGGGGAGGATGTACTGCCCCTAGTGGAGGAGTTTAAGTACATTGGTGTCTTGTTCACGAATGAGGAGAAGATGGAGCAGGAGATCGATAGGTAGATTGGTGTGGCATCTGCTTTCAAGCATGCGTGTACCGGTCTGTTGTGGTGAAGAGAGAGCTGAACCAAAAAGCAAAGCTCTCGATTTACCAGTCGATCTACGTTCCTATTCTCATCTATGGTCATGAGCTTTGGGTCATGACCGAAAGAATGAGATCCCGAATACAAGCGGCCGAAGTGAGTTTTCTCTGTTGTGTTTGGGCTCTGCCTTAGACATAGGGTGAGGAGCTCAGTCATCCGGGGAGGACTCAGAGTAGAGCCGCTGCTCCTCCACATGGAGGGGAGCCAGTTGAGTCTCCCTGGTGAGGTGTTCCAGACACGTCCCACCGGAAGGAGGCCCAGGGGGAGGCCCAGGACATGCTGGAAGGACTATGTTTCTCGGCTGGTCTGGGAGCGCATTGGGGTTGCCCCGGAGGAGCTGGCCGAAGTGGCTGGGGAGAGGGACGTCTGGGCCTCCCTACTGAAGCTGCTACCCCCTCGACCCGACCTCAGATAAGAAGATGGATGGATGGACATCCCAGGTTTAAATGTTCTGTTTAATTTACGAACACTAATTCAGTAAGGTCTGGTTAAACACCTTTAAAAATTGTTACTTTTAACTTACTCAAATAGTTAAACCAACTAATTCAAATATCTATGGACAATTAGTTATTTCATCACTATGGAAGACTTTGTTTTAGGTTTTAAACAAGCTTATATGGATTAGAAGGTTTTTTTTCTCTACATAGTAGCTGGGAAAAAGTTAATTTATACAGCTTTCTGTCTATTATTGTGCTTCCTTAATCTAAAATTGTTGAAATTCAATTTCACATTTGAAAAGACATGCAGGTCAAAGTAAATTTAGTAAAGTCTTCACTCTAAAGTAATCTTTTTAAATATCATTTCCAGGCTGGTGCTAAGAACAGTTTTGTTACCTGGATACACTGATGCACTGGATATAAACGTTTAGCCCTTAGAGCCAGGTTTTTAAAGTGTTATGCAAACCACTACATGCATTTTTTTCCAAATCATATCTTTTCAAGGACTTTCATTGAAGTGACATGAGTTGAGGCCACCCATTTATAGTTTATTTTACTATAAACGGGATCATAATTTACAAGTTCATAATCTCTTTCTTGTTTTGTAATTAAAGAAAAAAATTGTTTGGATGCATCTGATTTTGTCTCATTTTCGACCCCCTGGGTTTGTCTTTCCTTTAATTTTGCTCTGTCACAAGAACTTTTGTTTTGGAAAGATGTTCGACCACCAGCAGTTTCAAAGGATGATACCGCAATTTTGATAGTGTTGACATAAACAGTAAGAGAACAAAAGCAAGACTGCCCCTTTAAGTCTAGTCACTTTGTAATTCTTTTTGATCATCAATTTCTTTTAAATAACGGGTCATCCATCATAAAAAATATACATATATAAAAATTACATTAAAAAATTATAACGGTGACATCATGCATCTCAGTGATCAAGCAGCATGTGTAGTCCTCAATGCTGTCGATAACAAATTGCTTTAATCCAAGCAACTTCACTGTACCTTTAGTCTAGTATGCTCAGGACCAATCACCGGAATACAGTTCAATAAACAAAAAATGTGGTTCCTGTAAACAAAAAATTGAGACCAACATACAAACACAAAACCACATGCAGAGATAAAAAGAGATGAGAAAAGATCTAAACAAAGAACATATAGCGGAGCAAAGTAGAGACATGATACAGAAATAGCCCGCTGCAAATACATGGCTATAATATGCAAATGCAAATACGTGGTTGACAGTGGCAGGAGGCTCCTCTGGTGCGGGAGTTTGCTCTGCAATCGAAGGGTTGTTGGTTCAAGGCCCTGCTTCGTCTTTCAGTGTTGTTGTATCCTTGGGCAAGACATTTCACCTGCATTGTCTACTGTTGGTGGTCACTACTGGTGGCGCCAGTGTACGGCAGCCTTGCTTCTGTCAGTGAGCCCAAGCGCAGCTTTGGCTACAATGTAGTTTGCCACCATGAGTGTGTGTGAATAGGTGAATGACTGAATTTAATGTAAAGTGCTTTGGTCAAGTCTTCTGACTTGAAAAAGCACCATATAAGTTGCCTCGTCTGTTCCTGTTTGGCTGTGACACCATCCTGGAGAGAAACATTAACACCTTTGTTTATAGATGTTGGGGATCGGCCTGTTTTCCAGTGTAGTCCTGTTTCTCTGACTTTGACTGGCTGGATGTTCTCTCTTCATCCTCTGACATTGGAGCTGGCTCAGAGCTCATCTGCCTGGCTGTGGGTTTCCTGGACGGGGCCGCCTTTTACAGTTGCCTTTTGTATCTCTGCATCTCCTTGAACGCTGAGCCTGGATCTGCTGGAGGTTTCTTCCTGTTAAAAGGGAGTTTTTCCTCTCCGCTGTCGCTACAAGCATGCTTAGTGTGAGGGATTGAATTCGAGTCAATGAGTCGATGCAATCAACTGGCTTTCCTTAGATAGAAATTTTTTTTATCAGTCTGACTGTATGATCTGGTGAACTGTAAAGTGCCTTGAGATGACGTGTTTTGAATTGGCTCTATATAAATAGTCTAAATTGAACTGAATAAGTAGAGGCCATTGTCCATAAATAATGCTAACACATAAAACACATGCAAAGGAGAAAGGCTTTGAGTAGCAAAAACAACTACAAGTTAAGAAAAGTGGCAAATTAGCAACACATAAGTGAAGTGCTCTAGATCTCTGCGGGCAAACGATGATCAAACCACATGGAATCAGAACCTCTTTAAAGGAACAAACAAGTTGTCCGGAGCACTTCTATTATGCGTGGTCTAGTTTGCAGCTTTTCAGGATTAGCAGTTTGTTTTTTCTCCATTTTCCCTTTGCATGTGTTTTGTGTGTTTTAATCATTTATGTAATTGCAACAAGTTTTGTATTTGAAGCATGTTTCCACTTTGCTGCTCTCTATTTTCTGTTGCATCCAGCAACTATAACCCGTTTCGTTGTCCTCGCTGAGGAGAGGTATGCCAACAGCATGATACTGCCTCCACAGCATTGCAACGTCCATAAGGAAGGTTCAGGGTGATCTACATTGCACGCTTTCCAGCACATAGAACATTTTGCATGTAGACCACAAAGCTATGCATTATTGAAGAAAAAACATGTTAAAAAAAAATCTCTTTTTGAAGCTTTCTAACAGCATCAGGGTAATTGTGACGAAGTCTGTAATTACCTGTCAAATCCTTATGAGGAAGTAGTAGAAGTCTTTGTAATGTGAACCGCTCAGGTTTGAATCCTGGTCGCTCCTGGGGGGGCAACTGCAAGCACAGAAATGCAGAACATCTTGTTCATCTATAATACCTCTGAAAACCTGTAGCTGTTATGAACGACATCTTAAAAAAATTCAAAAAGCAGTTCATGTGATAGATCAAGAACCCACTGAATGGTCCTGGACAGTTCTAGAAGCTGATTTTCTATCTAGAAAAATTGCATTAAATAAAATCTATAGAACAATTTAAGTTTTTTTGCTTTGTTTCTCAGAAAAACGCTAATGAGGCCATTGACAAGAAATTCACACCCAATATATTCTATATAGACACAGGAAGAGTCCTAGAGTTTACTTTTAAATCCACTTCCGTTCAGTTGGATATATAATGGCATTATTTTTGATAATAATTATTGAAAATAAATTGATTATAGTTTATAGTCTTGTGCAATGATTATGACTAGAGGGTTTTTATTTTAGGTTTATTGCATTAATTTCTTTTTCCATGAAGAAATCAGGCCAACTTTCTAAAGCTTTTCTCAAATGATCTTGGACTCCTGGAAAACCCTTTGAGTATTATTTTGACTCCTCCAATAGAAATCATGTTAGGAGCGCCTGGCCATGGCCAATGTTTATTGAAATAAATGTTTTTTGCCTTGGATTATAGGAACATCTCCAAGATAAAAATCTCCATTTCTGACCAGTTCCGTAAAAAATATGGTCTAGGTCAGAGATCATGGATTAGCGGACAGGGGTCCGGATCTGGACCCACCTGCTGGCTAATTCGTACCCAACCTGATTTAAAACATTTATAAATTACTGCTTGCTGTCCGACAACAGTGTCTAATTTCACTTGCGCCGCTTCTCCTGTTAATATGATAAAGCAGAGATTCAGTTCCATACAGAAAGCTTATATTCTTATCTTCAGCTACCACAGTATACATGTCAGATTAAATAATACCACTTATACTTCAGCGATAGTGTCAAGGTGTTACTTTATTGTATCTATTCTACTATATACGTTGGTTGTGCTGTTCTTTTTACATCTCTTTGCAGGTGATGAAGCAGACTAAAGATGTTTTATCGTCATCTCCCTTTTAACTCCTCTTTCTTTGATCTTTTCTCCTTTTTTCCGTTTTTCCTTTCCTGTTCTACTTACATTGCAGTGTCCATATAATCTGTAATACTCCCTGCATGAACTATAATAAAGCAATTTATGTGCATAAATCAAGCGGAACACTATGGTGATAGCCATACTGCTCCACCTGTGAAAGCAAAATCTGTTGGGCTCTTTTTGGCATCAAGACAATTATTCTTATTGCCACATCGCCAGACAGGACACTACATATATATATACAGCAGGCAAACCTGTGGCAAGCCGGGCGATGGGAAAGAAGGAGAAGACAATGAGAAAAAGAGAGCAGAGAATGTGTGGACTGCTGGAAGAACTGCGGTGAATGTCTCCAGACCTTTACTGGTTCTTGATTTTCTTTATTTGGACCCCGCTGATTTTTAATTGGTTACCCCTGGTCCATATCCTTAGTGAGCGCGTCCGTACTATTAAGATTGATGGAGTAGTTTGTCATTTAATAAGCAATTCCCCCAAAGATCAATAAAGTGTATGCTACTCTTTCTATACCTATAATGATATAGTATTTGTGCGAACGATAAACACTCTTGTATCTTCTTGGCGCTCACTTACTAAAAACAGCCGACTTTAACTGAATGAGTTAGAAACCCATTAGATTTTAACAAAGTTCTTTAATTTTTGCTCATGTCCTGTATAATTTCACTATTTCTATTCATTATTTTTTTAGAAAATTTGGTACAGAGTTTTTTTTTTTTTTTGTATTTTGAATTTGGTCTGGCATGAATTCCATCCAAATACCCCCATTAGAAACGTGTTTACAGAGAAAAACATTGACATGTTCAACACTAATTTTCCCAAAAAGCTTCTTCACATGGTGGTTATGTTGCTCTAGGAGTGGATAAACTCGAACATGTGACTAACATCTTGGGTTCTTGGAAACGCCAGGATTTTTTTGAGAGGGGGGGAAAAAAACTCAACATAATGACCTAAGTACTTAACTTAAAACTAAATTAAATTCTAACTTTCCATGAACAAGACAGTCCTCATGTCCTGAAATCTGAGGCCAATGGAAAAAGCAGTAACCTGGATAACCTGAAGATGAACCACAGGATATTTCTGGAAATTAGAGTGCTCACAATGGTGATCAGAAAGGTAGGTTATTGTAAAATGTATACTTAAAATAGCATATTTTAAATATATTAAGGTGTTTCTTTCTGAGCCAATATGTGAAGTATTTATACATCTTAGCAGTATTTATAACTCTTCTATAACCAAATGTTAGAAAATCAACCAGGTGGAAGTTGTGAATGAAAAATTTAATGTAACATGTTTCTGATTGAAACATGAATTTATATAATTGAAAAACATATGTCTGCAAAAAAAAAAAAAAAACATAACATGAATTTCTAGTATTGAAAAAATGTCCAGCAATAAATGAATGACATTTTATGATTTAATTTGACAGAGTGTTTAAGAAAGGAATAAAGTTTAAATTGGTTTAAGGGAGGAGTATTTCATCCAGTCATCATGGAAACGATGACATCTTATTTTCAAAGTCATTAATAAAAAAAAAAAGAAAAACTGAAAACGGCATGAGTTTTTAGAAACACCTACCGGATAAGTGCACATGAGATCCACAAAAGAGCTTCGTTTCCAATTAATGGCCAATAGACGGACCTATTGGCCAAAGCACGAGGACCCTGTGAGGCTATGCGGACACCGCTATGGAATTTCGCAGTGAGTTATGGGCATGTCTGCATGATTTCCCCCCCCCTCTGGAGCAACAATGGCTCTGGTTGTCTGTCTTTTTTCATGCTTTTGCGCACTGAGGGGGGACTGCATGGTGGGTTGATATTTAATCTCTGTGTGTGGGACGTAAAAAAAAAAAAAAAAAAAAAGAGGCGCGTGCTCGTGTTATCACTGTCTCCTCAGGGGAGGTAAATAAAAGGTTTTCCCAAAGCTCATCAGTGATGAAGTCTGCTAGGTGAACGCAGCTCGGTTCTGACGCGCAGAGCTGCGCTCCTGCTCGCACCTTGGACCATTTTGGACATTTGAGCGCTGCCTCAGACGCTGTCTGCTGTGCGTCTGTCCGATGATCTCACGATGCGTTTGAAAAATGCCGCTGCTTGTCGCGAATGTTGCGGAAAACTTTTAGAGGTAAGAGCTGACTATTTCCAGGCTTGTGGATTTGGCCATGTGGGCATGACCTGCCTGCGCCGCAGCTCTGCATGCTCCGGGGGTTTATAGTGCATGAATGAAATGCATCGATATTTGTTAGTTCTATTTGCACCAAGTTCATCAAACTTTTTCATTCATTTACATAACTTTAAATATATTCATGAAAAATCATTTATTAATATCCAATCAACTTAATTGCACCGTTATAAATGCTTTATTACTATGTCAGTTTTTTTTTGCTCTTATTACAAAACATGTATTTCTGAAACAACACTAAGAATACTGTTTTTATTTTTAATTGACTTTCTGCTTGGTTTACTGTCTTTGTGAATAAGAGCAAAAATCTTGCATTTTATGAGAAAAAGTTAATAACCTGTAAGAATAAAAAAGGAAAAGTTGGAAAACAGTATTTCTGAGGAAGCATAGCTGTTCTAATGCTCTGCACTGGCATGGATCAGCTTTTTTTCTAGATGTGTTTCTATTTTAAAACATTTTCTACATGAAAATATATTTTTATTTGCATTTTAATATTGTGCACAACCCATTTCATTAGGTCATAAGGCTATCAAATAGTAAGATATATCACTTTTTGATATTCAAACACTAAAAAACTGCATATTTCGTAACTAATAGGTGCCTAAGACAGCCTCTGTACATTTTAATAATCTGTTTATTAAACTGTGCTGTTAAAAGTAGAATATTTGACAATATTTCTAACCCTCTGCTTCACCATTTGGCTCTAACTCATGGACTTGTGCAGAAATACAATAGCGAGTTTAAGTAACAACTTCCTGAATGGAGCTTGTAGCCTCATTCAAAACTTTTGGACTTCTTTCAAGAAAAGGTCGTCAAAATAGATCACAAACGTAGGGTAGTTCATGCTATTTAACACACAGTTTGATGAAAAATCATCCTCTTCATAGGTGCATTAAAGTTGGAAGTTAGAAACTTGCATGTTTTGACATGGAAATGGAAATATTTATAGTGCAACATTAATTTCTGTTTCCCTTTTTTCAAAAGTAATTAACTGAGCGATGCATTGAAAAAACGGTGATTTACCTCTTTTTTTGTAGTTCAATGAGATGCTGAAAAGATAATTCTGGAAGGAAGGAAGAAAGATAGCAAAGATAATAGATGATATCGTCATGCTGAGCAAAAGAGCACATCAGAGACAAGAGATGGGAAACATGAGAAGACATTGCACTTAAGACCACCCAGTTAAATCTCTTGTCATGTGTAGGATCTTCTTCATCTTCTACTTCCAAGGACGCTGTGAAACCTCTGGTTCTATCCTAGCACTAATTGCTTCAAGAAGATTCATCTTAGCAGAAATCTATTTGAAGGCAGTGGTATAAGTATTGTTAAAGGTCCGGACTATCATTGTGACGAGCGAGTTTATTTCTCACTTTAGCTGAAGATGTTTTATTTCCAGAAACTTGAAGTTCCCGTGGATAGCCCCTGAAAAGACATTAAGTATTGATGACCTCTGTGTTAATCAGTTTCATTCTCAAGGGAAGTTACCTTTCAAGTCTGCTTCTCAAGCATGACCCAGCAGACAGGGAAAAGAAGGCCACTCAATGCGAAAGCTTATTGCGCAGGTTTCACTGCATACTGCTGTCAGCAGAAAAGTGCAAAAGGTTATCAGAAGCTGACTGTGCTGAGGGATTCCAGCTGAGCAGGAAATGATGTCACTCATCTCATGGCTACTTATTTACAATTCTGAACTTTAACATGTTAGAAGTCTGACACCACAAACAACATGTATGTTATCTATTGACGTGCCAATGGGTTCATTTAACTGCTTCTACATTCTTTAAATGCCATCTTGCTTACATTCCGTAATAGCACGTATCGGAAATGTAGTTCCACTTATAGCCTTCCCCCTTTTCAATGCCTTTGTGACGTACCTGCAGGGAAGCTTTCCTCTGTCCACAGTGCTGCTACTTGAAGCTGCTTATCTAAACACTGTTTTTAGGCAGCTGATATTGGCACACTGAGCTGTTCGCTTGTAGTCTGGCTGCACTGCTGGTCTGCAAATTCCACCACCTTGGTGAGAAAGTCACGACAAAGGGTATGTTTGAAGGCACTTTTTGGAGGGATCCGTTCGCACGTAGGCAGTGGCGTTAGTGAAGAGGTCACCGATAACCTTCAAGCTGAGTCACGCTACTGAGTCACAGCATATGGAATCTTTGAAAATCAGAGTATGCAGTAGGGCCACTGGCATGCTTTACAATAATAGGGGTTACGACTTGGCAATTAATTGCATTTGCAATATAAGAACAATTTAACAAAAACAGAATTTTCAAATGCACTTGCAGAGGCACTAAATCAATATAAACATCCCTATGAGGGGGAGTGTTGACCTAGTGGTTAGAGCAGTGTGCTTGTGCTCTGAGAAGGTTGCAAGTACCTGGTTCGATTACCACAGCCTGCTCTCTGGGTCCCAGAGCAAGACCCTTATCCCCACACTGCTCCCCGGGTGCCGCACAATGGCAGCCCACAGCTCCCTGAGGGGATGGGTTGAAGCCAGAGGTAAATTTCTCCATAAATGTTCAATTATTATTATTATTATTCAATTATTATCAAATTTTAATCACACTAACAAAATTAAGACCCCCAATTTCTCACTCCACCCCTTTATCTTACAATTATCTTACAAATATGATAGTTTTCAATTGGCCATTTTGGGCTGTTGAAGACAAATGACAACAATTTTAGGAAATTTGTGGAGAAGTTGTTACCCGCTCTAAAACTTCTGTTGCACATCGCACTGTGAGACAGGTGGACATTGTGGCTGGTCCATGGTCAGAGATAACTTGTGACAAAAAATCTTGACAGTGGCAGATATTTAGAATAACCATCTTGCAGTGGGACAGAGGCTATGAATTCCATCTACCAATCAGCCAATAGAAATGCACTTGTCTTCACAGTTACTCATTTTGTATGTAAGACTACACATAGTGGTTTGTTATAGTTTTTCTTTCATTTACTTGTTCGTTATTTACCCAGCTATATAAACTAAGAGATCATAGCACTAACTGTTTTAATCAGCTAATTGCTAATAGCCGAGGGATAAATACATACCTTTAACTCTACCTGTAAAACTGAAATCCTAAGTTCACCAACAAATACCTGTGTCTAGATTCCTGCCCATTAAAGCAGCAGTTACAGGGGTTCTGTTTTTTCCATTTTATATTGTTTGTTGTTATTGTCTCCGCCTGGCAGCAAAGAAGGGTGACATCTACTGATCTGGCGCACACTGTTGAAGTTGTTTATCGCTGTAGTCAGTTTATTAGTAATGGTGTGCACACATCTAACTTGACATCGTACCAAGGTTATTATATCCTTGTCGCATGATGTGTTGTGAAATATTTTTATAAGATTGCAAAAAAAGCACAGTGTGACAAGTCGAGATGTGCCAAGCAGGAGTTTGGGACTTCTCCTATGTACCGCCGGACTCCCCCTGGATAGCCATAGCCTCAGCACCTTTGTCCGACAGGCCCCCTTCGATCTACAGATGTTTTCCTCCACTGTCCTCCCGATCCAGCACTGAGAATCTGCTGCCTCTACCGCTGTGGTTCTTTAAGCCGGCCTACACCGTGCAATTTTTTGCCCTTTTCGGGGCGATTTTCCTGTCGTGCTAGAATTTTTCGATCGGGCCGACTTTCAGCCTGATCGTGCGTTGTGTAGTGTACAGGGAGTAACGAGGGGCGATCAGCCTCTCACAATCACCTCCTGATCAGGAATCATGAGGTCGGGAGAATATCAAACATGTTTGATTTTCTCCCAACCGTCGTGGGCAAACACTCAATGAGCATGCACAAACAAGAATTCTTCTTTTTTCTTCTTCCTCTCAGATGAAAACACAGAAGCCATAGTAGCCATGTTTGCTTAGGAATTTCTTTGTCCAAATACGTCGTTGCCTTTTCTTTTTAGGGCTTTCAGCACAAAATTGAAACCGCAGGGTTTTGTCGATAGTGTGAGTTGTAGCTGCGTGCAACGATTGAAAAAATCACACAAAGTATGCCCGGCTTTAGCTTCAGAGAGGCCGAAGCTGGTTCCAGTTATAGAACTCTTCCAGCCAGTGTTCTCCCAATGATTTTCCACTGCTCCTGTCTGAGTCTCCAGATCTCTGTTTCACCTTTCCTCTGACCAAAATGGTTAATGGTAAATAGCATGTACTTATATAGCACCTTTATTCAAGTCAGGAGACTTGACCAAAGCGCTTTACACTACATTCATTCACCCACACACTCATGGTGGTAAGCTACATTGTAGCCACAGCTGCCCTGGGGCTCACTGACAGAAGTGGGGCTGCCGTACACTGGCACCACCGGGCCCTCTGACCACCATCAGTAGACAAGGCAGGTGAAGTGTCTTGCCCAAGGACACAATGACACTGAAAGTCGGAGTAGGGGCTTGAACCGTCAATCCTTCGATTTCAGGGCAAACTCCTACATCCAACGCCACTGTTGCCCCAAAATAAGCGTGGACCAAACGCAGGAGAAAGATGCATGTTCACTTAAAGAAAAACCCATCAGAAACACAACGGCCGACGCTTGCATGACCAGCCGGTTGCCGTTCGTAGCAGATCATGTGAGAATTAGCCGATTTTCCGAGTCATGCCTTTTGACTAGTGCAAGTCCAGTGAAAAGGTCTTTGGACAGCTTCTGTTTGTCTCATATTACACTTTGATGAACACACTGAGGTGCAACAAACATGCAGAGATAGCATCATTTTTTGTAAAATATTCAGGTGTGTGGGAAGTTTCTTTAAATTGCGTCTACCAGAAAGATAATCTGTTCCATTTATCATGTCTTTTTTAGGTCATGCATCCCTGCCTCTGTGAATAAGTGCATTCAGGATGTGGCACCAGGGAGCAGGGCAATGTGCACACATGACTCAGAGAAATACCTTTATCAAGAGTTTTAGTAAAAATTGTATCAGAATGCGGTCAGTTGTGAGTGGGTGTTGGAGATCAACTTAAATCCAAATTAAAAGAGCTGCTTGAACAAGCTTGTCAGTCTTTCCAAATTAGTCTGACTAATGTATTTACATGGAAATGAGACCTAAACGAGCTTCTTCCTGCACTGTCATTGTATTTATCTTACTGTTCATAATCTAAGGCATCACATGTTTCCTTAAAGGGGAATCATCATATTCTGTTGAGTCATTCCTTGATGCTGACTTTACAGAGTGCTGCATTAGAAATTCCCTGCTGGTATGCAGTGTTTGCATTTCTGGGGGAAGATCTGACACCCCAAAGATTCCTTTCGCTTCTGTTTGTAAAAACCCTCTCCTTGAGCAGCTCTGTAAGTATTCACTAGGGGCTTTAAAGGTATACATAATGTCTACATAATGCATAAAGGTATGCATAAAGGTAAACATAATGTCTACATAATGATGTGTGAAGTAGTCATGTTCAGGCAGTACTTACTGTCAGCATAGAGCAGTGAGAGTGACTTATGTAAAGAGGAATTATTTTGGAAAGTTGAGCTAAAGGATAATCAAGCTGGAACATTTAGGCTTTCTGTCTGAGGACACAAGAGGGTTTATGTTTGAACTACATTATGCAATAACTGGAAATGTTATTAAGATAGACGGAGAACTTAAAGAGTAGGGCAAGAATTTAGCTTAGCAGGATAAATATTCAGTTTGAAAAGGATGACATCTCCAAGGATCTGCAAGTATCTGGTGCTAAAGTAACAAGTAATTAAAAAAAAATCATTAAGGTGGATTCATCTTTTTTATGAATTAAAATACATGGATTAAAATGTTGATACATTGTCATTTGGTCTTTTTGAATCTATGTAATTTGATGCAATTTGAATGTAATTAATTCTTTTTTTTATGTTGCTCAAAGTTATAGCACATCTCATCTCAAGTCACTTTGCAGAGCCATTTTAATCATGTCTTGATCTGATTGGTTAAAACATTTCATTGAGTCAGTTGGCTAATTTTCATCAACATTTTTTATGCGCAGTTTGGAGGATTACATCGAAGGTTAATGGAAAAAGCTAAATTTGAATTAACTTACTTAATTTTGCACAAAAAAAAGTTATTCATGATAACTTGTTGGTTTTTTTCTAGGACTGAACAATTAGTTAAAAATCTATTTCTTGATTTGACTTGATCCATTTTTTATATCTTTTTTTTCTTTTAACACATATTCTGATTTAAATTTCCTTTGCTCTAACGACAAGAATTGACTTCATGACCTTGAAATCTCACTCATCCCACATCCATTGTTGCAGAACTTTACTGTTACGGCTCTGTGGAAAAATGTTTACTTCAACATGCATACTTCCCCTTCTGTTTGGGGCAAATCCCACATATTACAGCCACCTAAAGGGCTGGAGTGAGAAAGCCAGTGTCTTACTTTTGTTAAATGCAAATGGGACCAAAACTGAATGCCTCTGTAATTTGAAAATTGCATGTTGTTACATTGATTTTTCAGTTGTGTGTGTCTTCTGTGACCTGCTTTTACCGTTGTGGTTTGCATTGCATTGCCATCGGATTAAATATTAAAATAACTTTGGTAAAGTTCAGAAAAAGCTCTCTAAAAATGACACAGTTAGAAACCATTCCACAGTCTTTGTTGTGGCTTTGTTGTTTGTTTTTCTTTAATCTCAGTGTCCCTCATATTTTGTTCATTAACATCCTTCACCTACCATCTATAGCTTGGTCATGTCGTGGGGCGACTGCACAGCTCTGTGACAGTGACTGCACAGCTCTGTGACAGTGACTGCAGCTCTCTTTTCTTTGCATTTGCATTTAGGAAGACACCTGTAAATATATAAAAATATAAATATATATATATGATTATTATTTTTTCCTGATTTGATCCAGTCAAATGCGGGACAGTATGTGGGACAACGGGACAGCAGTGACTGTCCCAGACTGTCCCACTCCAATCAGGACATCTGGTCACCCTATCCTGTTTACTTAACCAGGTGATTAGGGTCGTCAGATTGTTTAAACCAATCTCTGTAAAGGCTTTTTAACTTTCTGGGTCTTTATTATCCACCTCTTTCTTTTTGACATGAACAAACATTTATTGCACCTTTTAGATGCATTGTCAATGGCTGAAATATATTAAAATATATATATATATTTTTTATCTAAAAAACCCTAAAAAAATTCCCTTGAGGGCTTCTAGATAGAGCATATTTAAAGATAGAAGGTCTTTATCTTTTGGTTTCATTTGGTTTTTGTGTGAAACGAAACACATTGTGTCGTCCAACAAGATTTTGCAGAAATTTATATAACACTGACACAAATCTGATGGGTTTTGCTTATTCTTACATTAATATATTGATTTATGTGCTATATTATTATATACTGAAGTGCTTTGAAAAAATATATTGAGGTGACAGAAGAAGTGAAGTAAAATGAGTAAAATCATATAACGAAAAACACAACCATAAAGGCGGACAAAGCAGAAAACATGGTCTTCAGTTTGAGTTTAAAATCACGGTGGAGGGAAAGTCAGGTCAAAGGGAAGTTGGTTCTAGACTCGGGGTGCTGCCACTTTTATGCTCACTCCATGCCACGGAAGATGCCTTATTCTGTAGAGGTTATTTATTTCAGTTTGTTTTGTATATTATGTCATGATGAACCTTAAGGGTTTGAGGCTTTCCCAGTAATCTCCTGAGTCTGTTGAAAAAATTAAAATGTATTCACTGAAAATGGAAATTTGAAATTGAAAATTGTTGGAAAACATATCTAATTTAGTTATTAACATATAAAGGCCCTAAAAAAGTTCTGAAATAAGCCCTGACATGATTCTCTTACCAAAGATCATACTTTGTCACTGTCTAACAGCATGATGAATTAATCCAATAACTGGATTATTAGGTTTAACAGGTCCTAGTTTAACCAAAAGTGAATCAGTGTCATGATTAAGCCCAAGAAAAGAGCAACACCAAAAATATGCTCTTTTCTGTACTCCTTAGAGCTTTTTGTGGACACCAAGTTCTAAAGGAGGAAGGAAGAAGAATCCTTGTTTGCGCATGCCCACTGAGCGTTTTGCCCATGACGGCCGACTGAATTTCAAACATTTTTGATTTTCTCCCGACCTCAAGATTCCTGATTGGGAGTTGGTCATGGAAGGCTGATCGCCCCTTGTAACCCCATGTACACTACACGACGCAAGATGAGGCTGAAAGTCAGCCCGATCGAAAAATTCTCGCATGCCTGGAAAATCACACAGTGTACGGCCGGCTTAATGAAATGTAGTAGAAGCCAATTAAAAGCAATTTGTACAGGTTGCCTTCAAGAGCAGGATATACTCCAGCGATGTTTTGTCCTCACAATTGTTTTTCCAATGTGTGAAGCCTCTCATTCAGATTATGAAAGACTGACAATTAATGAATGAGTGAAAGGTCTGCAGAATCTGACAGCTACTGTATGCATAGCTGAACAGAATAAAAGACAAAACAGTTAATCATCTATGAAGCGGTTGAACAATCAAAAAGAAGATGCACAGAAGTGACTCAAGTTCCAATGAGCCAAATAAGCCCATGTGTGGATCATTACGCCCCACACATGGGCTCATTTCAAGTCCTATTTCAATTTAATATGTTGCATTGTATGAGTGCAGCATGAAAATGACTCCCCTCCATACTCACAATTTTGTGACTGCGCAATCTGTTGCTGCAGCAGAATCTCTTCAGAAAATGATGCCGAATGATGAAAAGTTCAAATCTTAACTTCATGTTCTCCTTCCTTTTTTTCTGTCATTGAAAGGGCCTTTTTATATGTTGCCTTAACTTCTTAGAGATTTGAACTGGTGGTGAGTTATCACACTGAACAACCTCAGAAAAAAAATGTAAGGCTCATGACCAGAGAAAGACTTTCAAACCTTTTAAGGACATTTTAACCAGTTAAAGTTTCACTTTCTCTTCAGTATTGTCAGTTTCACTTTCTAGTTTAGGGCCCCTTCTGGAGGACTTGTTGCTGGAGGGTTCCAGAGAAAGTAGTAGTTGTTCCTTGATAGTTAAAAATCCCAAAGATTGAGTCTCGTCTCTCGAGTCTCTCGTGGGACTTTAATGTAATTAGCTTGCTGATGGAGTTCCTTAAATGAGCCGTATAATCTCTGGTGTACTATTTAATGGTTGACTGATACATATGACTATGATATTTTTGGCCAATATTAGTGGGGTTTTCCTGTATCTGCATCAGCCAATACATGCATGTGTTCACCAATGAATGCTTTCAGCAGCCATGCATTGAGATCAAATGTATGAACATTAACAATGGATGGCTTCAATATGTCTCATCATTTTAACGCTCTTCACTTTTTTGGCCAAGGTGCAACTTATTTATACTTTTAAAGAACTTAAAAAGAACATCTTGATGTCCTCCTAAAAACATTATTTCTGCACTATATGGTAAACTTTATCAGATAAAGAGTCTGAATGCATGAGGTACCTATTATTGTCAGTGGTTTTGAAGTTACAAATTTAAAACAATGTAGGTCTCATTGCTTAAAAATGTTTAGCCTGGTTTTATGTCATATACAGTGAGGAGAATCAGGTTTGTGTCTTTTTATGTACAGATGGGTACATATCCGATTTGAACTTTTTGTAGGTCTAAATTCAAAATATACTCCACTGTAGCTACTGTGTTTTAAATAGGACACGAATAAAAAAGGTAACTTTTCAACACTTGTGAATTATACATAAGACTGCATATCACCGTGTAACATCAAAGCATACTCAAGTCATAAGACATGAAGCAGAGAGATGATATTGTAGTATGAATGTCTCTTTGTAATCACAAGCTATGTTAGACATATGTCTTATGCTGCTCAAAGGGGACAGAAATAATCTCTGATGTTTGCATGTGATCGATGGCTCTTATAACCTCTCAGCCATTGAGTAAATGTGACTGTTTGTCTGTATGCAGGACTGTTCGCCTTGCTGCTGTTAGTGTTGGAGTGGACCCGTCCAGGCCTACTGTCCCCACTAAGGCCAATCTGTGACCTGAGATTCTTGAACCATTTCATTCAGGAAGCACGAGACGCCGAAGTCGCTATGGTGAGAGAAAAATGTATGACTGCAGTAAGACGCAACTCAAAGAAAGACAATTAGAGCATAGCTGCTGTTTTCTAGGCATAAAACTGGTTTAGGGAAACTTGAGTGAGGTGGCTGTAAATGGGATTTTCTTTTGTCTTTTCTTAGAAGTCATGCAGAGAAGGATGTGATTTGTCAGAGTCTGTCTCTGTTCCCAAAACTAGTGTCAACTTTGATGAATGGGAGAAGAAAGACGTAAGTAGCCACTGAAATCAGACACTATGTACACTACGACTATAATCTGTGCTAAAACACTGGCAAACTCTACCTGCTTACAGCATATATAATGTTTATCATTCACAATATAATAGAGGTCTTTTATTGCTTGAGTATTTTCTTCTTTTTTTTTGGTCAGGAAGACCTGTGACTCCAGTTAATTTCTTACGGAAGAGCTGATTACTTCCTACATCCTATGATCCTTATCGCTTCCAAAAGACGACTCTTAACTCTTTGGTTTTGTTTGTCTCTTGGGAAGGCAACGGAGCAAGCTCAGGAAGTGCAGAGTGGATTGTGGCTTTTACAACAGGCCCTCAACTTACTACGGACATCGATGACAAACTCTGACCTTACCAGCCATATAGACACTACCGTTGGAAATCTGCAAAGCATCACTAATGTACTACGAAGCCTCAACTTTCAAGTGAGTCAGTATGTGAGTGGAATGTATGTTTAGATTCCTCAAAACCATTTTCTTTCTTTGAAATACTGCAAATCCATCTTCAATGGTGGGGAAGCCAGTATTCCTGCCTGGCCGGGCCCTTTATTGTGTCCATTTTGCTTTATCATATGTGGGTTCTCTCTGGGTGACATTTGACCTCTTTCAATTGCCCTTAGGGATAAAACTGGACATGCATAGCTGTTTGCCTTTGATTTGCATGTGCATTCAGTAAAAAAAAATGTCCATTGTGTAAGCCAATTGCTATAATGGTTATTCTCAGAGTTGCTATTAAGTTTTTTGTTTAAAATATTGTATCCAAGTTTAAATCAAGATAATGATAGGAACTTAGGTCTCTATGATTATTTTCATCATCTTTACAGAATGAGTCTACAAAAATATACTCTTGAAATATTTACGGTTAGGTCAAAATGAAAGTACACCCACGTTGTTTTATATATTATGTGCCTAAGGAAAATAAGGTTTATTTACATTTAAAATGTACCAATAGATCCAACCTGTTAGTATTTAAAACACAAAGTTGGCAAAGTTTTAGTAGCTTTCATAACCACCCTTGGCAACAAAGCTTAACTTCTAGCTCATTGTTTTGTGCAAAGATTTGAAATATGGTAGTGCATATGTCGCAGATAAGTATTTCAGTATATTGGAAATTTTGGTCTTTGACTTGAACATTACAAAACCTGTATGCTATGAAAATCTGCTATGTAAGGGATCATTGTCCTTGTGACCTAGTTTTGTTCAAGCTTTGGATGTCGGGCAAATGGCAACAAATTTGTTGCTAAAACCCTTTAGGATACAGTGGAGTTCATGGTCAGCATAATGACTGCAGGCTGCACTCTGTGTTACCTGGTTTCATTACCTGGCAGAGTTTGTTTTTTTCCATACCTTTTGTGGTGCATGATGTACAAACATCTTTACTTTAGTGCATTTTTTTAATGAAGACAATGTACAACAGTGTGAAAGTCTGTTACTAAATGATAACTATTGATCAATTTCGTATTTGGACCTAAATATGCCAGTTCCAGTATTTCTTAGCATTGATCAGCATGAAGGTCTTAACCTAATCGAGGTGTGAAAAGGAGTTTTTCCACAGACAATGTTTTGACTCTGTCAACATCATGAGAAAAACATGGACACCTCATGATTCAGTAGCATGTAGAAGCACATTAAGCTGCAATAATTGGATGTTTTTCTGTGTTACTTTGGCTGCAGATTGGTCCATTGCTTACATGACTCCGTTTGAGTTAAGTTCCAGTTCTCAGAAATATGGCTTCTCATTTGACTTTAGAATACTTTGGTTTACAGGAACATCCAGGGTTGAATTTGTTATTATTAGGTGCACAGATCCCTGAAAGAAAAGACTTAAGTATTACCATCCTAAGTTTGTATGAGATGTTTGTGCTGATATGCTTTAGTCAGGTTCGATCAAACATTGCATATCAAGGATCTTTTATTTAGCTTCACCTGTCCAAGAATATTGCTCAATAAGCCTAGCAGTTTATTTAGCTGCTTCGTTGCCAATATATAATGTGTTCCCATAGTACATTAGATGATAAATTTTGCAAATAAGAATCTTCTCAGTCATTTTGTTACTGTCCTTTCGTGAAGTTCAAGTGTAACTCAGCTCAATTAAATATATCTCCCACTTTGAGACAAATTTTAGAAATGCCACCAAATTCTGTACCAAGAGATGCTGAGGGGCAGGGCTTATGATAAGTTCTGGTCTATCACAAAGTATAGCATCAGGGCCATCTGGTTTTCATGTAAAGACTATGGTGGACATAGATCCTGGGATGTCACAAGGTCCTTCAGCATGTTTAACTTATGTGAGTCAACCAATCTAAGAAGCTCAGCTTTGTGAAGTAGTGGCTCAAGGAAACATTCGTCTGCAAGCGTTTCCTGCAACAAATGGTGAAATTAGCCCAACTCTTAATGTCTCTGAATTATCTGGCAAATCCAGGTGCACAACAATGACGTTCACTTAGTTAATTTAGCAAATAAAACCATGTCAGTCTCTCTATTACATCTGACATTATACACTAGTGAATTGCAAAGGAAGAGAACAGGGTTGCTTGTTGCAATGTATGTCAGGTAACTACAGGCTTCCACACATTTACGCAACCAGGTCTAGGTGTGAGCGTAATATGAGTGTGGGGAACACAAATGCGAAATGGGCAGCTAACTTTGCCCAGCCTAGCCTAGCTTAGCCTTATTGAGACATGGACAGTGAGCAGAGGGACATTGGTAACTATCCCATGGATAGGCATAAGGATCTTTTTAGGTATAGGAGATTTCAACCCGTCATCACCAAAGCTGAGTCCGGCTTTGTGGAACCTAGTGAGCCTGAGCTTTATCAGTTCAAGCCTCTGGCTTCAAAGCTCTGACTTAACTAAGTCTGTGCTACTATATCTGAACCTGAATCAGCAAGTAGCCAAATATTTAATCCTATGTTTAAATTGTTCTTCTTTTTTTCTTTTTTTACTTTATTAATCTCACGTCGGAGAAATTTACCTCTGCATTTAACCAATCCCCTTGGGGAGCAGTTGGCTGCCATCATGGGGCACATTGGGAGCAATCAAGGGTTAAGGGTCTTGCTCAGAGAGCCAGAGGGGCAGCCTGTGGGAGTGGGGCTCAAACTCAGAACCTCAGAATTCTAAGCCCTCTGCCCTAACCACTAGGCCGCCACTCCCCTTCAACTGGTATAGACACCTTCCAACCACTTACAGGTATTGTGGAGGATGTTCTATTTCTGGTTGGATCATCAAAATAAATGGTCTTTCTAATTTTCAATCATTCCGGTGGTACATTTATGTAAGGCAGTCCTACGTGCTCGTCCCCATTTTCACTTACCAGTGGTGAGTCTGACATAGTGGAAAAGTTGCAACTCTTCTTTTGGAAAGTAAGTTTGTATGAGCGATGCAAACAGCAACTTTTAAACACAGCGTGCACGAGGAGAAATGGCCTTGTGCATGCTCTTGCACATGTTTAATAGGAATAGGAATTTTTTTTTCTTAAGTGGAGAGCGTGGGTCTTTTAAAAATTGAGCGGAAATCCTCCCCTATACCTTTAAGAATACACTAGTCAGTTTTAAGAAAAATATTGTGACATCTCACATAAACATTTCTAACATAAAAATAAATTCAATATCACCCCAAAGACTCTGTTTATCGACAAGTTTAATTGGCATTTCCAGTTTACTTCTGCCACCAAGCTAATTCTGCTACATATTTCTGGTTAAATAGGATCCGTGTTTATTTACATTGTATAGTAATGGCTCTAAAATGGGTGCATTCTCGTTTATTTTTTTAAAAGAAGCTGCTTTATCAATACCTCACCCGGCATTAAACTGGGAGATGGTGAGATGAAATGGATTAATTTTACAATCACCAAATTCTTTTCTTTTTTTAGTTTTTGGACTTTATTGAGTAGATAGGCAAGTTAAAAACAACCTGAAAATCTTTGATACTTATTAACACTTGCATAGGAAGAAAATCGACTGAAAGAGCCAGGGTTAGAATGATTCCTGTTATAAAAATGGGGTGGTGGTTAAGGAGGATGGAGAGGTGGAGATTACTGTCTGCACCTGTACAGCTGGATCCCGCTCGTCATTCGACAATATGATGCTGACTTATTGGCACAGGGTCCAACCCGTCACTCCAATGCGATTTTGAAATCAAAATGAAAAATTCCTCCCCTGCGACAGACTGGCAACCCATCCAGGGTGTACTCTGCGGGTGAAAAGAAGCGGGGATCCAGGTGACAAAAGGGTCCCAGCAATCTCACGCACCTCGCTCTTCTAGCTGGTCCATCTTCATGAGTCGTTTTCCACAATGGCAGTCATGCAAACAAAACAAGCCGGTAAGGTACCAAATAGGAAAAATGCATAGTGTAGAACAGATGTAGATTGATCAATCAGAGGCCTCCAGTCTGCAGCACTGTCTGCGATCACCTACAATTTTTTGAGAGGTGCACCAGAGTGTCTGCTGAAGAGGCGGGGGCATATCTGCTTTAACTGCGACTCACATGCAGATGACCTGGTTTCTGAGTTTAAACCAGCCTTAAGACTCGGTCTCATGCCTGAAGATGGCGGCACTATTGTTAGAGTTTTACATAGGGGCAGGTAGACACAATGTGACTCTTGTGACTTTATTTAAAACAACATAGAGTTGCTGTCTTCATTAACTCTATAGACCTCATAGTGTTGTATCTGCAACTCTCCTTCCCGCACACCACCGAGCACTCTCTGCAAGATGCTCCTAGAAGTTCTTAGCAGGAACCCCTGCAGTTCCTGTTGTGAAACTTGTCTATACATTTTAAAACCCCTAAAAATTGGTTCACTCACTACCTCTATTTATTTTGTTGCATATTGTTGCATAACCTGTCTTTTGGGATGCACAGTGTGAGTAGTCACATTGCATCGGATCATAAAGCGTGAGGACATACAGGTGCTGGTCATAAAATTAGAATATCATGAAAAAGTAGATTGATTTCAGTAATTCCATTTAAAAAGTGAAACTTGTATATTATATTCATACATTACATACAAACTCATATATTTCAGATGTTTATTTTGTTTAATTTTGATGATTACAAATGACAACAAATGAAAATCTCAAATTCATCATATCAGAAAATTAGAATATTACTGAAGACCAATAAAAACAAAGGATTTATAGAAATGTTGGCCAACTGAAAAGTATGAACATGAAAAGTATGAGCATGTACAGCACTCAGTATTTAGTTGGGCCTCCTTTGGCCTGTATTACTGCAGCAATGCGGCGTGGCATGGAGTCGATCAGTCTGTGGCACTGCTCAGGTGTTATGATAGCCCAGGTTGCTCTAATAGTGGCTTTTAGCACTTCTGAATTGTTGGGTCTGGTGTATTGCATCTTCTTCTTCACAATACCCCATAGATTCTCTATGGGGTTAAGGTCAGGAGAGTTTGCTGGCCAATTAAGAACAGGGATACCATGGTCCTTCAACCAGGTACTGGTAGCTTTGGCACTGTGTGCAGGTGCCAAGTCCTGTTGGAAAATGAAATCTGTATCTCCAAAAAGTTGGTCAGCTGCAGGAAGCATGAAGTGCTCTAAAACTTCCTGGTATGTGGCTGCGTTGACCCTGGACCTCAGAAAACACAATGGACCAACACCAGCAGATGACATGGCACCCCAAACCATCACTGACTGTGGAAACTTTACACTGGACTTCAAGCAACGTGGATGAAGTGCCTCTCTTCTTTTCCTCCAGACTCTGGGACCTTGATTTCCAAAGGAAATGCAAAATTTACTTTCATCAGAGAACATGACTTTGGACCACTCACCAGCAGTCCAGTCCTGTTTCTCTTTAGACGCTTCTGACGCTGTCTGTGGTTCAAGAGTGGCTTGACACAAGGAATGCGACAGCAGAAACCCATGTCTTTCATACGTCTGTGTGTGGTGGTTCTTGAAGCACTCACTCCAGCTGCAGTCCACTCTTTGTGAATCTCCCCCACATTTTTGAATGGGTTTTGTTTCACAATCCTCTCCAGGGTGCGGTTATCTCTCTTGCTTGTACACTTTTTTCGACCACATCTTTTCCTTCCCTTCGCCTCTCTATTAATGTGCTTGGACACTGAGCTCTGTGAACTGCCAGCCTCTTTAACGATGACCTTTTGTGTCTTGCCCTCCTTGTGCAAGGTGTCGATGGTCGTCTTTTGGACAACTGTCAAGTCAGCAGTCTTCCCCATGATTGTGTAGCCTATAGAACTAGACTGAAAGACCATTTAAAGGCTTTTGCAGGTGGTTTGAGTTAATTAGCTGATTAGAGTGTGGCACCAGGGGCCATCAATTTTGAACCTTTTCACAATATTCTAATTTTCTGATATGATGAATTTGAGATTTTCATTTGTTGTCATTTGTAATCATCAAAATTAAACAAAATAAACATCTGAAATATATGAGTTTGTATGTAATGTATGAATATAATATACAAGTTTCACTTTTTAAATGGAATTACTGAAATCAATCTACTTTTTCATGATATTCTAATTTTATGACCAGCACCTGTACAATTGATTCGCAAAATTTGAGTTGGGCCTTCAAGCAATGACTGAAAATGTCACAGTGTATTCCAGGCTTTAGATATAGTTCTTAAATTCTTGAGCCAAAGCAATCCAATCACACAGACAGATTGCTTACAGATTTTCTAAGGAAACCCAGCTGATTGCATTAAGGCATTTTACTTCTCTTAATTATTAGTTTCATTAGGCCCTAAATTGACTAACTTTGGGGCAATGTTCACTTCTTGTATAATTTGCTATAAGATTTCATATTTTAATTTTACAAATTATTTTCCCTACAGTAGAATTATAGATTTTAAGCTTTGGGAATATGGTACCATCACCTTCCAGATTTATTGGTAGCAGCAGCAGCTATCATACTGCGAAAATCCCTGCTATTTTTCCGCTTAAATCTTACAATCTTAATACTCCTTTGCAATGGTAGCTGTGTTATGTAAATAACCCATGACTGTAAAACCTGTTGAGTTTTGTGTACAGTTTGAATACTTTCAAACACTCCTGAGTGGGGAGTGCAGGCCTAGTGGTTAGGGCATAGGCCTTGGAATACTGAGGCCCCGTCCACACGAAGCTGAACCCTGGCCTAAACGCACAAATTTTTCACCAAACCAGCCTCTCATCCACACGAAGCCGGCGTTTCGGGGGTCTGCAAACGATCTTTTTTTTATTCAGCCTTCAGAGTGGGAAGATTTTGAAACGCCGTCTTCGCGTTTCCATCTTTACGCTCTAACCGCATTTTTTTTTTACACGCATGCGTCATAGCGTCACCTCTAAACACGCATGCGCGACACAGTATCACAACAACAATGGCGCCGTACTGTGTTGAATGGTTGCTGCTCATGCTACTCACCCTGCTGTCGGGCTTACAACAGAATCTTCTTCTTCTGGAATATCTCCAGGAAGAACAGAGCAATATCGACGACATAGTTCATCACCTGAATTTGACTGAACCACGAAAATGGACCCGCAGGGCAACCATGTATAAATATTAGTGCGCATGCCCAACATTTCGTCGCTTATTTTTGCTTTGGCACCACAGCGCCACTTACAGGCCTGGCATACATTTTGCAGCGTTTTCATGCATTCGTGTGAACGATCACATTTATTTTACGTCTCCGTCTTTACGACAAACGTTTTGGAAAATATCAGCGTTTCGTGTTCGTTTTGACTTCGTGTGGACGGGGCCTAAGGTTGTAAGTTCGAAACCCACCCCCCCGACTGCCAATCTGGGTCCCTGAGCAAAGACCCTTATCCCCACACTGCTCCTATGTTGCGCTGTACTTGTGACAGTGTAATGAGTATAAAACACTGGGAGGGAAAAATTATATATATATTTATATAGAAAGCGGAAAGCAGATTCCAAGTACCATGTTGTATAATTTCCATTGATGCAATAAACTACATTTTTCAAATAGCAAGACTCAGGCAATGGATCACTTGAAAGGTATCATAAGACTAATTTTTAAACTGTAAGCCTTTGTTGGAACTTATTAGACTTCGCAAAACTGCTCTTGGAGGCCATAGAAACTCTAAAGCTTTAAAAATGACTCTTGGGCTGAAAAAAGTTATCTGTATTTGAGTTAACACATGTTTTTGTGTTCATTTCCAGGAATATACCCCACCTGCCAGTACTGTGGGAATGGAGGGAACATGGACGGTGTCCTCAGCAGCAGAACTGCTTCAAGTTCACCACAATTTCCTGCGAGGCAAAGTACACCTTCTCCTTAAGGATGCACAGCCATGCAAGCAAGACGTCAGCTGATCAGCAGACTGGCTCACTCCAAGCCAAAGTACTTTGTGTTTCCAAAGGCACGTGGTGGAACTTGATAACCTGCACAGTGGCAGCTGGATGCAGTATAGGACCGGCCCTCAAATATAAAGAGGGTGGAGGGAAAGGATTGTCCCTGCAAGGCTTTGGATGGACAGGAGATGACTGCGCCATGGAATGTAAATGTGTCTCGTGAACGTGTTGTAGCACACACCTACCAAAAAGATACCGATGGAAAGCACTGCTCCAATCGCTGTTCTACAGGCACGCTCTTGCACTTTTTGAGTTGATGTAAACGTGTGAGTCGAGACTGAATTTTTCAGTGTCTGTCTGGTCACAGTGGTAAAGCAGAACCAAACACCCTGGAATTATTAATAGCACCTGGAAATTAGACTCTTAGGTTACAAAGAAGCAAAACTGGGACTTCACCAACATGCCTTTGACTTTTATTTAACTATGCCTCAGAGATATTGTCTGTTAGAATTGGTCAGTAAAATATTGGATTTTTTTTTTTTTGTTGTGTAGGAACTATTTATACAGATTTTCTATTTTTAGGCTTTTTAGTCTTTGTGTAACAGGTCCTTACCATTTAAAACTACCGCGTTGTCATGCTTACCTGTTTTTGTACACTGGAAATTTTGCACATGTGCAAATATTTGCAATATAAAGCTGCTCTGACTTTTTTTCTAAACTCTGTATCTGAACGTCTGTGTTAAACTGCATGGTTTTCTCTTAACAGGCAGAACAGAGGCACGCAAAGCTGATAGTTGTAGTGTGAGAGCCAGAGGTCACTGCATGGGAACTGTTATCTGTGTTTTAGATTCTGTCTAACCCCAACACTCATCCTGACTCCAACCACTGATAGCTAGACTGCCTGGAAAGTTTTACAATTAACATCCTGTAGAGCTGTAATTGCAAAAAAAAATGTTTCCAGAGGCTGACGCTAACACTTGTTTTTTCCCCCCTCCCCTTATTCTATTTTTACGTCATTAAACATACATGCAATCTTCTAACCCTGGGAATTTTAGGTTTTCTCTTAAAGGGATGCCCAGCCATTTCTCAATAATTACTTCCTTGTTTATTTTCCTGTATTTTTATATGTCGCTGTGCAAGTGCAAGATGTTTTTGAGGATGTGTGTCTATTTTCTTTCCTGTTTTTTGTATTGTTTTGTCCCATCGCTGCAAAAATCCACTATTTAAATACAAAATATTGTTCTTGGATAAAGTAGGTGGAAAAAAACGTCAACAGGAAGTCTTGTTCATTTATCTGTGAGTTAGAGCACTGCTGTTGATATCCAAAACACCTTACAGAGCTCACACAGTCAATGTTGATTGTGTAGGGCCATAACCTTCATTTTTTTCCTGTGAGTAATTCTTGAAGAAAGGCTCAAACAATTATTTTATAAAACCAAATACATGGTCTTTATTGCTGAAATTTTATAACAAACATCAAAAACAATCAAGAGTAAAGGCAACAAATAAACTCAGTTCAAGCTTAGCTGAATAATGTAAACAATGGGAAAACATGCAACTGCAATAATTGAAGAATAGCTGCTGAAAAATATCCAGATTTACTCACTGGTGCTAAATACTGACATCTACTGGACATTTATGGTAATAGCACACACTTTCATAACATGCAGGAGATTCCATTTTTTTGAGACAATTATTTTGTGAAGACATGCAAACTACTGGACAATACATCAGCAGGTTAAGATGTCTGATGAGCAGGAAAACACATGGAAAATAATGTTCACAAGTCCATTAGAGAGGATTCACCTGAAAACACACACCACTTCTTGGTTTTCTGCTCATTTATGAGTCGCAACATAAAAATGTAACACAAAACATTGGTTCTTTTTTTCTTTAAAAAAAGAAATAACATTTTTAAAAATAAGAAATTTCATGAGAAATACAACAGATAACATCTTAAGGTCACTGAGGAACAGGGTAGAAAACTTTGATATGAATGGCTGAATTATTACGCGTACGCGTCATGGGCTCTCCCGCCTCGTCAGGATCTTCAGGCTCCAGGTCGTCAATGAGCTCCACTGTGGAGGTGTTGGCAGCCAGCTGCAGAGCCCCCTGACTACTGGCCTGCAGCTGCAGTGCAATGTTAATCGCTCTGTTGATAGCCAGACCCAACCCATGGACGCATATCTCCCTGTGACCCCCACCCTCCAGCAGCTTCTGACAACGCGCCAACTGAGCCCGGAAATCGGTTTTCATGTTAACGTAGACGTCGTTCCGCCTCTTTGGAAGTTTCCGGGGGAGACGCTTCCTCAGAGTGTACTCCACTGGATCCATCTCCACCGCCTGGGCGCTGGTCTCAGTCTGGGTGGGGTTATTCTGAGGGATGGCGGACATCCCAGGGTTGCGTGGTTCAGTCATTTTCTAGTTGAGATGAAGAAAGGAAAGACTTGTTTGCATACTTATTTAAAAGTTAAAATAAAGCACATAAATGTAAAAAAAAATAAGTAATTAACCTCAGCATTTAAGAAAGTCAAACAGAAATTAGCATGAGAAAGAACTGACCAGAAAGATACAATAGTCTATAAAATCACCTCAAGTTCACCTCAAATCATGTTACTCCTTCATATTTTATAAGATAAACTGATTATTCTATTATTCAGTGGTTATTTGCCTGTTACATTTACTTACTGAATTAAGACAAATAGATTTAGACTCCATGATGGAAATATGAAAGGGGATCACATCTGAAAACCAAACAAACCCTCAAACTTGTGCTCAACATAAATTAGAAAACTTGGTCTCCAGAACACACAGTTACGTTTATGTAACTAGCATAAACAAAGTGGCTCTTTACTAGCACTGCTGTTGGATCAAATGAGGATTTTTTCCATCATTAAGCAAAGGTTAATCTCCAAGAAGCTAAACCCCGCCTAACCGCTGCGCCGCCTGCACGCCCCGGCTCTGAAATGGAGCGCGCACACACCCAGGCTGGATCCTAAATCGAAAAATGTGGATTTAAAAGAAACCGTCGAACGATTTTGCTTCTCTGTTTGTTCATTTTCGTTACATAATTAATGATAATCAATCTTTATTGTCAAAATTTCTGCTACGACATAAACCAGCGTCAAGCTGAAAAAAATAAGCACGTTGACAGAAAAGATAAAGAAACGACCGACATAAATAATTGAATGTACCCTGAAATGAATTGATGCGTTAAGATGTAATGCTGATAAACTATCGACAAAATGAGGGGATTTACCTCCAGAAAACAGTTTAATCGTTGCTTCAGGTCGTCGCCATAATTTCCCCCCGTATCCGTACAAAACCGGACGTGACGTTTCTAACCCGGAAGTAAACATTCAGCTGGAACTTTTCGGATCTTCAAGTGGAAAAAGTGCCGTTTTCCTTTAAAGACGTTAAAAAATGGCATCTGATAGGGAAATAGACTGGGGTGACACTGGAAATGAAAGGAATAAGAAAATTGAGACTTTATTAAAGAATGTGCACGCTGGTCTCCCTGATCCACTAACAGACCCTGTGAAACGATCCCTGCTTAGAGGAGACTACCTGTACTTTCACTATGGCTGTGATGGACAAGATGACAGAGGATGGGGCTGTGGATACCGAACCATCCAGACCATGGCTTCATGGATCTACTTTAATAGCCCCCTGGTTAAAAAGCAGGAGACAGTCGCTCCAAGCCTCCCTCAGATCCAGAAAGCCTTGGTGACCATGGGGGACAAACCAGGCTCTTTCTTAGGCTCCAAGGACTGGATAGGGACCTTTGAAGCCTCCTTGGTGCTGGACTTCTTCTATGATGTCCCCTGTAAGGTGGTGCACGTTAGAGGTGGAGGAGCAGAGCTGGAGCAGGTTGCAGTGGAGGAGCTCCATCAGCACTTTGAGAAGCACTGTTCTCCAGTCATGATGGGAGGAGACAGGGACAATTCCTCTAAGGGTATATTAGGGGTTTGTACCGGGGACAGGGGGAGCTACCTACTAGTGGTTGATCCTCATTACTATGGGAGACAGCTGGAGGAGACAGAGCTGCAGAGGAGGGGCTGGGTGTCATGGAAACGAGTCTCATCACTGGACCAGTCCTCTTTTTATAACCTCTGTCTGCCTCAGACAGCCACACAGAGAAATTAACAGACGGAATATGTTAACGTTACCTCTAGTGCCATCTAGTGGTTGAAGTGTGAATTCATCTGATGTAATTTTTGTCCATGGTTCCAATAAATTGCTGTCAAAACATTCACTTCAGATTCCTGGTTTTTTGTTTTTGATTCCTGGTTTTTAGTTGTAGAAACAGATTATTCATTTTCTTCTTCAGGTTTCTGGAAATTGCATTTTGATTTGAGGAAATACTAGGATTTGAATCACAAAAGGAAAACAAAAGGACCCTAACTAAAGTAATATATCTGTTGGATAATGTTTCCCACCCCATGCATGAAGCTGGTGCTGAACTGGAAAGCTCCTTAAATGACAGACTGCTTCACCCTAAATGCACCAGGGAGCGTTATCACAGATCCTTCCTCTCAGCAGCTGGAAGATTTTATAACCATCACTGTTCCCAACAACCTCAATAAGTTGTTACATTCAGGCTTATTTTGCACAGTTTCTGTCTTAGTCACTTAAATAACATACTGCTGTCATTTTTGCACATCTCTGGTGTTGCTGCAATTTTTCACATATCCATTACTATAAAAATGTCCACAGCTGTTATTGATTATTTACTCCCCAGATACAGATCATTTATCTATTGCAAATACACTGTATAGTACAGTACAATACTTATCTGTTTATTTTCTTAACTCTGTAACTTATTCTGTTATTTTTATACACTTTCTAAGGTCCACATTTGTGTGACCACTTCTGGGACAATAAAGGGATTTTCTACTCTATTCGAAACTTAAATCTTTCTAAACCCATCAGTAGAGAGGAAAAAAAAAATTCAGAAAACGAAGCGTATCAAACTGGCATGTTGTTTATTTCACGTATTTTTTTTTCACACAAGGCAATGAAATTATAAATGGAACAATACATTTTAAAAAGTGTAGTGTACAATCGATCTTTATTGGATTTTTTATTTATATGTTTAGTTGGAATGATGGTAGCGAACCCTTTTCTTTGAGTTGCTCTCCCTTTGACCATCTTATGCCTTTACCTATGTCTTTGACTGATTTGACATAAGATACATCTGCATTTCTACAATATTAATGAATCTGGATGAATTGAGACTTAATAGTATAACACATGGATAATCGGGTAATAAATTGACTAAAATGCTCCTAGTTCCTGTCAATCTGTTCAATTCAATGTATAATTTCTTTCTAACTACAACAAGCTCAGGCTTTTTTTTATTAACTTCTATACTTATAACATCTAAGTTATCATTACATAGATTTTCTTAGTTATCTGGTACACAGTCATTGTAGAAAATCTGGAAGTTCTTGTCCACATCCATCCTTCCTTTAAGGAACTTCTCTAAATTCTTCAGGGGAACTTCCACCATCTGGTTGTTGATGCGATCGTTGAGCCCGTACGCCCCAAACACAGGAAACTTGTAGCGCACGAAGTACGGGGCATTCTGGTCGAACTGCGTGCAGCAATAGGCCGACCACATGTACTCTGGCACAGCCACTCTGTCCATGTTGTTGCGACGGATGGTGTGTCCCGAGGTGGTGACCCCGGTGATGATGTAGGCCTTTCCTCGGCAGTAGTTGTTGAGGCGTTTGCGGATGATGTCCTGGTGTTCGGCCCAGGGGCCCAGGTTAAACTCTCTTATCTGAGGCACCACGTTCGTCAAGCTGTAGGTGGAGGCTTTGTCCATAGGGTCGGCCTGATGCTCGTCTGGGTTTAGTTGGCCACGTTCATACTGAACAACGTCAGCGTAGTCTTCTAGGACTGCCTGGGTGTCCTCAAAGTTCATATGCATGCTTGTAGACTGGGGGAAAGGCTCCATGTTGCTGCTGCTCTTTTCTGATGCCAACTGTCGAGAGAAGTAAAAATCCTGCTAATATTTCTGTAGATCTACTGTGTAACTAATCAAACCTTACTTTTTATTCCACAAGGGAGCCTATCTCAAAGTTTTCTTTGTAAAGGCAGGGCCTTGTGATATTTAAACTTAGTTCCCAAAGGATAGAAGTAGGATTTTAAATAGAAAACATTTTCTAATTTGTTTAACTTAAACAGGATGATAGATTAAAACCCACCTGAGGTTCAAACATCCAGGGGAAGTCCACCTTTTTCTCTCCATCTGACTTCTTGAACGTATACGCTGAGTAGATGGGGATGTGTCTTTGGGGGTCATAGACTGTGGCATAGCGGGGTTTATCTTCGTATCTCTGGCAGATCCTCTTAAAGCTGTTGCCGAGGTATCCTCTCGGTGGAGTTCCCATGTACAGAGAATCCTTGCAGCGCTCTGCATGGTTGAAGTCGCTCACTACTCCTGCCTGGGCCCCTTGCTGTACCACAGAGGTGAGCACCATCAGAACAGCTGCCAGGGAAAGCACACGGTTTGCAGACGTAGGCATCGTCGCTGCAGCTTGTTTTTTCTCACTTTCTGGATGCACCTGCAGGTCTTTGTGATTCCTCTGGTGAATGAGGCTGCAATTTCCAGTGTCCAAAAAGTACAGCCTCCGTTTCGGCTCTATCAACTCAACATTTCCCTTCCTGCCTCATCAGTGCTTCCAACTGATATCGCATCGTAAAGTCTTTCCATATATTCAAATTGCTGCAAGTGAACTAGAAGTAGTTTAAGGCACTGAATGTTATCAGTCACTGAGAGCGTTTTATCGCACCTCTTTTTCACATTGCTGGCATGACTTTGTGGAATACATGCAGGAGAAACATGGATGGCTTTAATCCAGCGTTTGCATTAGTCTTAAATTTCACTAGGAACTAAAATAGAGATGTGATCCATGCCCATGTCTGCAGAGGAAACTCATCTTCAGAGATTAGAACCTAAACTAGCAATAAAATTACCTGATCTATGTTTATTTAGCATGCAAACATAAGTAATTAAAAAGAAAATAACAGCATTGTTTGATGCTGAATTAGCTCCAGTTACCTCACCTCAACCAGTCTTTTCCCTTTTTATGCTGACATCTTAGAAAGCTGCACATTTTAAAGGAAACAAGTAGAAATAAATTCTGAAAATACTGTGCATGCTTTCACATATTATGACTTACACTTTTCTAAACTATATTTATACCTTTTAAGGCCTTTTCTCAACTCGTATACACCAATCTGTGACTAAATTTAGCTAAAAAAAAGTCAACAGACAGATGTATAAAAAATCAAAAAGATAAGCTATTACAACCTTAACCGAGTGGTAATGTTAACAAAGTGGTAATGTTGATGTAAGGAATAATCTTCTCAGATTTTCTATCATTGGGGGATTGTGTATTGGCGTTCCAACGCTTCAGAGGCTGAATGTGAAGTTGAATAATGACAAGGAAGTTTTTTAAACAACTACATATATGACATTAGAAAGACAAAGGTCCTCCAGTCCAGAGTCTGCAACCTACTGCTCCTCCCATTAAATAAATTAAGATAACCACATATCAGCGTTTAATTTCAAAGTAGGGCTTTTAAAAGTGAATCAGGTTTTAAACAAAAGGGATCGAAGATGAATACATTTATGTTTTAGTCAACAATAACAATACCTGGATATGTTAATGGTGAAGCAGAGGCTTGCTATATAGCTGTGACACAAGAGCTGAATATTAGTAGAGCCTGGCATGGTTATCTGAACGCTCAAAAACACTTGATGGCACACTATAACTATAATAATACAGTAAGACAGCATTTATGATCCAAATGATAGGCTTCAAAATTTATTTGTCACAACATAATCATTTTCTATTTCTATTCAGAACTGAGATGGAGATTCTCGCTAATTTACAGGTTCCAAGTTTGGACAATGTGTGTGACATTATCTGGACTTCAATATTGAAATTTTTAAAAGATAACTGACGTTGTTGCACTATTTTATCTGTTTCAATATGGTTGTAACAACCACCTAGGTGGGAGATCTTGGTCACAAATTATGTGAATGACTGAGAAATCCAGAATAGCTGTGTTGTTGTTTTTTTTTTATTATTATTTATTTTAGGTTTTAGGGGTTTGAAAAAAAAAACAATCTAGGCTTAAACAGGTTAAATATTTCTCAGCTGCACCTCAAATCATCTGATGGTAATACCTTAGTCAGCATCTCTTAATCAGCTGCTGAAACTTCATACCATTCCCATCATTCCTATTCATTCATTTACAAGCAGTTCCCTGATCTAGAAAATGATGTTCATGTACTACCTGACACTTCTAATATTAAATTAGGCTTAAAAAAATAACCAAAGACAGCTTGATACAACATTTTATTTATATATAATCAGAGGATTCATTCAGAAGGTTTTTGTAAGATGAAATAATGTTCCTGACGGATAACTAAGAGAGTTTATGGTTCTTGTGGTGGATGATTACATACCTCCTTTTAAGGCTTTTCATACAGGTCCCTTTCTGCTAATTGATAAGCTGTAAATTTGTCATGTAGTAATCATATTTCAACTTCATGCAATATTTTTTTATGTTAAAATATTGAGGTTGTTTCAGTAATTGATGCCCAAGCCTAGTCCTAGTCCTTGATTATTTAAACTCCCTCATCAGCAGGTCAGTCAGCTCCACAGAGGCCTGGCAATGAGACATTTATTTAATTCAGGTGTGATATGAGAACTGGACTTCTGGTTTATATGAACAGCTAACAACAACCCTAACTGATTTCTATTAGTATTTCAATCTGGGTTCTTGTTCTGAACATCCTCTTGTCTGTAACTTTCTTTTTTTTTTCTTATATGACACTATAAGAAATCTTATATAGAGAATAAAGTTCTGTAATCACTGTCACATGTGTTAACAAGCCACAAAAAAACATATTCTATGATAAGATTCTGCTTATATTGTTGGTTAAAAAGCTTTTATTGTATATTTTTCATATAGTGAAATTATTAGTAGTAGTAACCTTATTTTTCTTTAAACTCACAATTTAACTAAAATACTTTTCTTAGTCAGCTTTCCCGGATGATATAGGTTTGCAGTCCCCTACAAAAATTTGAAAGTTCTGATTCACAAACATTGTCTTCTTGAGGAACTCCTTCAGCTTAGGGACGGTGAGCTCCACAACTTCGTTATTCTCATCATCATTCAGGGCATAATGAGCAAAAGACGGGAACTTAAAGCGCTCTGTAAAAGGGGTGTTGTGGTCGTAGTCGGCGCAGCAGTAAGCCGACCACAGGTAGGTGGGCACGGCGATCCGGTTCATGTTTTCTCTACGGATCATCTTCCCTGACGTGGTTATCCCGGTCACTATAAAGGCCTTCCCGCGGCAGTAGTTGTTCAGCCGTTTGCGGATGATGTGCTCCTGTCTGTTCCAGATTCTGTCGCTGAAGTCGGGCACCATGGGGACGACGTTGGTGAGGGTGTAAGTGGAGGCCTTGTCTTCGAGCTCGTTCTGATGCTCGTCTGGGTTCAGGGTCCCTCGCTCGTAGAGTATTGCGTTGGTGTAGTCGTCGAGAATCGCTTGAGCGTCTTCAAAGTTCATGTGCATGTAACCATGAGGAAAGGGCTGCATCTCTTCTGTTTCTGTAAGAGTGGACAGCTGTGCAGGACACAGAACAAGAGAACAAGCATGACGCATGTCATTACATGTCATCAAGAAATAAAGCATGGGGCAAAAACATGCAAAAAAGCAAAGTAATCGCTTCTTGATTCAATGTTTTAGTTGTCCGACCAGTTTTCCTGCTCTCCTTACCTGTGGCTCGTACATCCAGGGAACATCAATGCAGTTCTCCCCATCCGAGCGTTTAAAGATGTAGGCAGAGTAAATAGGAATGTGATCTTCCATGTTGTACAGAGTCACATAGCGAGGCTTCTTGCGGTAAAACTGACATATGTACTTAACAGAGTGGTGTTCCAGACCTGTCGGTGGTGTTCCCATGTAGAGAAATTCTCTGCACTCTGGAGATAGCTCTATTTCCACTCGCCCTTGTACCGCTGCCAATAATAAGCTTGCAAGCCAGAAACCCATCCATAGCCAAAACGCCATAATCAAAATATGAAACAATGTCTTCAACCCAAATCCACCTGCTGCTAAATTCGTGTTTAATATCTGAATGTGTCTCAGTTTGTCCTGTGGTGTTCAGCAGAAAAAGTTATGCAGGTTTTACACGTGTTCACACCTCTGTGTAATCTGGAGAAAGTATGCAAGTGATGGACTTTAGGCAGAGCAGATCCACCCACTGACAGGAAAAACATTCAGTAACCAGCAGCAAAGGGTCAAATGCATCTCCTACCAACAGAAAAGAAAACGAAAAGCCTTCCATCCTATCTAGCTATGGTTAATCAGCATTTGTCATGAGGCTTCGAATTGAGCTTTTTCCACTGATCGTCCTTGAGACGTTTCAACTGCTAAAATGGCCTCCACTTGATGAGATGTGGAATTTGAGTCTGTCAAGGATCAAAACCTGTTCCACTAATTCCAGATTGCAACTTATTCAATTCAAGGTTATCCATTGTTTGCACTTTTCTAAAACCAAACTTAACTTAATTTCCCAGTGTCTCTCCAACATGTGACAAATGTGAATCAGATAATGGGACTTTGGGTCATTTGTTTTGCTCCTGCCCTAAGCTTATGGACTTCTGGTACAGAATATTTAAATTTTATAGTAACGCCGCTTAAAAAACACAAAAACGACAAAGTTCTATATCCGGAAAACCATTTGGTAATTCTTGGTTGCTCTAAATTCTCTATTACTCTTCGCATGTCTCTGCAGCAGGCTGTAATGTTTGGTTTGGTGGTTGCGAAATGGGTTATTCTGCTGGAATGGAAATCCTCTACCTCTCCATGCTTCAAGAAATGGCTCAATGATATGGTTTCCTGTATCTATCTCGAAGAAATTCGATACTCTTTGTCAGACAATCATGATAAGTTCCTTGATGTGTGGGGTCCTTTTAATAGACACATTCAAAATAATGGGTTAAAATGACTCTCATACTTTTCTGGACCTTTTTTCTTTTTTTTTTATTCTTTTTTTTATTATTCATTATTATCTCAATACTGTCATCCTTTATTGCACTCTTCTTTTATTGATATCCCATGTTTTATGTTGATCCGCTTGACACAATGTCTTCAGAATTGTTTGTTGTCCTCTCTGACTCTGCCTTTTGCTTTAATATGCTCTACAGTTTAATTAGTACATCTTTTATCCTGTTATCAGTTCTCCAGTTTGCTGACACTGTTTTGTGTTGTTTTTTGTTTTTGCTGTACTTGTGTACTGTTTTGCTGTATTTTTTTCTCTTTTTTGTCTTGTCTGTTTAACTCTGAAAAAGCATAAATTAAAAAAAAAAATGGCCTCCACTTATGGTTAATGAATTGTATTGGACATGATTAAGAAAAGGCATGCACCTTCTATAGGCACCACAGTTAAATGTGCATGTTGGAGTCTAAATACCTCGCATCACGCAAAAGAGATTGTCTGAGACAGGACTGCCTTGAGGAGCAAACCTAGGGAAGGGTACAGAAAATGTCCTGCTAGTTTGCAGATCCCCTGGAGTTGTGAAACCACCTGTGTTTTCCCTAAAGCCTGGCCAGCCATCTTAATAATCAGGAGAGAAGGACCTTCATCATGGAAGTGACCAAATACCCCCAATGCTCCTCTGTGAAGAGAGAAGAACCTTCCAGAAGGTCAAACATTTCTGTGAGCCTTCAATCAGGTCTATATGACACAGTGTTCAGACATAGGCTTCTCCTCAGTACACAGCAGAATGTCTGAAGTAAACCAAAGACACATAAAGGACTTTCTAGACTATGAAAAATAACTAGTGTGATCTGAGAATACAAAGATTGAACTCTAGTGGGAATGCTAGGTGATACATTTGGAGGAAACACCCATTTGTCAACCACTAAATGTCCGTTATTAGCGGTTATCAGTCCCATTGAATGGCTTCAGACTGCGCCTCCTCTACCTTCTATTAGGTTTCTTATGGCCTCTTATCTTATGCAGCTTATTGTTAATAATAGCCACTTTGGCCATGTATAAAACCTTAAGTTTCCATTTCTATTCACTTTATACTTTTTATCTAATTTATTTACAGCCTACGTTTTTTGTTTTTTTTTAAGTGCGTTTTAAAGTTTTACTTTGAATGAATTCCTCATATTTCAGTCAAGCATATTTAATTAGGTGTTTAGAGAAACATCTCAGTTGACAGGATATGATATCTTTTGGAGGGGTTGTTCAACAAGAGTTACATGCCAATCAACTTTTTTATATGATAGTTGAAGAACTACTAAAATTATATTCAGATTACACGTAAATACATAACAATAACAACTACTGATAACAACCTACTGGTAGGTAGGAGGCACAATCTGTAGACATTCTATGGAACTCCATTTAATGGGATGATAACATCCAAAGATGCTTTAGGAAACCAGGCTCCCATCCATCCTCTGATCATTACTAGCCCTCCGAAGCATGGTGGTGGCAGCACCATGCTGTGGGGATGTTTTTCAGCATTAACCTGAGGAACTGGCAGAATAATCAGGCGGAGGAAAGAGAAATGCAGCAAAGTTCAGAGTTGGCCTGGTTGAAAACATGCGTCAAGGCGCTCTAGGCCTTATACCGGGGCACCAACCAGAGGCAAACAGCCAAGAACCACTCTGTGAGAGTCTTGAGTGGCCAAGCCAGAATCCAGAACTGAATCAGATGGAACATCTATGGAGAGATCTGAAAAGGGCTTTGGGATACTGCTAAAAAGGAATAGGATAAACTGCTCAGTGATCGGCGTGTTACATTTGAGGCCTCGCATTCAAAAAACACCTGGGGCTGTACATGTTGTTAAAGGTGGTTCAAAAAAGTACGAAACAAAAGGTTTGAATACTTAAGTAAATTTGGTTTCTAAGGTTTCTGTTATGAAACATTTCCAACAATAAAATATTAATAAATATCAATAAAAATACTGTCCCTTAAGAAGTCCCATTAAGGAACTTTGAATATCTTTGAAGCCTTGAATTAAATGTACACCATGAGAGCAATAATTCAATAAAAAGCCTGCATTTGGTGAGCTAAATAAGGCTGATCTGCTAGTACGCTCACCGTTTACAGTCAGCCCGTCTTTGCTTTATGAATGTCCAAGTAGCTGCCCCTTTTTTCACTAGAAGTCAAGATTTCTCTAAACATCACAGGAGGTATAACCTTTCAGACCTTTTTTTTATGTATTTATTACTGTTTTCAAGGCTGCACTTCAAAAAAATGAAACTGTCTAGAGTTGTTTTAAATGAAATTTATTTTTGTATACACACGTGTTTATAACATGACAAAATAAATCTGTCTAAGTCTAAGAGTATAATCATTGTTCAAATCATATTTTATGCCCTAAAAATAAATAATGAAGACATAATCAAGCTGATTTTATTAGCTTCATTCTGAGATGATCTCAGCGTTGTGACATGGGTTATTATTATGGTAAAAGTAGTAAACAGAAGATATGGACACTGTGATAAAAAACAAGATGAGGAAAGTGTCAGAAAGGATGTGAAATTCAAAGGACGTTCAACTGGTACTGGACGGCCCAAAGTGACCCCATATATGTTTTTTTCTGTTTTCATTTTGGTTCCTTTTGCTTTCATATTAAACTGTCTGTAGATCTTCTACTCACATCAGTCGGAGGATGTCTTTGTTTTAGATTTTTTTAAATACTTCAGTATATTTAATGTCTCCTAAACATGTCAATGTGGCCTTTGCATCATATATTTGAATAAGCTTTCATACACTATCAAAAAGAAAGAAATTTGTCTCTAATGTTCAGTTTATTAAACACGGAATTTTTAAATATTTAGGGACCTAAATGTATTTAAGGTATTCTTCAATTTAAAGGCCTAAGGAAGGAAAAAAGTTGACTGACATTTAGAGACCTTAGTAATTGTGTGCCTGCAACAAGCTGACCTTTTATGTGGAGCCCAGCATCCCTTTCTGAATATCTGAGCAGCAGTCGATATATTTTCCTAAAAGCATAGGGTGATATGTAAACCATATAGATTATGTCAGTACACATCTACTCTGATAAATGTTACATAGGAGTTAGTGTGGTTGACGTCTGTCTGTAGTCACCTGCTGGCTGGGTTTGGTTAAGACATTAGGAACAGTTAGAGCTAAATCCACACCCAGGGGCAGGATTATAAAACACAGAGAACACACACATGCACAACTAAAACCTACAAACACTATGTGAAGGATTCCAGGTCAGGATTTGAACCCGGGACCTTCTGGCTGACAGGCCTGATAAAAACAGGACAACTCTTCAGCCTCATTTAAATACCTTTCCATAGTTTTCTTTAGGTTTTATAGAATTGATCAAAATATTGTGCATTAAATTGCAAATTAAGAGAATTGAAATCAATCTTAACATCTTCATAAAATGTTTGTTTTAATATTTTTTTTCTTAAAACAGCATAAAAAAACACAATGTTGGGTTAACATGGATGCAGCACAACAAACAATAGAATTTCACTGATCTGCTTTCACTCAGTTTATAAATATGAGATCATCAGCTTAAAGAAAACAAAAAAAGAATGGATTCAGAAATTGTTGATATATCAGTTCACTGCTGTGTGCAATATGCTTTTTTTAATGTTTTTTTTTATATATATTTGTTCAAAGCTTTCCAGTTATATATATATAAAACAAATGTTAGGAATATCATTGACATAAATTCCTGAAGCATCATAACTCACCAAACAAAAATGGCATAAAAAAATCGTACATTTAATTAATAAATTGTCCTAATGTAATCTGTGGGCTCTATTTGCGATAAAGGAGACAACTGATTAATGTTGCATCTAAGGCAGTTCATTAGAATTTGTGAATTGGTGAAAAAAATTGATTCCTTCAGTAAAACTGCAGGGATTGGCAAAAAGAAAAGTGGAGGAAACCATCTATGTAATAAAGATTTGTTTTAACTGTTTATATAAACTTTTTTTTTCTTTTAGTTTGTTACAATGACAGGACATTTACATATTGGCATATACAAAAATCAGATACTTCTGTTGGTCTGTCTGTCTTGCACAATCCCAACAACAGGATTTATAAGTTGCCACTGAATGCATGATGTTGATAAATTGTATAGGATTTTACTATCCAGTAGGCAGTACTTTCTGTATATAAACTGCTCCATATGTCCTGGTTGGGAGATAATTTGTTTTCCTTAAAAACTATAATTCAATAAAAACTTATAAAGCTACATAATGAACACTGTACTGGTTTAAATAAAAAACAACCCCGTTTATACAGTTTGTAGGGCAACACTGGAAACATCTCGTCTTTTCTTCCTTATGGTATTTTCTGACACACAGTCCTTGTAGAAAATAGTCATGTCATCATTGGCACCAGATTGGCTCCTCAGAAAAGTTTCCAATTTCTTAACTGGTACCTCCACCACGTTATTGTCAGCCTGTCCGTTCAGGGCATAACCGCCATAACTGGGGAACATGAACCTCACTTCATAGGGCGAGTTACGGTCAAACTGTGGGCAGCAGTATCCCATCCATATGTGTTTTGGTATTGAAAGGCGGTCCCTGTTGTCGCGCCTGACTGTGGCCCCTGAAACGGTTATTCCAGTCACAATGTAGGATTTTCCATGGCAGAAGTTGTTAAGGCGGCGGCGGATTGTATCTAGGTAAGGGTTCCAGGAGGTCTCCAGGAAGTCCGTGATCAGAGGAACAACATTGGTGAGGGTATAGGTAGAGGATTTGTCGTCTGGATCTGATTGGTGCTGATCGGGATTCAGTGCGACACGTCTGTATTCCACAGCATCTATGTAGTCCTCCAAAACAGTCTGACTGTCCTCAATAAGAGGAGATGTGTCTGTCATAGGAAGCACCTTCATGTTACTGCCCTCACCTTCAGACACCAGCTGTAGGGGAGAAATGAAAACATGTATAAGAAAAAGAGAAACACAATGAAGATGGATCTATATTTCTAACTATAATGTAGGCTAATTGAATATTTTGTTGTGTAGATTTGCTCAGACTAATTATGTGTTGTTAAGAATAAAAGATTTTTTTAAACTAGCACATGAAAAAATTTCTGGCTGACTGAAGTGATAAGTACGAAAGAGGATTACAGCCACTGGGGAAAAAAAAGTTAACTGATTTTTAGATTTTATTTCAGTTTAATATAGGAAAAAAGTCAGAATTCGGACTTTTTTTTTTCTCAGAATTCTGACTTTAATCTCAGAATTCTGACTTTTTTTCTCGGAATTCTGACTGCTAACAAACATGTTAGCATCAAGCCATAGCCATGTCTGTTTTAGAGACTAGTTCTCTTGTTTTAATGACCTTCTGCTCCTCCATTAATGAGGGGACCCCTCGGGCACGTAAAAAGTTGCCTAATTCCGTCATTTTCCACCAATGTGTCACTGGCCACCTCAAACAACTCACATCTTTGTCAGTGAAGCTGAGTGCTCACACATCTCTTCCTTCATGGTGCCCATTTACATTAAGATCCAAAATTCTGAGATTAAAGTCAGAATTCTGAGAAAAAAGTCAGAATTCTGAGATGAAAGTCAGAATTCTGAGATGAAAGTCAGAATTCTGAGATGAAAGTCAGAATTCTGACTTTTCTCCCCATGTTAAACTGAAATAAATTCTAAAAATCAGTTAACTTTTTTTTCAGTGGCCCTAATCCTCTTCCGTAGATAAGTCACGTGACTTGCACATAGGAGGGCCCTGTGTGGGGAGGATGAGCTGCCAGTGTGGGTCCTTAGGCAAGATCCTTCAAGCTAATGCCTACCTCATTGTCTCTACGTTGTAAGTCACTTTGGATAAAAGTTTATGCTAAATGCATAAACATCTTTTATTTTTACAGCAGAAAATTCAAACAAACCAAACAAACACTCTGCTTCCTCTACCTGAGGTTCGTACATCCACGGGGTGTCTGCCCTCCTCTTCCCATCCGACTTCTTAAAAATGTAGGCTGAATACAGCGGGAGACGCAGACTGCTGTCGTACAAAGTGGCGTAACGCAGCTTGTCTGCATATTTTTGGCAGATCCTCTTCAAGCTTGTCCCTCCGATTCCCGAGGGAGCCGTTTGCATGTAGAAAAACTGCCCGCAGTCTCTGAAGCTCTTGGACACAGTGGCATTCACCATCATAAAACAGAAAGACAGGATGCAGGCGCCAAACAAATGCATTTTTACACAAATGAAACCGAAAAATACACACAGAGGGCTTGAAATGTTTTCCATGAAGAAATTCCACCATGATAGATCATTTTAATGGCTTAGTGCTGCTCTCAGTCTTGTGGAGCATAAAGGAAGTTGGACGCAGACAAAGTATGCAAATGTTCAAAGGCTTAGAGCGAATCTATTGGCTGGTTAAACCTTATCTGGTCCAACAATTACAGTGCAGCCAAGCGTTGCTGAGTAATAAAACTGTTCACTCATTTGTACATCAAACTTGGAGTAAGTGTTTGAACTACAAAAACAACAAATCAGTTTAACTAGTTGCATATACCATAGAGGCCGCCTAAGAGCAAATAGAAGCCAGCATTTGTTGGTTCCTTTCAGCTACAGGAAACTTTACTGTAGTAAGCAAACATCATCTTGAAGACTAAAAACTATGTAAGCCTAAATCAAGAAACTTAAAGCAGGTATAGGTTATATATACAGCACAGCTGCAAACCAATTAACACCAGCAAGGACATCAGTAATTAGAGAAACTGCTTGCAGTAACTCTGGAGGATCTGATGAAGGTTATCTGGCTAGAAAAGGTCAACATGTAAAAAACCCCACTAAAAATGAAATAATATGCCGCCAGCCCCACCTGCCTCTCTGTGGAGGTGTTCAGCTTTTACAGCAGAGGTTGTGAACCTGTTAAAGCAGATGTGATCATGTATGAAACTAAAAACGGGATATAATGGTGATGGAAAAAGTTGAATGCCACGGGGAAAAAAACAGGATGAAAATTAACCTCCCAGCAAAAAGGAACCCCAACTATAAAGCTAACTCAAAATGGTTACTTAAGATTTAGCTCAGTTGAACGTTCCTTATGTAGATACTGTAGTAACTGTCATGGCTGCATCAAAGAAGCCAATGGATTTCACCACTCTTCAGCAATCTCCTTAGTGTCTGATCATTTCTTGGCTGGCACATATGTGCCATCTTCAAATATCATTTTATTTTCCTCAGGGCTGAGGAATGGTCATAGTGTGAGAAGAAAGTTCCAAAAACATGAGCTGATCACATCATTTAGCATGTGCTACATCACAGCTGATCAGACAGTTCCTCAGTTGTGATGCCAGGGCTCCATAGTGCTCTGCTCTGTGGGTTTCATCTAACAGACATACTGTGATCTGACAGTTCATCTGTTATAGATGAACTAAAGGCTTTTTGTAGCAGAAGTTATTGTGTATACATGGTTAGCAAATAAGATAAACATTACCTAATGTGCACCACATTAGGGGAATATTCCAACCTCTCAGTTCACCCTGATGCTCATCAGAAACACTTTAAATCAGAACAAAGATGAAAATGTCAGGTAGGTTACTAAATCCAAATTCAATCCAGATGTTTGAATTAGTTAATTTTAGAACTTCTGTCAGGGAAAATTACATTATTTCTCATTAATACTTCCCGTTGCTCTAGCTACGAAAAATCTAATTTTTCCTGTTTGTAAGAGTTAATGTTGTGGGGCGCAGCCTGTAGCTGCCATGACTCTCATAGCTCATTCCAACAATGGTAGCTTCGGCTTTATTAAGCAAGAAGTGTGAAGATCGTACTACAGGTGAGGGGAAAAAAAACCTCCACCAATATTAAAAAATTCAATGAAATGTGATACATTTTAGTATTAAGAAATAACTTAAATACCTTTTATTAAATAAATCTTATCCCATCTTGACATATTCAATTTTAAAAAACATGTTTTTGTTTGTGAAATTATTGCAACACCACATAAAATAAGTTGGAAAATGCGGATTTAACTTAATTATTAAGTTAAATCATAATTAGTCATTATAAATTATTTGCCCCAAACCTACAGTTATTTTTGTTTCTTTATGTATCTAATATATTCTGTACAACTCTTTAAAAATCTGGAGACACAAAGATTTTTTTGTTGTGAAAACTCCCCAGGTTCAGAGAAATATATTTAAAACAAGTTTTATTGTAATAAAAAAAATATATATAAAAAGACATATGTTTAATGACATAAATTTAATGTACAGTGACATTTTTTGTTCAATACACTGTTTTAGTGAAACATTTTTTTTTTTACAAAGAATTTTACCATTTAAAAAAAATGCTTTTCTTTACAATATCTTATTTGCATGAAAAGTAGCAATATGATGTAGGAATGTTAAGTTGTGATGTTTATTGTCTCCTGATACAGACAATTTTTAAAATGAACAAACAGTAAAATACATCCCACCAGTATTGGATGTTCTACTTTGGTACTATGAGCAATTAGAATTGAATCGTCTAATCGATCTTGAACGCTTCTATAACTTAAGCTTAAATATGATAGAATAGCAACTAGCATTTGTTTTACAAAGAGAAACATACCATCACTAGATAGATACAGCTGCAGTCATTTAAACTCACATCTGTGTCCAGCTGTTGTTTTCATGCAGAGTAATTAGCTGAAAGGTGCATGTGTCTCTATGTGTAACTATTTCCTGTGTATATAATAGAATTTCTTTGAAATAACTTTAAAATGCAAACATGTTCATGGTTTTTCAGGTTTATATAGTTAGAGCCACAATATATTAAAGACTGGATTTTTCTTTTTTTTTAAATGATGAGGACTAGTTGTTTTGGTTCTAGCCTTAATCAGATCTTTAACCTTTAGATATATATGAAAGCTAAGATATGATTTGTTTATAATCTTTTAGCAGAGCAGTACGTCATATATCCTGAATTATCAGGCAGTTTCCCAAGATGCTTTCAGTTGATATACATGATAAGAACTATAAATTCACATTTTAACTTTTACAGAAGAAGATGTTTTGTGCTTTAAAATGGCAAAATAAAGAGCTCAATAAGGCTGTACATTTTAAATACACAACACGAATTGTTGTTATAATTGAAAAAAAAGAAGAAAAAAAAGATGAATTTCTCGGTTGAAGTTCCATGATCTCTTTCTTTGAACCTGCTCAGTCCTTTCAGATAACTGGAGAAAGTGAATCTCCAGAAGCTGAGGGACACATCCTGCCAATCACAGAGAAAGGTTAATGGGCCAACTTCTTACTGTTCTGTGGTCCTGGATATAAGGCAGAAAAGAAAAACAAAATTTCATAAACAGGACACACACAAACATCAGGAAAAAAAGATCTATGTAAAGGGACCTACTTTGTGAATGTACTTACAATCCATCCTAGCAGTACTTCTAAATGTCTTACAAGTTATATAGAGGAATCAGCGGACGTACAGGGTTAGGTTTTTTTTGGCAGTGATCATGCAAAAATTATAATGAAAAAGAAATGCAACATGAAAAAAATATGTTAAAATAAATAAATAAGATTAATTAATGCATCGCATAATTTTTTCCCCCCCATTGAATATATTAAAAAATGATTTTGATGTATTTCTAAAAAATATAAACGTTTTTGATCAATTTGATTGGGAAGAGGTTTACTAATTTTTTCTTCTTTTTTTTTAACTGAAGCTTGCAGTTACTATAACCCCCATGTAATCCCCCTGTTTCAACTATATGGATATTTTGTTTAACTGTTTTCCCCTTGCAATATCCATCAGGTTAACAAATCTCTGACAACGTGTTTGAACTGATTCCCAAGACAGAATTGAAAGGAGCTATTTAACCTAAAAACCTCTCAACTAACATATTAGCAGGCAGCTAATCAGTAAGAAGCTCGTTCCTGCAGCTTACCCAAATACCAACCAACAGATACTTTTCTGACCCTCTTATGAATGCATTAGATTTAGCAACACCATTATGGACATCACTACGCTTAATCATAATCAGGGGTGTTAAATGATCATTTCCCTCTTTTAATGACAAACAAAACCTTTAAGCATGTTTTAGGAATATAATATAAAGCAGCCTCCTCCAAAGCTGCTTACTGAAAATGTTATGTTTTGGGTCAAAAAGCTATTTTGTAAACATTGTTATTGCAGATTGAAATCATAGTCATAAAAACATATATATCTGTGCAGTTGAAGCTATGTGTGCTTTGGGTGTTTTTTTTTTAATTATTATTATTTCTGTTTTATAGATTTTAACAAGTTAATTCATGAATACAGTTACTGGTTTCATTAAGATGGACTGAAGGAAAATGATTTGGAAGTAGTAAAAAAAAATAGTGTTCAGTTTTTATTTTTAAACAGCTCCCCCTAGTGGGCTCTCTGTATGTGCTGCGAAAATATTCCTACATTTATGAGTGTACAATTAGATTAGCATTAGCGAGCTTAATCTATTTGTGTTTTTATCAATTTGAAAAAGTGAAACTCAGATGTATATTTAGGGATATTCATGACATTTTGAGATATTTATAATGTTTTTTTATTAGTATGTGGTAAAATTCTAATCTTCAACTCAGGAAATCCAAATAATCTGTAGAAATAAAGGTCTGAATTAATATTTACACCCATTTCTCTTTTGTAAATTGAGTTATTGATGTTTTTTTCAAAGGAAAACAAGTTTCTGCACATCTTAGCTATTCAGGGAAAAAAGAAGCAATGATTAAGTTCGAATTACAACATTTAATGTTATGAATTTGACAGTTTTAATGTAATATTCACATTTTTGACAATATTATATTTAAGTTTTAATCAACATTGAGCCACACTAATCAAATTAATCCACATTTTCGTCCTTTTTGCTGCGGTAAACACCAGAATTTCCCCATTGTGGGACAATAAAGGGATTTTCTATTCTATAATGTTAATTTCCACACAAATGTACTTTTTTTTTTACTTAATGAATCATATTTTATACTTAAAATGTGGGTAGTTTTTTTCGCAGTTTTCTTGTTAAAGTTTTGATCTAGTGTTTTAAGCGCTTTCTTAATAAATAAACAACCAGATGAATGAATGAAGGCTTTATGATCCACGTTACTAAATCTATGAAAAAAGGCCCCCTCTAGTGGTCACTATGCACATCTGCAGTCAGTTGTAGCCTCGAAACTTACAACGAACTACCATAATTACCCAAATATTCATATAGTATTTTAATCATTTTTCCTGGCGTAAACATGTAGTTTTTTGGGAATAACTATAGCGGAAAAGTATTATCCTCTCGCGATAAAACACGTTGCTACCTCGCAAGCCGGACGTTCTGGTTTTCAAATGCAAAGGAAATAAACTGGCCTCTCTGTAAAGTTGGCTGGTTTATTAATAGAATCCATTAAAAATAACAAAACAAAACAACAAAAACAAAAAACAGAAGCAATTTAGAGCAGTCCTCATAGTACCCAGGCTGGTAAACAGGGGTGTGTTTGCGCTGCGCCGACATTGGCTCTCCGCTTGTCAATGTTCGGGTCACGTGGTGTCACACGGGCGGCCATGTTTTCTGAAACACAAACAACAAGAGAAAAGCAGCAGCAGCAGCAGCGACTCGGAGCCAGCAGACACACACACTGAGCGACCGTTGGAGGCGAGGGAAAGAAGAAAAAAAAAACGGAAATAAAAAAAAACAGATTTACAGATAATAACGCGGAGCAAGATTATTTTTCCTCAGTAATATTCTGTCGAATGAATACGTTTACAGTGTTTAAAAAGACCAATGCATACCATATATCGGCTGTAGAAGCGCCGTGCAGAGCAGCAGTCTGAAGGTAAGCAACCGTTGCTCACTGCAAGCTAGCAGGGAGCTAACCTTAGCCATGAGGCCTGTTTTCACTACCCTGTTTCCACCGCTGGAAAAGTATTTTAAATATCAGCATTCTATTATATTTATCAGCGGACTTCTGCAAAAAAAAATAAATAGCATGGGTATGCTAATGCTAATGGAAGGTGATCGTGGGCAGCTCGGCGGAGCAGGCCGGGGAGTCAGGTTCCCAACAGTCCGCCCCCTCCGCCATCATATCTGGTGTCATTTGAACCTACACGCCAAGGCCTTTACGAGCAAACTGCATAACTTAACTAGTTTAGGTAGCAAATTTGGGAAACCTTTATTGGATATTTTCTAACGCGCGTTGCGTACATTTAACGATTCAACCGTCCCTACGTTTTAAATTTACCGTAATTAGCTTAATAGCCTGAATGGAAATATTTGTGTAGCTGGAATGCTAATGTCAACGCTCACCGTCGTTAGGAAGCGTTTTACTCCACTGTTTTTAAATGGTTTTTACTGAGTTATATGAGTATTATCATTTCCATAGTCCGTTAACAGGGTTAAAGGTTTTAAATCGCAGCTATTTGAATTTGATTATAGAGTAGTTTCTCAGCCCTGGTGACCTTGCTTTAGCTTTATTATTACACTTTTAATTGTTTAAGATACGAGCTAAACAGGCCGAAGTCGCAAATATGTTTTTTTAGTTTAATGTTGTTGCTTTAATTTAAATGGAAAAGAAAAGCTACGCATGTTTAGGAAGTTTTATTTCTTAAGGGTTTTTTATGGTGTTTGGGCAGAAAAAAAACGTTACTCAACTTGTAAGTGGATCAACCACTTTTGTTCTCATTTCGTTTTTTAAAATGTAAGATTGTTCTTTTCAATTATTATTATTATTATTATAGTGTGTTGTGTTCAAGCTTTTAACTTGTAGAATACATTGATTTTGCATTTAAAGATAGATTTGTTGAAGTTACTGTCGAAACTTGCCAGTGTTTCCCCTCAGGTTGTAGGTCTCTAAGCTTTTGTTTTTATTTACATGTGGTAATTTGGATTTCTTTAAACTTGAAGCAGTGAAACAATTAATCAGATTATTCGTCATCAATTGATTGTTGAAATAATCTTCAACTAATTTAGTAATCGATTACTCTTTCACTTATAGACTCTACAACATGCCTTTTGCTGACAGAGCAACCCAAATGGAGCACTAGTTATATCAAAATTGTAAAAAAAAAAAAGTAAACATTTTGCATGTAACATAAAAAAATGTTTTGAGCTGTCAATATGCTCTATCCAGAACTCTGCAAATGGAAAAGTTTTAGTTACAGAAGTCTTCTTTAAGGACCCTTCTGCTATCCGATTAGAATAGAATAGAAAATCCCTTTATTGTCCCACAATGGGGAAATTGTGGTGTTTATAGCAGCAAAGGTTATAGTAGAAGTGGTCACACAATGTTCACCTTAAAGTTTTTATGAATAACAGATAGGAAAATAAAACACATTAGAGATGTTCATGGATTCTTTAAAAAAATAAAGGACAGATTAATCGCTTTGCAGAATAATCATTAGTTGCAGCCCTAATCTTGTGCAACTTTGGTGTTTATTCTCATGGAATGGATTTGTGTTGCAAATAGTGAGGATTAACACTTAATAAATCCCACTTGGTTTTTCAGCTTGTTAAAGAAGTCATTCCCACATATAAGCTCTGACTTTAAAAGCAAACTAATCTGATGGGTCAAATTTTCATGCAGTTAGTGGTAAGTGCTGTCCATGTCAAAATTCATAATTTTTGACTAATTTCTTAGTTGGAGTTCGGGAGTTAATGGTTTTAGTGATCATCTGTCTCTGAATCACCTAAAAAAGATATCTTTATAATCTAATGTGCGTCAATAAGCAAGTGTTGAAGGTGAAATATGTGTTGCATATTTAAGAAGCATTATACATAGCTAGAACACATTAAAAATGTTTGATTTTTAGGATTAATACCTGATGAGTTGAGATGGAGACTCTTTACAGACATTTTTTTATTGTTTTTAAATGCAAAATGTGTATGCATGTGGGCTTTTTTTGTGAAGTTCGTCTTAAGGTATTTTCAGAGTCTAAATTAGGGCTGGGCATTTATTGTATCTTGATAAGTTTCTAGTCATAGAAAAAATTTGGTTTTATTGTCTAAACAATAATTTTGAATTGAAGGTGAATTGTTTTTTAATTTAAATGTGTTGCTGTTTTTCATACTTGTCTTCAATGTATTTTTCAGTGCAGCATATACAAATTTAAATATGATTGAATTCAGTTACGTTCAGACACGTTTAATGGTATAAATCATACTTTTCTAATCATCAAATATGATTTTCAGGACAATATCACCCAATGTTGTGATAAAATCTCTAGTACCTATTGCCTGGCACTAGAGTCTGTTACTTCTAGTAATGATTGCTTAATTTCTAAACTCGCTGACAATAAATCCAATTAGTTGCTCCATTCCTAGACAATCTATGTCCTAAATTTTCCTAGAAGAATCCATAAGCGCTAATGAAAATAAAAGATTCTTGATGGTTTAGTAAAGGTGTCACAGCTGGCTGCACGAAGCAACTTTTTTAAATTGTTTAATCCGCCAATTCTTTTTTAAATTAATGAACTGATGGCCACAGGTTCTTTAAAGAAGATTTTAGACAGAACTTGGCGAAAAAAAATGCCCTTTAGGTCTTCTGATTAGAGCCCATTAAGGGACAATTTTTTTTTTTTTTTTATCTTGAATGCAAAGATTTATATATATTTTTTTATGTTGGTATAACTGCTTTAAGTTGGTTGCTCCTTCAGATAGATTAATGTCTTAGATTCTCTATACTCAAGTTAAAGATTAATAAATAAGTTGGCATTTATTTTAGTGAGTCATTCATCACCATTAATCTGTTGAATTGTTTCAACCCAATGTCAAAAATATGCTTTTTACTTTTTCAATAATGGATATAAATAAAAGCAAATATAAGGAAGGAATATTTTAAAGAGACACCTGAGAATAAAGTCACATGCTTTTTCAGCCAGTCTGGACTTGCTTGTATTAATGCTGTTGTGGCTGTTGGAATGCAAAGAGAAATGTTGCCAGCCCAGCAGAAATGTTTTGGAATCGCAACTTTGAATCTATATCAGGTCAACAATGCAACTGAGGTTGGATGTAGCATAAGCACAGAATGATGAACATAATGAAAATAACCAAAAAGTATTAAAAAGAAGATTTGGGCTTTTTAAAAATCAGGTTTATACAAAATATATGGGTAATAACCATGAAAAAAATCAGCTGGGAATGATTCCAAATACCATTAAAAAATTCTATTAAAATGATAAAAAAATATAAAATTTTTGAAGTGATAAGCTCCTGGTTTAAATTGTCAAATTTAAGGTGATTTCAGAATATTATCAGCTTAAAGCCCTGATTTTTAACAGCCACACTAGGGACTGGTTTTGATGAGAATAGGTCACTTCATTCAGCCCACCTCTTCCTCTGAATGTTTATCATTCCAGAGTTCAACTAAAGTGGGAATTTTGAATGAAACTCTACTCATTATAACCATTTTATGAAAGAAACCACCTGTTGAGTAGCTGAGCACACATTAGAACCAACTCTTAATGTTTATTTAGATTGGCCTTGATTTCCATTTTACTTCTAAGCTTTATATCAGAACCAGAACCTCTTGTTTAAAATCTGAGATGTAAAAGTAATAAAATAAACTATAGAGTTAAAAAAAAACTACTACATTCCCCTTGCCTTTACTTACCTACCTTTTAATCAAGGAAAAAAAGGAGGAATAAGACAAGTCGTATTTGTTTCAAGGCATAAGTCCCTAAACAAAACCGGACATTTTCATTTGTTTAAGATATCTGATCAGAGGCAGCTATATTAGTGCTTTATTAGCAGCTATAGAGCTTATACTAGCACATAGCTACATATATATATATACATATACATATATATTTTTTTTAGATCAAATGCCTGAGAATTTCCACTTAGAAATTGTTTTAGCGGGGATGAAAACACTTGTCTTTTACAGACATTTTTATTAATGTAATCCGGGCTGTTCATAAACTATTAAATACGCATTTGAATGGGTTTAAGTGCAGTAAAGTAGTTTTTTTCTCACAAAAACTGTTTGCTAAACCCACTTCTGCAATCATAACTTCCTGAAGTAAGTGTTACCCAACGTTTTCTATGAAGCCCTGCAAATTGCACAAGACATAGAGCAGTAAATGGGGGGAGGAAAAGCACCAGATATGACCAGAATTAGTCACAGTAGTTTTAGTTTTTATTGTTTTTCTTATTTTACAGGTTCTGATAAAATGCTTTTCCTTCTTCTCTCAGAGTGCCACCTTTATTGAGTGTCTTTAAGAACTACGCTGGTGAAGATTCTCAGTCATCCAGGGAGACAATTAAGGGATTTTCTTTTGTATTCTAGTTTGATTTTCTTGGTAGCTTGAAATTTGCTAATCACAGACATGTTCAAATCTCATTTACTATATATTTTGTCCCGCTGATAGCTGACATTATGAAAAATTGAGGCTTGAAATGACCAAGATTGGAAAAGAACGGCTGTTGGAAGAAGCTTAGTCCTAAGTATAACACGGAAAACTGAATCAACAACAGAAAACATCAGATATGAATCATAGAAGAACTTTAAACAGATGTATTTTTAGTTTGTTTTGGTGATTTAACAAACACTGATTTCTGTTCTTAAAGACAACGGACATACAAATTCAATAAAAATAAAATTGAAATGACTCATCAATTCGTGCGTCAAAGGATTAGTTGACTAATATGTTAAGCCAACGCTTGGACATGCAAACAAAAACTGCTGGCCGAATGTTAAAAAAAAGGTGCAACTATAGCCAATTCCATAATTTAGTGTTTGTAAATATTTCTTTACAGTTACTGGTTAAAAATAGATGTTTAATCTTATATTTCCTATTGGATGGGGATAAAGATTGGGCACCTAGTCCCACTATGCCTGGAGGGTCTTATTAGCCGCCATATTTCTGATTTTCATCACACCCCTCGCCTGCTGCTTTTAACCCATTTATGTTTCCATCTGATGCTTTCATACCAAGCTGTTGGCGTTTTGTTAACCATGTGAGAGTCTGGATTCTGGAGCGGATCACAGCTCCCTAAGATGAACCATAGCCTAATAACTTTATATGTATAGCATGATAAGTTTTTTAGGGTATGTGGCTGAAAAATCAGCGTTTTTATTTATTTTTTTAATGCTTCCTTTTTTCTTTTTTTTTTCTAACTAAAGTATCATAAAAAAACAATGACAAATAACATTCATTACTTTCAAAAACTAGCTTTGTTTTCAATCATCCCCTCTGGGATGTAACCTTAATTTTAAGTGCAATGAAGTTCCGACTTTGAATCCCATTTCACACAATAGGGCTGTCTCCGTCTGATATTGACATCAGAAATCTTCTGATATCAGCCGCAAAAACAAATATTAGAATATATTGATCTTCCTCTAAAATCTCTGTCATAGAAACACTTTTCTTCCATCTATTTCTGATGATTATAAATGGGTAAACGGCTGTCATACCTGATGTCGTTTGCTATTCTGTTTAAGAAATATCAATTTAGCAAACCTTTTCTATCAATAAACACTATAAAATAAGCACTAAAAGTTTGTATGATTCATCTGGCGGTGTATTGGGTCACTATCGGTATTGGTCAATACTCAAGAATAGGGTTGGGAATTGATACGATTTTTACAATTCCGATTCCTTATCGATTCCCTTATCGATGCCGTTTAATGGAAAAGCATTACTGTTCATTTTTGGCAAATAAACTAATCTAAATAAACGAGCGTCACGTTTCTCTCGCTCCCTGAACTATGGAGCAACTTCGTAGCATGTTTCCTTACATCCATTGCAATAGCTAGAATCGCGTAAGAATTCCAGCTACCGGTAGTTCTTATTAAACATGCTAGCTATGCAGGGCTGGATTAACGAGAAAGGCACACTCACTTAATAACCCCAAATAGATGTAGTAAATTGGTTTATTTCCAGAAATAGTAAAAGATTTACTAGGTATCACATTAAGCACAGCCAGTAGTTCAAAACCAGTTACTTACCACCAGAGTTGCCTTCCATGCTGGCCGTAACTTTAGCTTCTGTCTGGAAGTATCAAAAACTTAGCATTCGTTAAAATGTATGCCATGTTGTGTGTGCAGGTGTTTTCTACATGTTGGATGTATTTCCTCCCACGGATGTGATTCCCACTTTGCAATAATTGCAAAGCGCCTTGTTGACATCTTTCTCTTCCTTAAAAATGAAGCCAAACTTACGATTGCTTTGACAGATGGGACGTCATTTTTTTGCTTTGCTTTTCTAGACTTGTGCCTGGTCACGTCGTACTTGCTTACTGAATGCCATGTGCGTAACTTGCGTAAAAACGTGATGTAAGTCGTGCTTCCCTGCTAGGCTGCTGGTGCTGCCTGGAATCGTTAAGAGAATCATTAAGCGAGCTGCCAAACGGTGCCATGGAATTGGAACACATGGATCTTAACAGGAACCGGTTCTCTATTCCCATCCCTATTCGAAAAGGCAATATTTTTTATCTCTATTGCCAGAGGAAAAGTTATGTGAGGGCCACCTACAAAAACTGTGAAAATACAACAAAGTAAATGTTTTCAGCTGTCAACTAGTTGATGAGTTATGAGTAAGAACTAAAAGTGATGAACCTAGCAATGGAAGCCCAAAGAGTGGATTAATCCCCCAATCCGTATCTATATATTTTTAGTCATTTTATATAAATCTTTCCCATGTGTTGTAAAGTTTCTGACATCAGATATTAGATTCACCCTTAATAACTAAAGAGCTGCTTTCTGCTTTGCTTTAAGCCATTTTCTTTGTTTCAGGCTACCTCTGTAGGGAAAGAAATGGAATCCATAACTACTGTTTTTGGACTCTGCAACATGTCTGAACATTTTGAATGATATCTGCAAGTAACGATTATTTTGCAAAGCGATTATTCTGTCGATCATTTTTACGATTAATTGATTAATAATCAAATAGCCTAAAGTTCCTAAAGCAAGATTTTTTAACCAAATTAAACCAGGTGAAACTAACTTTTCCTCTAGAGAGGTTCTGGATTCCTATTGACAGACAAAAATGTTTTTTTTTTATATCTTAACTCCAAAATTTTTATATGCTCTAAGTGGGTCGCTTTGTCAGCTAAAGGCATGTTTTACAGTCTCTACACTCCAGTGAACAATTGATCAATTACTAAATCAGTTGATGATTAATTCGATTAATTGTTTCAGCCCTAATATCAGCCTTTTATCTCAATATTATTACCGATACGTTCTTTTTTTATATTTGAAATAAGTCATGGGTAAGAAAGGGTCTTAGTTCAAATGTAACCCTGTTCAAGGTACCCTTTTAAAATTAGGTCAGCCTTACCTCCAACGTTGCGTACCTTGGCCTTTAGAGGTTAATGCTAAATCCTTTCCTCTGCCTACATTCCCCATACTGGGGTTCTGGACCAGAGTTCAGTTATAAGATACAGTAGAACTTTTCATTGGATATATTTTCTATCGATTAGGTGTCTATTTCCATTTATTTTATGATTCTGTTGCCCAGCGCTACATTGTTACTAAACATCTACATTTATTAGTCACAACTGGCTAAGAATAAGACGTCTTTGATTTTTATCAACTGCATAACTCATTTTTAGAAGGGCTTTATGGAACAGGGAAGTAAGTTTGTATATGTTTTAGTTAAAATGGACACATCTTGACCACATCTGCTGCGCTTCAGAGTTTCAAACCAAAACATATCTACCATGTCCACTCTTTGTACCAAGCAGACGAAAATTTGGGCTAAAAACACTTTGTAGGATCAAGCAGGGTGGAAGTCCAGAGCGTTGTTTGTTCCTCTGCGAAAATACTGCGGTTATCTTGACCGTAAACTGGATTTGAGACGGAAGAGTGAGGAGAAAGCCAAATGTCTTCAACATGGGGATGTGATGCGTTGATCCAGAGGCAGTATTTATTGAAAATTAGTGGCTTCTATGTTGTTTTTGTTTCCATGACATTTTCAGGAACCCTTCCTTCAGCCAGCTGCCTGGCTTTAGCAGCAGCTGGCTGAAATAGACCCCCGTCTGCGTTTCCAAATGGAAAATATCTTCTAAACATGAAAAACGCTGGGCGACTGAGCGGGATACTGATTTAACTTTTAATTTGTGTCACAGTGCCTTCCTATTTATTCAGTGTCAATATTACAATAGACTGTCAAAGTTTTGCCTGAAACGCAACTAATTATAGCCATTTAATCCCAACATGAAGCTGCGCTGTCAACTAGTAAAGATGCATCAAACAGTGTTGATATATTTAGATTTCTCTTATCCAGTCTCTACTAAATCTGTGCCTTTTTTTTTTCCCCTCCAGGCGTACAAAGGGAGGAGGACAGGAAATTAAGGAGATACCTTGAAGGTCTCCGTCTATCCACATTTCAGCTGGAGCCAGAGAGGAGGCGGAGGAGGAGGAGGAGGAGAGAAGGGAGCCGGGGAGCACGAGTCGTGCCTGCTTTTGGCAGCTTTTCCAGCAGCCACTTGGGTTCACTTTTCCCCCTCCTGCATTGCCTGTTTTTGGGCTTTTGTTTATTGATGAACCAGTTCATATTTTTAACTTTGTGAGATTCAACTGCTGTAAAACAAAAGAACGGAAACCTAAGATCTTCAAGAGAGTTTTATTTTTTTGTTCCATCATTGATTTTCAAGATTCTTTTTGTTTAATTTTTTTTTATGTTTTACAACTTTATTCAGCTGTGAGTAGCAGGAGCTTCCATTCTCCAAACTATCAACGAAAGCCCTTCCTTCCTTAGATAGGACCTGATAACCTGGTATTCCTCAAGCACCTAAAACTGGCAGCTATTCTCTTCGTCTTTGTGTGTTTGGGGAGTCCTTCTGTGACCACAGCTTAAGCACCACTCAGCCTTCTAGTCACCTAAGCCTAACTAAAGCCAGCCAGCTCTAGCCTGGTCCAGCCCAGTCTAGCCTGCTCCGATTATTTGGACAGGGTAAGGAATCAGAGAGGACTTTGATTACTCTGCCATTCATACTAATCCTAAATGTGTCTTATAATTTAATGTGTATCTGTTCCCCCCCCTCAGATACTCAGTTCTGTTGGGACGTGAGGAATATGACTGCTGAGACTCTTAACTTCGGCCCAGAATGGTAAATAATTCACTCCTACTTTTATAGCAAAAGAGCTCAGTATCTTGCTTTAGAGTTTTGGAGGGAAGGATCTGTTTTGCTTTAAGAATTTTCTGAATCTGAATTAATTTCAAGTCTGAAAAAGAAATATGATCGTGTTTGACACAAATTGATGAAGAGAAGTTTCGGAAGGAGATTTGAAGATTCTAGAGTTGCTTCTTGGTTTGTTTGTGCCAAATATCTTAGTCTATTACTGCAAAAAAAATAAAAATAAAATCACATTAACTCGCATTAACACTACGACTCCTAGAAATCTGACCCTACTGGAGCCGTTTCTCAATATGTGTACATTTGCATTCTCATGTGCTTGTGTACTCATGAAACGTCATTCTCTACTCTAGTACTGTTCAAATTCACAAAAACAAGAATGCACAAAGTCCCCGGATGTTGTTCTTGGCCCTCCCTATTTACTCAGCATGCATCAGAGCAGACGTGTCCATTCTGGAGATTGACACTGCGGCAGCAGCAGTTTTCAATGGAGCGCTCACAAAGCTCTGAGTATTAAGTTGAAATGTCTCCTTTCTTTTGCCATTGTTCAATAAAAGTATGTTTTAAGATTATCTGAGGCAAGAACATTATACTTTTAGGCGTCACTATATAGTCCATTTACTGATTTTTGCTTAATAATGAAAAAAATAATAATAATTCGAAGTTGAGGTGACTGTGGCAACCATCGGACCCCCTAGGGTAATGGCAGCCGGGACTATCCGCAGCCTGTCTGCAGCAGCCCTCTCTTGGCATAGCCATGTGTGAAGCAATTTATGTGACTGTGTTAACTATTATTCCCCCACTAAATGAAGAAAAAGAATTTATTATCTAGAGACTATTAATAACGGATGGTAACGTCACGAGTACACTTCTGTTCCAATTGACCCATATTTATGCTGCGTGCTCCTGTTCTCCCCAAGTCCAGACTTTCCTGTGCTCTTCTCAAGAACATACTTGGCAAGAACACGAGTCCGTACTCGCGTTCTAGTGAATTTGAAACGGCCTCGAATTCCCATTGGCAGTCAATTTGACGGGTGACATTTTTCCCAATGGAATGTAACACTAGTGATGTCATCGACTGAAATGTTTCTAGTGTGCCTTATACATGTTAACTTATTGTGGATATGTAGACCTTAAAGCATGTCTAATATACATTTTTTTTAAAAGACTAAGTTATATATCTGTTGTCAAAATTTTTATTAAACATTATTTAATTGCAATTTTGTTTACAGAAATTAATTGATTCCCCATCACATTTCCTGCACACCGCCGTTTCATATTTATGACAAACCCAATATGAACGGTTTTACGTGCAGCGCTGAAGCCAAAGATGGCTCTTCTGTGACAGAGGGTTCAGTAACTTGCGGCCCTCTGGAGCACATGTGTCTTCAGTGCTTTGAAGCATTTCTAAAGCGTGTTTTGCGGTTGGATTTCTTCATAGTCATTTTTCCGTGTTAGCCAAAGAGTTCCAGATATTTATCGGTGGAATTTTGGTTGGTTCGGCTTCATGTCCTCTCTACTTAACAATGCTAAATACTTTTTTAAGTCTCTTCTGTTCCTGAATTAAAACTTTAAAGTGTGAACAAAATGTCAGAAAGTTCTGTCTGAGGTCATGCGTTGGATTTAACAAGGTTGGGATAAATCAACCTTAGCATGGTTAAGTCTTTTCTTAGGGCTCATTAGCAGCAGCTAGTCGACGTTTCTTCCGCTTCTCATCAACTGTAGTCCCTTTTCTGTTTGAGATTTGCGGCGCAACCTGATCCAACATCTTCATCAACATTTATTATCCCCAAATGCTGGGGTTTTTCCATGGTTTGTCATATCAGCCATTGGCAAGATTCGGGTAGAACCAGCCCATTGTCATTTGACTGTTGATCTGGACTTGTAGTACTATCGCTTGCTCTTGGCGTGATAAAGTCACTTTAAGTAATCAGCTCTGGCTGTGAAAGATATTTTGGTTTCAGCCAGTCCTATTTATTTCTGAGGTTAGAACTGAAGCACTTCCTGCTTTGACGTTTTGACAAACTTGCTTACAATCAGGTTGACACACTCACAACAAACGTGCTGAATTGGTCTGCATTAAGGTGAACGCATGGAAGGACGTCCCGAAACGGGAAATTCAACCTGTTCAACATGTTAAAGTAGTAGTAGTGGATGAGGTTGTGTATGTATTAATTGCAGGGAGGATCTGCTTTGGTGCAACAGGTTGAAAGAAAATAAATGATGCCAAATATTATATTTACATCTTTTAAACTTTTTAATTCAGGGGGGATCAGTGGAAGTTTTGCACAGGTGTGCTATTCATTCCAAAAAAATCCACTGGATTTTTTCTGCCAAGTTTGATTGGAAACTTAGAATGACTATGACCTGGATGACTTAGAATCTTCACCAGCAGCTGTGATGTTGCTCCTCTCCCTCTGGCTGCAGAAATGTGCTTCTCTGATTGGTTGATGTGGCTCGTCGAGCAGCAAAATTTAAGTTTTCCAACTCTAGAATCAGCTGCCTCAGATGCTCATGAGGCGCTGCCCCTGTTGCTTGAGACGTGCTGCAGGGCCTTTTGATGCGCATCAGCCATCTGATTTTAAACCTGCTTCTTCTGCTGCTCGAATCGCGTTCAGTGTGAACGTAGCATAAGGCAACATTTTCATCTGGTAAACAGTTCACTAAGTATCCTCCCATACAGAGTTACCATTTGACTTTTTGGAAATTCATTCTCTTTATTTTAAACAGAAGACGTTATCTTTCTTAAATCAAACCTCACTGATTTTAGGAGTAAAATGCGGATGAAAGGGAAGAAATCTTTATCCCACATGTGCTCCTATGTTAATTTAAAATGCTAACACTGTAGAGCAATGTATAACCAATTTTTTCCCATGCATTTTAAAAAATCTTGACATGTAAACCAGACTTAAGATTCAGAAAAGGCAAACAGGGTTTAACCAATTCCATATTTAAAGCCTTCCCTCTATAGAATCACTTTCATGAATTAATAATAAGCTGCTTAATGTTTTAAACTGTGCAGTTTATTTTAAAAGATTCTGGGGTATTTGCATAAAAACTGCTGGAACTATAAAGTAGACTGACAGATTTCAGTGTAGACGACCCATCTGCCCTATCTGACCACCAAACTCAAAACATTGAGTTTGTGATTGAGTTGCTGTTGTAATTATGGACTGACGGCATAATGAGTCTGAAGTGAAACTTATTTATTCTCCATCTCTGCTTTTTCTTCTCTCTGGATGTTTTGGTTCCTATTATAAGAGGACTGGAGGGGGGGTAGCCCTCCTCCTCCGTCGCCCTGTGACTTATATGTGCATTCTTGACGCTCTGCCAGCCTGTCAGAATCTTTCCCCTCCTACGCAGCTTTCTTCTCCCCTCCCTCCGTTAATCCAGCCACAAAGCTAGATCAGCACGCTCACCACAAACGACTGCCCGACCTGAATGTTTACAAGCCTACTTATGCCTTTTGGCTTTCCAGAGCTATTCGGCTCGTTTGAGGTTTTAGTTGGCAGCCCGTTAGGCGATATGTCGGTCGCTGTGGTAGAACTCAGACTGAAAACAATCTGCCTGCTAGGATTAGAGATTTACTGGAACCGGTATTAGGAATGATACGTTTAGATTATAATGTGCCAAAGGAATGCTGGTTGTTTTCTTTTTATCTGTCTTTTTTATTTAAGCAGAGTGTATAAGCATTAAGCAAAATACTAATTGTGTAAAACCCTTCAAGACTATGATTAGAGAAAGAATGTTAGAATATAAATACTATTTCAATTATTTTAAATAACTTTTATTTATAGATTTGTTGACTTTAGCTGCGTGTAATGTTTGCTTTATTACTGGGTGAATAAATGAGATGTTAAAAAGAAAATCTTTCTCTTTTCTTCTATCTACCCACCCTTGTATTTTTGTTTCTATCCATCCATCTTTTCTTGAAAGGATCTTAAAGAGCCACAGTAAAGTCAGGAATGTTCATATGAAAACATGTAAGGGTTTTTTGAGCTCTCCTCTTATTATGTAGCTGACTCACTGCCTCACTTCGATATGCTGAAAGCCACTGAGCAGCCCTTGGTGAAGCTTTTAGTTACCTTTTCCGCTCCTCACCTACCTCTACAGCTGCATCTGGTTTTGATAGGAGTCTGTTAATCAATGCGGCTCTCTGTGGAGGCTGTGAATGGAGCCATTGTTGAGCCCTGGAAGCTGGCCAACTAATAATGGCTTATTAAAATGAAATCTTCAGGTTGGAAAGCTACTATGTTATCCGCGTCAAGCAGAGTGTGTCCCTAGAAGCCTTTACAGCAGATAGATGGATTTACTGCAAATTAGTACAGGATGGATGGTGTGATTTGTCTTCTGAAGTGAAATAAAATTTGAATAACAAAGAAATTCGACTTGTTTTATTTATCTTTGTACAAAGCCAAATCCAGTTTCTTTCTTTAACCGTTATCAAAAGGCTCAGAGGCAATAGATTTCTCAATACGTCTGTGCTTGTCTTTATTCAGGCTTCGTGCACTGTCCAGTGGGGGGAGTGTGACGTCTCCCCCTCCTTCCCCTGCCATGCCAAAGTACAAGCTGGCCGAGTATCGCTACGGCCGAGAGGAGATGTTAGCACTTTATATCAAAGACAACAAGGTAAAAATGTTGTACATCAATAGTTTACCTGCGTTGGTTGTTTAATTGCTGTTTATTTACTAGATTATAGATCTCTGCTGATTTATTTCTTCAGTTCTAATTGGATAAATTGTATCTTAAAAAAAACAACAAAGGGAATTCTGTTTGTTGGTCTTTGGGATTTTTTTTTGGACACAGTTTAAGTTTTGAAATGTGTTTCTGTCCTCCCTAAGCACAGGCTGTTTTTCTATTCAGGTCCCAGAGGACATGCAGGATAAGGAGTTTGCTGCTATTTTGCAAGATGAGCCCATGCAGCCCCTGGCACTGGTGCCTCTCACCGAGGAGGAGCAGGTCTGTCTGTAGACACAGCCACACATGGTCTGACCACCGCAAACGTTGGCACACTCCAGCCTTTTCACCCACACTGAGCCTCGCATCCTAAGTGAGAGCTCACATTTCTCACATTCTTTTTGCTTTTCTCTTTCCGCTCTCTTTGCAGAGAAACTTCTCCATGTCCGTGAACAGCGCAGCAGTGCTGAGGCTCATGGGAAAGGGAGTGGCCAGTGCTGCTCCCACGGGAGTCGTTCGAGGACGAGGGGCCGCTAGAGGTGGTCGAGGTCAGGTCTCCTCTGAAGCTTTTATTTGTTTAAAAAGTGTTTTTTTTATGCATATGCTTATACTTTTCACAAAAGAAGTCAGTGTGTTTTAACAAAAATACCTAAGATTTTAGCTGCTGCCTGAAACTCATTAGCCTCATGAAGTTGTATTAGAAAGGTGCTGGAACTTTGCAAATTAAGAAGTAAAAAAACAGAAACCCCATGCAGAAGCTGGAGAAATATCAACTATGACATGTTGGATATTATTCATAAAGCTGCTTTGTTAACTTAATAAATATTTCTTTACAGTGCATGTTAGGCTTGACTGTAAATAAATGGAGGGAGATGTTTAAAAAAAAAGGCAAAAACAAACAGCTTTGGCTTAAGAACACTTTTGCTAAAGCCAGCGAAGCCTCCAACATCAACAGCACTCCAGTCTGAAACTACAATAGCTATTATTTGAGCAAAGCAAAACAATTATTCAAGGCAGCTGCTTAAGTGTTATTTTCCTTCACCGACCATCTTGAAGCTGCACACTTCCCTTCTGCATGTCTAAATAAACCTCCTTTTGTCCGTCCACACCTGCGTGAAACCTCTGAGCTTAGGATCTTACCTTCTCCACACACGGTGCTCAGAGCGCCAGTGTAAACACTCAGCCTCTGCTTCAGTGGAGACGATACTACCTGCTGGTTAAACTGGGAAACAGCTTTCTTAGATAGAGTAGAGTAGAATAGAATAGAAAACCCTTTTATTGTCCCGCAACTGGGAAATTCTGGTGTTTACAGCAGCAAAAAGATTATAGAAAAAATGGTAACACAAATGTGGACCTTAGAAATAAAATAACATAATAGTGAAGAGTTAAAAGATAAACAAAAAAATACTGTAAAGTGTTTTAAAAATATAAATACTGTGCACCTGGAGAATTAAATTGCAGTATGCAGCTATGGACATTTGTAACGTAATGGATATTTGAAAATAGCAGCAACATCAGAGATGTGTAAAAATGACAGCAGCTGTTATTTAACTGACTTAAGATAGAAACTGCAAAATCAGCATGAATGTAACAACTTATTCAGGTTGTTGGGAACAGTGTTTATCATAAAGTCTTCCAGCTGCTGGGAGGAAGGATCTGTGATAATGCTCCCTGGTGCATTAGGGTTCAGCAGTCTGTCACTGAAGGAGCATAAATTTGTTTGCTTGATTTCTTCTTTATAGTATGTTATATTTACCAATAAGTTTGAAATTAGCTTCAACATAGAGCGAGAGTGTATGCTAGCTGTTTTCACACCAACTATAATTATTTGCAATAAGCAAGCAAATTGGATTTGTTTTAGCTGATTCTAGCTGATCAACTCGATCTGAAATTACAAATTCAGGCTGTTTATATAAAGCAATATTTATGGCTTAGCCAAAGCTAAAGGCTGACAAACTCTGAGGAGCAGAGCTAGAGGAAGTCCTGGAGGTCATCTTCATTTTAGCTGCTCTCTGTTGTCATTTTAGCTGCTCGCAATCTGTCTGTTTTCAGTGGATCCCAATGGGCAATGGAGAAAATAACAATCTGATTCATAGAAATATCACTTGGACTTGGTTTGGATTTAAAGCTATAACACCAAAGATTGCCCATGTTGGTTCCCTTTGAAAAAAACAAAAAAACAAAAAGAAAACGTTTTTAATCAAAAATATCTTATAGGCTTTTAAGAGATTTGAAGAATATATGCATGATTCTTTATCCGAACTTTAAAACATCTAGTTTTGGTATTTAAATGACATAAGGGGATACGCTGTGATGTTGTTAAATTTTTATAGCTTTTTGTCACCAAAATGATGCTAAGCTGTAGTTATTAAAGGAACCAAAAGTTGGTTCAGCTGGACCAACATTTGCTTAGATAGGAAACGCATGGACCTATTTTGATGGGATCCAAGCAGTTTTTCTGATTGCTACACTTGAACCAGTGCAGCGAAGTGTGCAGCGTGTTTTCAGCAAGTCCCCCCCCCCCCTGTCCAGTCGGCCCCTAAACCTCCGTGCTCTTTATTGCAGGCCGAGGCCGTGGTGAAGGGGGATTCTACCAAAGAAGTATTGAGGACGCTGAAGTGGGATTTAGTCGCAGCGTCCGAGAGATCCACCGCAGCCAGAGCTGGGACGACCGGTAAGTAACCAATTTGAAAAAGCATGAATTTAAAGAGATGAAAATCAGAGAACCAACACATTCTAACAAAATGCATGATATGCTTTTTATGTATTGTCATCTCACATTAGCAGAGCTCTTTCACTACCTGTCTTTTTCCTCATTCATGACCAGAAATGTTTCAATCTGCTGCTCTAATCAAAGCTTAAAAACCAGATGATCCTGTAGACTTTATCTTCTGTTTACTCTTCAGCCAGTGTAATTTTCCACCCATTTCCCATCTCTCCTTAGGGGCGAGCGTCGATTTGAGAAGCCGCTGCGGCGGGAGGTGGGGCGGCCCACTTTTGAAGAAAGCAGTGGTCCCGTGGCTCCGGCGAGGAAGGAGTACACAAGGGCTGACAGTGATAACTGGCGCACCCTTAGAGAGGAGCAGGAGGAGGAAGAGGGGGAACCAGGAACCAACTGGAGACTCTCTGGACTCCGCAGGGATGGTAGGAAGGATCCACACTGTTTGTTTTAGGGTGAAGTCAAATTTTATCACACATTACTCGGAATGAGATATATATGCATGTGAATGTGTTTGTAAAAAAAAATGGCGTTTCATAGAAAAACCATTCAGCTATGTGTCCTGGCAGCAGAAGGCTTCCTAAGAAAAGCTGCTTTTAATGATTTACTGCTAACATCACCTACAGGGATTAGTGTGGTTGGGTTGTTTGTGGTGAGGAGGGAAGGAGCCTATACTGACATCTAGAGGCTGTGAAGGGATTTTCACCAGTCAATTTGATCTTAGTGATTCCAGATTTAAAACAACATTGTTTAAAAAGAGAATAATGTTTCATTTGAAGATGTTATTGAATCTTCAGTTTCTAGAAAATTATAAAAATCGGAATTCACTAAAAGAATATGGTGTTAAAATAGTTTTTAGCATTTTCCAGGTCTAGATTTGTGCGTGTGAATACAAAACAAGAAAAACAAAAGTAAATAACTGGTGTTCAGGAATTTAACAGCTGATCAGGAGCTGACGCAGTTTACTTCCCTCCAGTTCCTGACCGCCATCTGGCTTTTAACCTCTCCTCCAAGTTGCATTTTCTGACAAAAGTAGTAGTGTTTTTTTTCCCGGTTTTTTTCTGATTATGGGCCAGATCTGCTGTTTTATCATCATAAACATGAAAAATAAAACATTTAGTTCAGTCTAGCATTGCTAACATGGAGGCAGTTTTTGAATTAAAAGGAGGCCTGAATTGAATTAAAAGATGTTAAAATTTGATTCTGGAGAAGTTTGAACTTTTAAACAGGAAATTGCATTACCAATTTAGACCTTCTTTTTCCCAGATTACAACAGAATGTTGCTCATATCATGGAAATAGTTTTAGTAATGTCCTGTTTATCTACATCCTGGCAACAGAAGGATTTAAAAGTAATTTTAAACAAAATATAATCAGATCTAAAGCATGAAGTTTCAGGTTTAGGTGCTTCAGTCAATTTTTTATTTTTATTTTTCTAGAAACAAGTTGACTCATAATAATAAAAAAAAAAAAACTAACTGTTTTTTGGTTAAATGCTGTGCAGGGAAGAATACTCTGAGATTAGGCCACAGATTTATAAGAAAAACAGCTGGGAAAAGTTATTTAATTATAAATGTGTATTAAATTAACCTACAAGTGGTTTTAAAAGATCAGATGTGATTTGGGATACATTTGGAGAAACGGAAGCAATGGATCTTTTTTTAAATCTTAAGCTGATCGTTTTGGACCCCAGAAGCTCCTTTCTTTCATCATTCCTTAAACAATCAGTCTGTTTCTGGTTGCTGCTCCAGACTAATGTCTCTCTTCTCGCTTTAGATGGTGGTCCTCGCTCAGCAGGCTGGCGGGAACACAGCGGTCCAGGTGAAGGTCGCAGAAGGAAGTTTGATTTCGACTTCCGGGACTCCGAGGGTCACGGTGCTGGCCGCCGGCGTGCAGGGAGCGAGGGATTTGAGGACGACAGGGACGGCCTGCCTGAGTGGTGCACTGATGAGGAGGATGGAGGAATGGGAACGTTTGACTCTTCTGGAGCCTTCATGCCGATGAAGGTCTGGATTAAAAAAAAAAAAAAAAAAACACAAATAAGACTAATTTTTCAGAATTGGAGGTTCTACTTTTTCTTTTTGATATTTTGATTAAAAGCTCCCACAGATAACTACCAAAGGTTAACAGCTGCTTTTTACACATCCTACTTATGGGGAATCTTTAAAAACAGACTGAAAGCTCATTGGAATATTTTATGACTCAGACAGAACCTTTCTTGTTATTTAGAAAAGGCTCAGAAAAAGGTTACACTTTAATTTAAAATAAACCCACTCCAGAGATGTAAAGTGCACATCCTCTCCTCAGTTAATATTAATAATTATTTTGGGGAAATGGACTGTGATCAATAGCTCTGCTGCCTTGCATCCAGGAGGTCCTCAGGCTTCTTCCCTTACTCCAAAGTTTATTGGAGTTGGGGAATAGGCACCTAATTTACAAATAGGTTTGAGAAAGAGGAGGGAAGACTTGTGGCTAAAGTCAAATCGGATTAAAGCCTCCAAACATAAATGCCTCCTTTCTATTGCTGCCCTACCCCTGCACCCCAAAAACATAACTTTGAGGTCTAAAAATGCCTCTAAGGTAGAGAGAACCTAGTGGTTTGTTAGAGGACTATTTAATGCAGCTATGGAGGATTAAGAAGGCTAGCCTTAATCTAAAAGCATCATTGTAGTTTATAATCTGTAGTCTGTAATCTTTTGACAGACTAAAATCACATACTGCAGCCTGTAGAATGCCATAGGTGTGTGAGTGAAAGAAGATTTAATGATAATGAAATGTGCTCCTACAGGTGTGTAAGCTTTAACGCTAGCGGTGAGTCTTTAATGGCTCCGATTAGTGTTTGGGACAAATTTCAGTTCAGTTTTGTTATGTTTGTCAGATGGAGCCTGACTTGATGTTAATGTTCTGGAAGAAGGGTTTGTTTAAAGATGTTTTGTTCCCTGCCCCACCCCTCTTTTGTTGCTCTAGAAGGGTGGCAAGGAGACAATCCTGGAGGAAGAGTTTGATTTTAAGGGCATAGAGGAGGAGGACGATGAGGAGGGCTTTCCTGATTCAGAGAGGAGCAATGGAGAAGGAGATAAAGACATGGGTGAGTAACGATGAGAAGCTTTCAATGTGTCCAAACTTGGTAACAAACAATCCTGGTTTTGCATTTAAAGTCATATTTATTTGTTGTTGTTTTTTTTTATAGAGAGTAGAACTCTCCTTCCTGCTGCAGGGGAAGACAAGATGAAGCCGCCAACACCCTCCTCCTCTCCTCCCCACTGTGCCCCACCGTCACTGGAGCTGCAGCCTGGAAGCGGCGCTCCAGTGATGGAGAACTCTCAGATGAACAGCAGCCACTCTGTCAAGGCCAGCAACGTTGCCGGGGACGGTATGTTTCCACCACCAAACCTCGAGTTTATCACATAGACGGAACCAGCTGCTGTGTTTCTTATATTCTCAGTTTGCGTAATCTTAAATTAACTGGAGCTGGGCTCTTTATATTTAGACGTCGATGTTCCACATCAACGACACATTGCGATTGGTAGCTTTCTGGCCCGGCGTGGTGTTTCTGTGGCGCCCGTTGAGGATTCTATTTTGTTTTGATACAGGTTATTTTTATCCTCAGTCATTTAATACCTTGTTTACTGTAGCTGCTGGATCGCATTCAGAGCCACCAGGCTGCTCACATCAATTAAAACCCGCCTCATGATCAGGGACGCTCAAAATAGCCCCCATTGTTTAACTCTTTGTTTGTTCTTCCTATTTCTCCGTCAGACGCGGCCTCCGTCGGAGCCTCCAAGGCACAGCTCAGCCCCAGCGTCGCCTCCAACGCCACCTCCTCCAGCCTACCTCCCCCTCCCTCCTCCTCTGCTGCTCCGCTCCACCCTCCCTCTGGGGGAGACACTGAGGACGATGAAGGCCTGAAACACCTGCAACAGGTCTGAATCCAAGCTGCATGGGGTCTTTTGCTCTGATGTTTGAGGAAAATAATTTTCTGGCATAGAAAATTAGCCTGACTCTGAGTCTGTTAATGCTAACAAGGTGGTGGTCCTCCTGTGTCTGTGTGATCTGTGACAAGATCGCTGGAAGAAACCCAGCAGCAGAGCCAGGAATGTGATTAGAAAGAAAAAACATAATAGAGGTGTGATGGTTTAAAGCCAAGTATGCTCGCTCCAAGCTTCGCAGAAATGAGGAACTCGTATAAATTAATGTAATATGTCCTGATTTTGACTACAGTTGGAGGAGAGAGGAAAGGAGTTTTAGTCAAGAAAAGAATGACTTTACTCTTCACACCTGTTTTACAGCCAAATGAACAAGCCAAGTTTAGGGGTTTTGATTTAAATGCACAGACCTAAAATCTCTAATGAAGGGAATCCTGGCAAAGCTGCATTGGAAAACTTTTTAGAATGAAAGTGTGGAATAAAAATGTGTTTCCTTACAAGTTTTTGGGCCCTAAATCACTTTACTGGGGTTTAGCATCCATTTCCTTTTGAACTCCAGTTGAATGCCTGTAAAAATGGCTGCTAATGTGTAACCCAGCGATTAATGTTAATTATCGTTTTTTTTACTGTGATTACACGAAAAGTGTTTACTAAAACAAAACAATCATATCAAGACGGTCTGTAGAAGCGGGAGGGGGGTAAACACTCCAATCAAAACATTTTTAAAAGATCAAATCAAATATTGAAAGTATCTATAACATTTGTGGGGCATTTCTTTTTGTTTTGTATTACATATTTGGATATTTTGTAGCTTGAGCTATTATATCCTGGGTTACATTTAAAATTGATCAAAAGACTCATTTATTACGGTACTAAATAGATTGAATTAGGTCCGCCTTATTAGAAATCATTTTAAAACTGCTGTGAAATAATCAAAGTTCAGTCTTGTCACTGTGTTGGCACATTTCCTTTCTTTTCCTTCGTGTGAGTCACACTTTTTTAAGACGTGTCTGCAGTAACTTTCCTTACAGAATAATTACTATAACACATTTATAGCTTATAGTTTTATTAATGGAAATCACAGCTCTGTCTTTAACACTTGCGTTCCTTTCTTTCTCATTTCCTGTCTGTTTTTGAAATTATTTTAAAATCTAGTTTTACACATTTATTAGAGGTTTAAAGTGACTTTAATTTTCTTTTAACTTTAAACAATGACGCATTCTAAAATGAATTTACAGGCTTAGTGCCAGGAGGCTGTGGTTTTCATGAGGAGTGTAGATTTATAAGCTACGGTGGGATTTCAGAGCTGATTGCAGGGGGTCAGATTGAAGGGTTTTGGGAATAAAGAGCGGAAATGCTCCAATGCTTCAACAATCCTGACGACATTTGTTGATTTGCACAGGAGGCAGAGAAGATGGTGGCTTCACTGCAGGACACTTCTTTGGAGGATGAGTGTTTCACCCAGGCTCTGCAGCAGGAGAGCAGGAACACGGCGGCTGCTCTGCCGTTATCTCATGAAGCTGCCATGAAGTGGTTCTATAAAGACCCACAGGGAGAGATCCAGGGTATGTTTTATCACGCTCTTTGACGGGACAAAGCACTTTTTTATTTTAATTTTTTTTTAACTAATCATTTCAAATGACTGAACCTGGAGCATTTCCTACTCCTGTCCTACAGGTCCGTTCACCACGGTGGAGATGTGCGAGTGGTTCCAGGCCGGCTACTTCACCATGACCCTGCTGGTGAAAAGAGGCTGCGACGAGGGCTTTCAGCCACTGGGGGAAGTCATCAAGATGTGGGGCCGCGTGCCCTTCGCCCCCGGGCCCTCGCCGCCGCCCCTGCTAGTGAGGCAGCTCCCTCCAACGCAGCGCTCGCAATCCACCCGGGGATCCTCCGGGACTGTGAGTTAAACCTCAGATGAACTAACAGAACAGGATGCATGTCTCACTGCAGTTAGATGACTGTTGAAAATGTTATAACAAAGCAGAAAAGGCTTCGTGCTGTTTGGTGAATTCTGATGTCACGTTTTTCAGGGGAACCTGGAGCAGGAGCGGCTCAAAAAGCAGCAGGAGCTGGCGACGGCAGCTCTTTATCAGCAGCTCCAACAGCAGCAGCTATTCCAGCTCATTAACAGGTGCAGAAATCTGTTTGTTTTCCTCCCTTGGCTTAATAAAAGAAAAGTCTTGATTTAAATGGTTTTGTCAGATGAACTTGTGAGTGGAACCCTGGTTTTTGTGTTCCAGGTGCAGTGAGCAGGGTATGATGCCTTCGATGAACAGGTCGATGTCAGTGCCAGATACAGGGTCCATGTGGGACATGCATACCTCAGCTTCACAGTCGTCAGGTACAGTTGGGATAGTTTGATCTTATCTCAACAGGACTCATAATAAAGCAGAGACTGACAGTTTTTATGCCTCTGTAGGCGGTGAAGCCAGTCTTTGGGACTTAACAATGAATCCTAATACTCAGGGTCCAACTCTTGAACAGCTTCAGAAGGTCGGTTCAGTTCACTCCAACTTCTCACTCATTATTGTTCCGCTTCAGTTTATATTGAGACTCTTTGATTTCTTTGCTCCCATCAGCTCCAGGAGAGGCGAGACGCCGAACTCAGGGCGAAGCGCGAGGAGGAGGAGCAGCGCAAGAGGAGGGAGGAGAAGAGGAGGCAACAGGAGGAGCAGAAGAGAAGGGTGGAGGAGGAGGAACTCTACAGACGCAAGCAGGTGGGTTCAAATAGCCTGGAAATCTATTTAAAGGTTTAAATCAGTTATTTACTTTAGACTTTATCCGGCCCCTGGGAGCCAAAAAAGGCACATCATGCGTCAACTGAGATGGTTCTAGTGTGCGATATAAACTCATTGTGGATATGTAAACCTTAAAACAGGTCTAATAAATATTTTTCAAAGCCTGTATTGTATACTATTATTATTTGTATTCTAAATTTGTATTACAAATAAATCAGTAGAGTAAGACTGTTTTACTACGCAGGTTAAATTTTATTTACTGAAATTGATTAATTCCCTCCAAATATTTCCCGCAGAACACCTTCTCACATTTATGACAAACATCATAGGAGCATTTTTTTGTGCAGCGCTGAAGCACCTGGCGCTGTTTTCTGTGCCTCTCCAAAGCTGCTCTACTGCGAGGGAGGGAGTGGAAACCTGCGGTTTGCCCGCAACTGTTTTACCAGTTCAAGGATAAAATCGCTGCATGAGAGAGTGACATTCAAACAGCTCCTGAACAAAACCAACACGTATATAGCTGATATGTTCAGGAGATCATAAATTACAACCACAGGCCACCTTTGCGTCAGAGCTTTTACAGGATCCTTTCTAATCATCTGATCCGACACGCCGACCTGTGTGGTTATAGTAGACTACGGGCTCTGGTTTGGCTTTTGGGCCGCTGAGTGTACCGGCTGAGATATGGGCGGTGCTTGAACAAAAGTTTTAGTATGGTCAGATGGTTCACTGATACCTCTGCGTTTTCCCGGGGATGGGTGATCGTCCTCGGACTCACTGTCAGAATCTGAGCGACTTCCTCCCCAGTCCTCCTCCTCTGCCCGAATCGCTATCTTCAATATTTTGAAGGATTTCTGAAGCCTGTTTCGCTGTTAGATTTCTTCTGAAAGCCATTTTTTCATATTAGCCAAAGAGTTCTAGGTAGGATGTTGGTTGCTAGGCAACCAAACATCAATCAACCACAGGAAGAAGTTACAATGAATCTGATAGAGCTGTCAAAATTTGAGGTAAAATTAGGTAGAATGATCCCTATTTTTTATGTTATTAAAAAATCTACATGAAAAAGAAGGAAATATAGAAAAAGGAAAAGTCAGTTAACATGAGTAACATAAGATTAATTTTAAATAAACTTCTTTCCCTTTAAAATCTCAGAACCGATTAAAATAATCCTCCCATCATTCCTTCGTTTTTACTACAGCTGGCTTTCTGCAGAAAAAGGCTAATGGTTGAAAATGAAAACGTATTGGGCAATGGTCTACAAAAATTTAAAATTCATATTTATCAGTTTTGGCACAAAACCAGATTTCATCTCTTGGCTAAAAGCCATCAGAAGAGATGTTAGGAGACTTGAGCTGTAAAACATTTAACTTGCTTGAGGTAGTAATAAAATTATTTCTATCGAGCTTGTTGGTTTTGTCTACATTTAATTTTTAAAAATCCTACATTTAACTTGCAGAGACCCTGATTATAATACCAAACAGTTTTACCGTCGGGAGTAAGAAAACAGTTATCTGTTATAAAATCAATAAAAATGGTGCGATTTCTCCCTGCAGCGTCAGGAGTTGCTCATGAAGCTGATGCAGCAGCAGTCCTCCCAGCAACAGGGTCCTGGAGTGGGAGGCTCAGGTTGGAGCAGCGCCTCCTCTTCTGGGCTTTCCAAGGCAGGGAAGTCTCTGACCATGCTGGAGATGCAGGAGGCAGAGAGGATCTTAAAGCAGCAGCAACAGAGAGCCCAGCAGCAAAGAGTGAGTTCAGGATGGAGGTGGGATGTTCCTGGAAACCAAACATACCGACACATTATCTTTAATATATTCATCCTGCCCGCAGCATCCCAGTCTGTCTATGGGGAGCTCCTCCTTAGGCGGGCAGTGGGCCGATGGAGTCGGCATGTGGGGCGGTGGTTTGGAGGGGAAAGGCGGAAGCGGAGGCTCGTCCAGCAGCATGGGGATGTGGGACGAGGCTGTGAAGAACCAGGGCGGCCTGCGTGGGAACGGCAACAACAACATGGGCTTGAAGAACAGCCGCAGCAGCCCCTCACTGACGTACTTAACGTTAAACGCTTGGTTAATTTTTGCATATATAACTTTTCCTCCTTCAGGTATTCACGGTAGAGCCTTTTGTGTTTCCTAGTGATCAGTACATGATGCGTCGCAAGAGAACAGAGGATGAGGAGAAGCTGCTGAAGCTGCTGCAGGGCATGAAGCCTCAGGACGGCTTCACCACCTGGTGTGAACAGATGCTGCACGCTCTCAACACCTCTGCCAACAACTCCTCTTCCTCTCTGGATGGTAGGAAGCAGTTAAGCTTTGCCAAGGGGCGCGCAGAGTTCAACCTAAATTTAGTTCAGCGGTTTAATCACAATCACAGCTACACTGTTGCCGCCTCTGCTCTTGCTTGTTGGATTATCATCCTACTCTAGGACTGACATTTTGAGGAGCTTTCATAGACTTTAGTCGTCTAAAACTTTTGGCAATAAACTTCCTAATCTTTCAATTATAAACCTATTTGTTAGATCAGTTATTAACACTTTTATTCTGCTCCTTCCAGTAACCAGTTAACTTTGTGTTTTCATTAAGTTGCCACTATTGTGGCTTACCTGAAGGAGGTGGAGTCTCCCTATGCAGTGCTGGATTTCATCCGGTCCTACCTTGGGGACACAGTGGAAGCCAAAGAGTTCGCCAAACAGTTTCTGGAGCGACGTGCCAAACAGAAAGCCAACCAACAGAGACAGCAGCAACAGGTAGGACTCACCCCTGAGAAGCGTCCCAGAGAAAAATAACGCATTTTAGAAATAAGTTTGGTTTCCCTCAATACTTGTAGGCATTTTTTGTGTCTGCTTGAATCTAGAATTTGAAGGATGATTTACTGTTTACTGTTGTAAAGTCGTAGGGAAGTGATATTTAAATTTCAAATCATTCTGGCTTAAACATGTATATAAATGTACTCTTTATCAGACCATGTTCCAAAAGTTAGAAAATTTCTATTAAAAAAAAAAAAAAAAAATCCTGTCTTAAAATCTGTGGGGGATTTTCCATTATCTTATGTGGGCCAGTTAGTTATACGTCAGCTTGTACACCTAAATTAGGCCAATCGTATATCAAAGGTCATCTGTCAATCAATTTTTGTTTTCAGTCATAGCATCTTGATTCATATGTCGCAGCTAATGTACGCAACGATTGAAATAAGAAATAAGAATCATTTCCTTTCCCATTGAGTTCTGTCCCAGTGTTCACAGGGATGGACGTCTGTGTCTTCAACAGGCGTAGAGCTAACAGAACTGGCAGCGAGGCAAGGGCTCAAACATGTACGGCTGTAAGCCTTCTATACCAAACCAAGCTTCTGCCGCCCTGGCGTCCTCTTCCACAACAACTTTGTCCCCACTTTCCTCCTCTAAATAAAAATGTATGACAGAGGAGACTCATCCACGACCTCCGACACAAAACTCTCGTCCTCATGTATGTTTCCATGTCCATAGCGTTCCTTGACAGTGTCATTTCTAAGTCACCAATTTAGTGCTACTTGACCCCAATGTAATTTCCCATTGGGAACCTACTGGCACCAAGTTGCTAATTGGTTCACAAGATGCTTCCGAGACACTGGCCCCAACAATCCCGCCCCCTTGATAAACAACCAATCACATTCATTTTTTCACTCTTGTAAAGTCGGGCACCACTCAAGAGAATTCGAAACTGCAACCGTTGGAATAGCCGCTTCCCTTAGACTTTTTAAGAAGAAATACAACCAGGGTTGCCTGATTATATTGGGTTTATTCTCAACCTAATAGTCTACATGCGTCCCAGAATGCATTGTGTTAATGACATCATGATTTTTACTTATCCCATATTTCAGGCAGGTTTTCCTGGTATCATTCAGTCCTATATGCAGCAATAAATTCTGCTTTGATTTATTGCCACCATCTTTCTTTATATTGTGTATTCTTTTTTCCCTTTAAAAAAAAAAGAAAGAAAGAAAACCCCACAGGTTCTCAAGCTCTTCTACTTTATATACTTTAACATATTATAATTCAATTCCAGGAAGTTATTGTACTATATGCTCTGGTATAATCCTGTATTTATGAATTCTAAAACATCTTGTGTTTTTGTCTTCTTTCAGCTTTCAAAAGAAGTGGGTGGGTTGAACATGAACTTCCCTCTGCAGGTAAATCTAGATACAAATACACCAGATTTCCTTTCATTTTACATAATTACATTAATAGATGACAAGCTGGTGCTACTTCCCGAAGGTTTGATGGGATCTTGCTACTCCCTAGTTTCCAAGATGCTGATGAACATTAAGCTTAAAGGAGAGCAACCAAACATGATCCATTTAGTCTGATATAAAAGCAACTGGGTCAAACAAATATTAGTGAAGGCTGCTAAACTAAAATATTCTTTAGAAACATATTGAGCAGAAGTCATGAAATGATTCTTTTTCTGTAATTTGGTTTCTCAGGACTCAATGCGAGGTATGAATCCAAGCACTCTGCAGTCCATGTTTCAGGCCAACCACATGGGCAAAGGTAGTCTCTATGACAACCAGGGAGGAAAGATGAAGAAGAAACCATCCATGATGCTGCACTCTGATCCCAGCATCTTGGGTAAGTGAAGATTCAAGACAACAGCTGACATGGCTAAAATGTATTTGATCAGAATTATGATGCTTTATGAAGACGATATAAACCCTTTATATAAAAGTTAGACTGAATTAGGCTGTAGATGACCAGTCTAACCTGAAATGCATCACAGTTTTATTGTTTTCTGGTGACAGCTTGAAACTCTGCCCTATTTTGAACTGTGTGTCTTATTTCAACATGAAATTAAAGCAAAATTTTATTTCATTTAGTCATATTTATTACGTTTTTTCCCCTAGATTGATTCTTGCTCTAGGTCCTGCATACAAGTAGCTTGATTTGATGCTGCATTTTACACATCCAAACAAACTTGTCTTGTCCAACACCGAATTGTTAGCATCAAGTCCAAAGCCTGCAGGCTGTTTGTTAATGAAATCCCAGCTTGATTTTCACAGCTTCTTTCTCAAAATTGTGTACTTTAACCCCTTCATGCAGCATAGTGGGACATTAACATCTTCAATATTTTGATATGTTAACACAAATTTAAGAAGCTGGTGATTCTGTAAAATTACCACAAGGAATTAAAATAATATTGAGGCTTTTTCCAGTTAATTTCCAGATTTAAGCTACAGCTAAATGGAGGATTAAATCGATAATAGCTTCTCTTTAAACTGTCCACAATCCTGTGCTGCATCACTGTCACAAGACCAAGCAAATAGCCTTTGATTGCTGCTTTGGAGGTCATGATTCAGGTGTGCTGGAGCAGAGACGCAGCAAGCTGGATCCTTATGACCAGGATTGAAAGAAAAAAAACAAACACCCCCCTTAATGCACGACTTACACCAACTTTGCTACTCTCTTGGCTATCCATCTTAATCTACTTTTTGGACACCTCGATTTCCCTTTTTACTGCATCGCCGCCCAAGCCTACTGTAGAACAATGTTGGACATGTAAAAGCTATTGAGCTGGATTATCTACTAAAAAATGGGCCTTTGGGAAAGCTTTTTTATGTCAGATATGAGACTTTGAAGAAAAAAAAACAAACTGCTAATTATTGCTTTTTTTTATTTCACCTTTTTTATTCTTATTTAGACGCATTATCTTAATTTAAGTTACTTTATTTTCAAACAACTTGTCAATTGTTACCCAACTTAACTATATTAATGTTTACAGAAAATGTACAAATCTGTTTAAACTAAGCAATCAATCTGAAAAGTTATTTTCCTCTGGAGTGAAGTATTTAATTTATGGTTGTGTTCTAAATCGCCCTCAAGGTTGGACCTATTTTCACTCCCATCAGTTTATTTTCACCACAACCAGTGGGTAAAGCTAATCTGGCTGGTGTGGATTTGACTTAACCAATCAGATGTTTTGCTTATAACAGCGACAAGATCATTTCTTTGGGGAAGACAGCCAAGCACCCATAGTAATAACTGATTAAATTCTAATTATAAATTTTACATATTGACACCTAATGCGTTGACATGAATACATTTATTTGCAGTTTTAATTATGACTTCAATCTATATCATTATTTAAAGCATCTGAACATAACCTCAGGGAATCATGCTGTGGGAAGAGGACAGTAGAAAATGATTGCAGCGAATGATGGAAATCAGTCCCTGCCTGAATGAAATGCTAAAGCTGTGGGATTAAGATTTCCGTTGGAAAAGTCCAATCAAATGAAAGGCGTTATGCTTACCAATGAGGTAACGTTACCTTTCTCTCTGTCCCCCCTGCAGGTTACTCATTCCACAACACAGGCGATTGTCTGGGCATGAATGATATGGAGATGGTGGAGGATTACTGATGTGACACAGCGCAGCAGCAATAGCTACCTGAGGCCTTTTCTGTCTTTTAATCAGACAAACCTGATGACGAATGTGCACTGCTGGGGGAACCTGGGAGGGGGGAGGGGGGTGAGTATGGGGTCGGGGATTGGAATAGAAGGGAGCAAGCATGAGGGAAGGTGTAGGGTTAATCCCTTTGCCTCCCTCTGGTTAAAAAAGGGCTCCCTGCTGCACCAGTTGATCACTAGAGCAGGGGAGGGTGAGCCGGGGTGAGGTTAGGATGGGTATCCTCTGGCACTCAAAAGTTTAAGCACCTTATTCTGAACTAATGCACTTTATTGAGATGGGATTTGACTAGTCGTTTTATTTCACGGTGTGTGTGTATACATTTGTGTTTGGAATCGATGCGCGCAGGACGACGCGTGTTCGTACGCGTCGCCTGCCCGCATCTGAACTGGAAAGCAGGCAAGGAGGCGAAGGAGTCGGCGAGGCGATGTTGGGTTTATACAAGTCAGGGGGACCTTTTTTTTTTTTTTTTTGTTCGAACCTTATCAGAAAGCAAATCCTTTCTCGAAAGACAAACACTGTTGATATTTCTCTTGTTGAGCATTTTTTTTTACATTTATATAAAAAGTAAAGCTATTGAAAAAAAAAATGGAGTATAAAAAACTTGAAGATTTGCACTTGCCTAAAAAAAGAAATGAGAAAAACAACAAAAAAAAAAATCCAACAAATGGGGTTAGTTTATAGAAGTGAATATTTTTGTGAATGTGAGAGAGCGAGTGTGATAGTCTGCACAATTTTTTTTTTTTTCTGTTGCTTACCAAGATGTATGAAACATAAAGAGGCCATTTTGTCTTATTTTTTTTTTTTTTTTCCAGTAATTTCTCCTCATGTTCATGTTTGTTTGCTCCCCTTTATTTTCCAAACGGATCGGGGGGGGTTGGATTATTTCATGTTTGCTTCAAGAGTGTGACTGAACCAGAGAGAGAGGGCAAACTGCACAAACATCCTTTCTCTCACCAGCTCTTCATCTTCAGCTAGATCTTAAAAAAAAAAGATGCATACGGTTTGTAAATGTTAGCTTTGTTGTCATGACACAAAAGCTCACCGCTGGTTTAATTCCCTCTGCTTTGCTGCCGTCGGCGGCTCTTAAAGAGCCGGCAGATGCCGCAGATCACGAGGGGCGGTTAGCCCGTGGGCGTCTGAGTGAGACTTTCTATGTATGCATGTGTTTTTTCAGAAGATGTGTTCATTTACTGTTCATAGAAGTGAGTTAAGACTACAGGTACTCATTTTGTATGTGCTTTTTTTTTTTCTATGTGTATGAATGCACATTTGTGCCTAAGAACTTTGATATAGGGTGCATGGCCATTGAGACATTAACTCTTTTTCGAGAGCGGATGTGATGTGTGTCGGTGCTCAGCACATTGTATGTAAAGTTTGTAAGTTTATATGGTAAATATTTCTAGTTGTCTGTTTTTGGGGGGGTGGGGTGATCCATCAGAGAGGTTAGTCCAGTTAGTTTTTTTTTTTTCCTGGGGTGTGATCACGTTGCCTTTTGTCAGCTCTCGATCTTGTGAATGAAAGGTGTCGAGCTTCTGACTCTGGAAAAAACAAAAAAAAGAAAAGAAAAAATACAGCATCTTTAATGTGCAACGGCACCAACGGTGCGAGAAATGTTAGCATATTGTGTTACTTCGTTGTTGCAATTTGATAATGCGGAGTTTTTTTTTTTGTTTTTGTTTTTTTTTTATGAAAATATATATAGAATATATACATTATATACAAAGTTTAAAAAGTATTTGGACTAAGATGAGCACTTGGGGCTGCTATTTGTGTTGTGTGTTAAATTTTTTTTTCCCTAATTTGTTAGATTTTTGTTTCATTGCCATGTGAAGTGTATTATTTTTTTTTTCTTAAAACATTGAATGTATTCCAAAAAATATTACAAACCCGTGCTGATTTTTTTTTATTTTATTTTTTTTTATGTATATTTTTTCCTCAGAAGATTTCAAAAAATGGAAACAGAAAAAAAAATAGCTTCAGAGAGGTTTTCATTTCCACAGTTGGAGAAGAAGAAATGAAAACTAAAACCTCTGGATGGATACAGTTGAACACACTGCCTCTACAATCCTGGTCGTTGTGACTCGGAACTAAAAAGAAAGGACTTTTTTTTTTTTTTTTTTTCTATTCCATACTGGAGCTTTGGTTGTTTACAAACCACATGGATAACTGTGGGTGCAGTTATATATATATATATTTTTTTTTTGTTTAAAAAAAAAAAATTTTTTTGTCTTCGTTTTTGTTCCCACATGAGGCGGGTGGGGTTTGCAAGTGCGCTTCTGCCATATGGACAATGAGTGGTGTTGGGGTTTTATTTTTGTTTTGCTTGACGAGTGGCAGGAATCAGAACAGCATGGGTGAGCTCCTCAAAGTCGGCCTTGTTAATAGAAAAAAAAAAAAAAAACCCTGAGGATGGACTATGTTTTCTGGAAAACGGAGTACAGGGCAGAATGAGCATTGAGGGAACTGAGAGGCCAAAAAAATAAAACGAGGAGCACACCTGGTTTGTGCGCTCGTCTCCACGTCAACCCTCCTACGCACTCGCACCCTGCTCTCACCGACTCACCTATGCACTTTTGTTCATTCAAGCTGTGAGGTACAATTCTGGGGACGGGAGCACAATTTACAACAGGAGGATTGCTACGACTTTGATTCAAAGTCTCAGAGAAAAAAAAAGATATTCCCAAACTGAAACGAGAGACTCGAGAAGCCCCCGTCTTCTCTCACCTCCTGTATATAAGCATATTTTTGTATTACCTTTTTGGAATAGAAAGAAAAAAAAAAATTCAAATGGATGAAGGAAAATTCATGAGGCGTTGGACTGAATGTTCCTCATGGAGATGAAACCAATCGTTTTCAGTAGTTTTTAATCGGACTCACCGTGAGTTTCCCTTTACACACCACTAACCTTGAAATAATTGGGGGGGATGCAAGGGAAACAAGCATGGACTGGGTCGTTTGGAGGCGCCAACTCATGGTTTCTTATCCAGAGGTTGAGTCATCAAGTGGCGGACGCTGTCGCCAAGGATGCTACCACTTGGTTTTCTCAAACTGATGACGACCTTCAGAGCTGTGAAGTCCCTGCAGGAGGAGAGCAGCATGGTAAGTCGTCCGTCTCCTTATCTCTGACGTTTATCTTTGGATTTAGGTAGTCTCATTTCCTGATGTTGCCTATAACATTTAGTCTCCAAAAGTGATGAATGGTTGGAATATTCACTTTAATATTGGATTCTCCTTCAAAAAAACAATATTACATCACAGTTTTTTTTCTTTTGCTCTTTTGTATATCCTGTGCACCTATTTTTATAAATGTTTCGAGAGCCGTTTTGTACTTTCTGTAGACCTGTAAAGACACTGCAATCACTACTATGCAGATGATATTCTGCTTTATATCTCGTCTCAACAGTTTTAAACAGTTTTTTTTAATTTTATAAACTCTTATAAGACCAAATAATTTTCTTTGATTAAAGGCTAATTCTGAAATTATCTTTAAACAAAGGCGCTCTTGGTTTGGATGTCTGGCATTTGGGAAAGCTACACCAAGAATCAATTTCAGCACTGAGCAAGGTTACATATGGTGTCAGTGTAAGAATTTCAGAGTTAATTTTACTCCACTTGGTATTGATTCTTTTTTTTTTTTTTACAAGTTTTAAAACTAAGTTAACAATTATCAGAGTAATTCTAATTTTACTCTATGACGAATATTGACTCCAATTAGAGTAAAATTAACTCTAATTCTGACACCGAGATCAGTGTAACTTAAACTGTACAGAGCATGACCACATATAACCTGGCTAAGTGTTGAAATTTGAAGTTTTCCTTCGGATGCATGTGTCAAGTCTCTTTACGTTTTCTTTTCTTAAGCTCTTTTCTGTCATAAATCTGAGTGGAGTTACTTAACTATGCTTTTGTTTCATCACCCAATGCATTCTACTCATTCTTAGCCAAATCTCCCCAGGTTGTTCAAGAACATGAAGCTGAACCTTTTTTTTTTTCCATTTTGGTATGGAACCAGTGGAATATGGTGAAAATGGGTCCAGTAGAAAATTTGTAATGAATTAATATTTAAGTCTTGTTTTGAAGGATAATTGAAGTGTGTTGTTGTTGTTTAACATTTTACCTTAAAAATGTTTGCGATATATCCCTGTCAGTTAAAACAACATTAATGCCAGGTATACGTCTGATGGTCAGAGTAACAACATGACATTAAAGGGCATATTGAGGATGTCTGGATTTATGTTAAGAGAATCAATGTGGGTTGTTGTTGTTTAATTGGCTTCTTCAAGGAGTGCTTGGAGTCGTTCACGTTAATTTAACTTTCCCTTTTTTTGAAGTAACCACTTTGTATAGGCAGCCTTAATCTGATTTCTGACTGAACAGTTTGATATTTTTTCTCATGTTTGATGTCTCGCTCTCTTTTTCTCTCTGTCCTCTTCACAGGTGATTGGCTTTGCTTTATTTGCTGCCCTCTGTGAAGAGGATTTAATCCGCAGCCAGCCCATGAATCGGCTCACCAAATCCTGCTCTTTTGAACTTTACCCCTAAGACACTTGTCTCGTTCCCGGACCGAGCGGCCCATTGGCATTATCAGTCGGACAGTTCATCAACCATCGCGTTTGGCACGGGGTTCGATCAGACGCCCTCCAGCGAGGAAGAGGCCAAATAAAAAAAGGGGCCTGCGTTGCTACATACAATGGTCATAATCCACCTCAGCCTGAAGCCCTGGAAAGATGGTTACTTTGACATGTATAACCAGCCCTCCTTTCTAAGAAGTCCCAAGACGAGGAAACGCAGAGAGATGGCGGCTGTCTTAAATTTGCTGCTGCAGTGGAACTGGATAGACTTGTACAAAACGAAAAGACTCTAAAACACGACAAATACACAAACACGTCGCAAAAATTCTCACGTCCAAAGGAGCGGCAAACATACACTACATGCACATTTCCAGCAGACGTTACACACCATAGCGATCCATGAATATCAGCTCGCAGAGAGACGGACGCATCGGCGCTCACCAGTTTAAACGATGCGCTTTGTAAATAATGTTAAAGTTGGTTTGGGTGACATTTTGTCTTCTTTTTTTTTTCTCGCATAGTGGGGTTTTGCTTTATTTCTTTGTTCAACATGCCTTAAATTGTATAGTAAAGTCTTGAATGACTAACTGAAAATGTTCTCAATGATAAACTTTAGTTGGAAACCACCTTGCTAACTTAATTCAGGTTTCAGAAAGTTTTCAACACCTTTTTTTTGCTTCTGTTTGCTAACAGAATTGTCTATAGACCTCACATGTTCATCCAATCACCTTTAAAAGTTACTAGCTAACTACAGAGTAGAGCGGCAAGTGTTTTGTTCTTTAAATCGATATTTGCCGGTGGTTGGATTTTTGTTGCTCTTTTGTTTTCATGAAAACGCAGAGTGAATTTTTCTGGAGGTAGTGCTTTTTTTTTTTTTTAATCTCCTGAAGGAGTTAAGGTCTGTACTCTGGGGAGCTGAGCTGACCGGGTTGCATTTAATTAACCGTCCCTCATCTCACTGCTGCAGAACTGTGTTTAAAGACTCTGAGTGAATAAGTCATCCTTAAATTTTAGATGCAAGACTCTCCATACACTCCAAGAAACTTGCATGTTTAAAAAAAAAAAAAACCTACTGATTTGCAGGTTTGAGGTACTCTCGTAACTGTACGTATTCTAAGAAAAATAAGAATTTTCTATTTTAACCTGGGTATTATTAAATGCTTACATTTAATTAATGATTAAATGTGCATAGCGTTGAGCTCCAGATATCAGGCACCAAGTGCAGGATTTATTTCCACAGAATGCATTCCTGCTCATTGACTGGACATGCTGTAAAGCTAACAAAAGTCATAGTTGCAGCTCTTCAACCCAAACCCCCCACTGCTCTGTGTGGCGATCCATATAACCAGTGTATATGTACAATAATAAAAAAGATTCCTCACCATCACAGTTGGAAATAATGACAGATGGTCATTAAATTTCTTAATTTTTATGTTAAAAAGAATTCTAATCTGGTCACCAGAGGTGCTCCAAAGAAACATTGTCTGATTCCCAGCTGGATGATTCATCTTTGCTTGGCAGTTGATCATTGGTTGATTTTGAAAGTGAAGCTTTAACTCCCCATCTGTGCTCTGAATTTAAATGCATCACCAGTCAGATGGATCAGAGTAAGTAAAGAGCCTAGAGCGTTGGGTTAAAAGGTTTAAAACATTTGGCGTTTTTAGTCTGTTTCAGTATCCTTGCTTACTATAAAAAAATGAATTTTTTTTAATCAAGGCTTAATGACCTCCAGGTTGACTATTGGTCGCCTGTAGCCATCAGTGGAAATCTCCAGAAGACTCCCATTAGGATTGAACTCATAAATTGCAGCTCGATTATGTTAAAACAAAAAAAAAGGACCCATATGCCAAAAATAAGACATTATGCTAAACGTACTATAAGCTACTGTGGGATATTTTAAGATGATTCTCTGCAGCACAATGCTTTTATGATTACATAAACTGCCGAACCTTTGGCCAAAAAAAAGAAAAGCCAAGAAGAAAAGGATGACTGGTCGCAGACTTCTTAAATTCATCTTGTAGTTATTATTTTTTTTGCAGCATATTTTTTAAAAAGGATTTTAATTGTCACCCAGCCAGTTCAGCTCCCTTTGTTTCGAGTCTTTTGAATGTTGGAAAAAAAACAGCGAACTGTACATTTAATGAAACCGTTTCAGAAAAAAAGATCAAATGAAAACTGTAAATAGTTTGCCTCCTGTTTGAAGAACAAAATAAATACTAAATAAATGGCATTTAGCTGTCACTCTTGTTTTTCTTTTTTTATAAATGAAATTAAAAATGCTATAAAATGGAAGCTGAGCTATGATATGTAAAAGTAACAGATTCTTCACATTTCTTAGAATTTTGATGATTATGGACCCTAGTTTTTAAAACGGGGCTGACCTCCCAGAAAGCTTGAGTATTGCATAAATGAAAAACGTTTTATTTGCACTCAATAAGGGTCGCCTTTTGGATAAATGACTGCATCAGTAGCCTGCAGTCTAGAGGAAGCTTTCATTTCCTGGTGAAGTGCTGACAGCAGGTGACGGAACAACAGATTCTCTGATGGTGGAATCTCCACTTTTATTAATAGGACACTTTGATGCTGTCTCACACTTAAATAAATTTCAATTTTTATTTGGAACCCCCAACCCCCCCCCCCCCCCCCCCCCCGCCATCTTGGGTTTCAGGACTAACTTTGCTAGACTTGCTTCCAAAGCTGAGTCAATCCTAGCTGCTTGAAGTCTTTTTTTTTTGTATGTTAGATTTTCCTTCCACTAAATTTCCACCTTAATATGCTTGGATGCAAGAGTGAGCATCCAGCTTCTTTAGCAATAATTGTCAATCACACCTACTTTATACTTGTTAGCAGTCTTTTATAAGCCATTTTAACTTTTTTTTTTTTCAAAAACAGTCTAAAACCAAATTTCTATTAGTAACTTAATTTTAGATTGTAATTTGTGATAGCTTTAATTAATAAGACAAAAAGAAAAATATATTAGTTTATTGTCCCACAGGGGGCAAATGAGTATCAGCAGAAAGTAAAGGAAAAGTTGAATCAAATTTAATTCAATTCAGTTTATTTCTATAGTGCCAATTCACAACACGTCATCTCAAGGCACTTTACAGTTCACCTGATCATACAGTCAAATTGATACAAAGTTTTCTATCAAAGGAAAACCAGTTGATTGCATCTACTCATTGACTCAAATGCAATCCCTCACAATAAGCATGCTTTTAGCGACAGTAGACAGTAAAAACTACCTTACAACAGGAAGAAACCTCCAGCAGCGGCCATCTGCCGAGGCCATCTGGTGTTCAAGGAGACAGAAGCAGAGATACAAAAAGCAGCTGTAAAAGGCGGCCCGGTCCAGGAAACACACAGCCAGGCAGACGAGCTCCAAGCCAGCTCCTATGTGAGAGAATGAAGAGAGCACATCCAGCCAGTCACAGTCAGAGAAACAGGACTACACTGGAAAAACAGGCCCATCTCCAACATCTATAAACAAAGATGTTGACGGCAGCAGCACAGCTGATATTTCTCTCCAGGATGGTGTCACAGCCAAACAGGAACAGACAAGGCGAAGCTACTATGAAAAAAAGCAGAGAGCAGAACGTTAGAGATTGAACTAATAGATTCTGCAGAATGGGAGAATAGAGATAGAATGAGGTAAAATGATGAAATAGGGGTCCCTATGTCCTCCAGAAGTCTAAGCCTATAGCAGCATAACTATAGAGATATCTCAGGAGTAAATTATAGTGTTCATTTATTAAAAGGGGATAAATAGTTGTAATTTATAAGTATTAAATAACTTAACGACAGTTTTCCTAGATTTGCCTGTAAAAATGTTCAAATCTGCAGTTTTATGGAAACCTGCTGAACCAGAGGGAGGGGGGTTAACAGAGTCCCAATCTGTTGATCAGAGTTCTCGCGATAGTTCCAAACACATGGCTTCTGACTGGTGTGTTTACAACTTCTCCAGGAGCTACAATGAAAAGCACAGAACTTCCCTGTAAAGAAGACACCCGCTGATTTTTGGGGGTTATTTTCTTCGTGCTTGTGTAAAGATTTGAAGCCGCAGAGAGGGAAAAAAGACACGAAGCTCAGCGTAACCAGGCAGCAGAGCTACAGCAGGTATGTAGCTCCGAACTGTTAGCACAAGCTAATGCTAACTAAGGCTAAACAGAGCTTGGTGGCGGTATTCCTTGATAATAGTGAATAAAATCTAAATTCATTAGCCTCCTCGGTTATTTTTAATGTGTAAATTCAACAGGGAACGGACGGAAATGCAAATGGGGATTTGCAATATATTGTTTTGCATTTTTAACCCTCAGAAGCACGACAGGCTGTTTTTGAAGTATCTAACATGTCACGATTAGCTACAGGTGTTTAAAAAAGCAGCTTTTATGCAGTTTATCAACAACAGTTTAACATGCAGGAAAAGGATAGTTTTTTAAAGAAACGAACGGTTTATGTATATTAAACAATTTGGTTTATTACTGTTTGCAATTGTCAAAGGAGGCTTTCATTGTTTTGCCACATTTAGTGAGAAAAGGGAAACAATTTGAAAACAGTACCTTTGTAATATGTAGTCCAACCTGCAGAACAATATTTCTGCAGAATAATAAATGCAGAAATGTTTTTGCATTTCGGCCATTATGATTTGTGCTCAATTTAGACTTGATCTTCAATTTATTATCAAATTGATGTGTGAATTATTATTTAGTCAGTATTTAATACAGCTGACACAATAAGGTGTTAAAATATGCCCTGTATTCTTTTATTTATTTAATTCAATTCAGTTTATTTATATAGCACCAATTCACAACACACGTCATCTCAAGGCACTTTATAGTTCAACCAGATCATACAGTCAAATTGTTTAAAAGTTTTCTATCTAAGGAAAACCAGTTGATTGCATTGACTAATTGATTTGAATGCAATCCCTCACACTAAGCATGCTTGTAGCGACAGTGGAGAGGAAAAACTCCCTTTTAACAGGAAGAAACCTCCAGCAGAACCAGGCTCAGTTTGAGCGGCCATCTGCTGAGGCCGACTGGGGTTGAAGGAGACAGAAGCAGAGACACAAAAAGCAGCTGTAAAAGGCAGCCCCGTCCAGAAAATAGACCTCCAGCCAGTCACAGGCAGAAAAACAGGACTACACTGAAAAACAGGCTGATCTCGAACATACATCAACATATGTAGCCCTTCATGTTATTGAAAGATTCTCTTGATACACAAGAAAACTATTTAAAGTAATTGCTGCTTATCAACCAACCTTTTATTGAATGTGCTCTATTTTGACTTGATCTTCATTTTATTAGCAAATTGATGTGTGAATTATAGATTTTTTTTCACATATAGATTTTCAGTCCCTCAAGCAGTTCTACTGCAAGGTCTGATGCAGTGAGGATGCAGATATCTGATTCATAGCAATGCTGAAATCACTTAGCATGAATTTATCTCAGTAGTTTTTATTTTCACACTTGAAAGAGTGAACCAGGAAATAACAGATCCTATAATTAGAGCACCGACCGTCCTTAGATTGTATTAATAATACGTTTTTGCTCAGAGTATAATCTGAATGTTTCCTCCAGGTGGGTGATGTCCTCAAACCCCGAGAGACTCAGCCGTCCACACAGGAGGAAGCACTATCCCAGTAGCACTTACCTCACTCACGTCTGACAGCCACCTGCTGGACTCTGGGCCATAAAACGCTGGGAGAAGGACTGATAAAGCCATGTCTGATTCAGCTGGAGGTGGAGAGAGTGAAGGTGTGACAGCTGAAGCAGATGGGGAGCCTCCTCAACAGGCCCTTCCTCCGCTTTGTCAATCTGAGCAGCAAGAACAGAAGACCTCAGAGGACGGGCTTCCACCGTCGGCTAAACGATCCAGAATCAGTGAGGAGGAAGAACTTCATGAAGTCCATGATGGCACAACAGAGTCTACCTGCGTACAAATGAGCTCCACCCCATCTGCACAAAGTAAAACCCCTCGTTCAACAATCGCTTGTGTTAAAAATAAAATCTGATTAAGGTTTATAGTGTGGAAGAGTTATTGTACTTAAACACCTATGTTTATGTTTTTATTTGTAGGACCTAATGAGCAACAACAGCCTGAGAGCAGAGATCAGACAGAGGAAGAGTTAACGGTCAGTGAAGATGTAGCAGAATGTCATCAGAATGGAGGTGGAGGACCTGATCCTGCAGAGGGAGAAGAGACGAAGCAAGAGGTGGATCAGGATGATGATGGAGCTGCAGAGAGCCCCGCAGCAGGACAACAGTAGGACGAAGATGTTTTGTTCTAATTTTTGGTACATTAAAACTCCACTTAAAATGTCTCATAGAGGAAACAGCAGACAGAAAAAGACAGTGAGAGGTTATGTGAGTGGCAGCCTGGTGGTTAGGGCATAGAGGTTAGAATCCTGAGGGTCTGAGTTGGAGCCCCACTGTCACAGACTGCCACTCTTGGTATCTGAGCCCCACGGTGGCTGCCCACTGCTCCACAAGGAATGGATGAGGTAAAATTCTCTAATGTCAGATCAATAAAGTTAAATTATTATTAATATTATTTAGAGAAGGCTGGAAGTTTAAATAGTTCTGCTTGTGCAAGACATTTCGTTGTGTTGTAATGTTACCATCATCCACTAGATAGCATCGCTGTTAATACTTAAGTAGAGCCTCACTGGTATTTGCAAGAGAGCTAATGCCAGAGCAGAAACTAGGTCCAATCCCAAACCGGCCCCTAAGCACTACCACTTAACTGTCGTCTGTCACTCCCTATGAAGCCACACTCAGAGGTGTGGAGGGCGCCTTAAGAAAGGGATGGCCGCTTCCCTCTCACGAACCAAACCAGCTGAACTTACATTTGGATGACAGTGTTTCCTCCACCATTAGTAGCTGTTACACCCACTGCAAAATTCCAGCGAGCCTGCGCTGATGAAGACTCGCTAACTAAGGGCTGAACGGTCCATTCGGCTTACTTACTAGATGGTTTAGGACGGCCCTTAATGTGGCGGTCCCTCAGTGGGAACACACAAGCAGAATATTGGCGCTTGACTGGTTTAGTATTGGGCCATGGATTGATCTAGTCTGGTTCTGGATGATTTACTGTTTAATGTTAATAAGGAAGCTGAAAGAACTTTATAAGGTTCTGTTTTTGACTATAAACACTTGATAAAGTAATCACTTAAATAGTCTCAAATCAGAGCAACATACCCTCTCTTTAAATGATAGTTTGACATTTCTGTTCTGTTGTTTTTATTATCCGTTGTTAATGGTTTTCTGATTTTTTTTTTATTCTTATAAATATGTCTATTTTGATAATGTACAAGCAAAAAATTTTTTGGTTTATTTAGTCAGTATTTAATACAGCTGACACAATAAGGTGTTAAAATATGTGTTGTATTTTTTTTTTTTATTTAATTCAATTCAGTTTATTTATATAGCGTCAATTCACAACACATGTCATCTCAAGGCACTTTACAGTTCAACCAGATCATACAGTCAAATTGATTCAAAGTTTTCTATCTAAGGAAAACCAGTTGATTGCATCGACTCATTGACAACACTACACTGAAAACTGGCCGATCTTGAACATATATAAACATATTTAGCCCTTCATGTCATGGAAAGATTCTCTTGATACATGATAGACAAAATAACTTTTGATAAATCTGTATTTTGTGATCTAGTTTCATTAAAATGTTAAGAAAGCCTCCATGTAAATGTCAGAATATCATTCAGATTGTGAACACTTGACTGGCATATTCATCATTATTACTTATTCTGAACGGTGCTTTGCCGTATTGACATTGCACAAAGGGCAATTATGCGTTGGATGTAGTGAAGCCTTAATCAGATTAGTTAGAAACCACTATTGCTAAATCTAAAACTTGGGGACTCTATTGTGAGATTAGCAAGAAACAAAGAAACATATCAGTATAGATTATTCAGTGATATATTTGAAAATCTTCTAATTTGAAAGGTTTTAGTTGAAAATGTTCTTCCTCCTAGTCTCTGTTTTCAGATTAAAATCAAAGTGTGTTGTTTGTGTTTAAGCTTCAGTGGTGTTTAGTTGAACATGTGCTTCTCATTTGTTCTCTTTAGCCTCGACTTGGATTTCACCCAGAATCCATCGATGCTGACTGGTTCCTGGACCGAGTACTCCAGCTTTCCTGAGAATTACCTCAAAGGTTGCAAATGGTAATCCTGATTGAGATTAAAATCTACCAAATTTCTCCATAACAGGTTTTTTTTATAATTAATTTTATAATCATTTTATAATCATGTTATATATATTTTTTGGCTTAATCATTCATAAATCAGTTTCAATTTATCCAATATCTTCCTTTCATTCTATTAAGGTTAAAGAGGCCTTATTGAATTGTCTAATTATACTGCCACCTGTGGCCAAAACACAGAACTACAGCTCTGTTCTGCTAGTTCTTATAGCGCTAGTATTTGACCAGTTTTTGGATGTTTTACTTTTTTCCCCTTATATGGAGTTGCCTTTTCTGTCTGAGTTAAGCTGGAAGCCGTCGCTTCTGCGTTTCCACAAAAACACATCTTGAATATAACGTTTGGGTTGCATGCTAGTTCGGGTGTATTTAACATGAATGAGCTGATCCACTGAGGTGCCAGACTGATTTTATTCATAACTAGTCAAATAAAAAAAAGCTATTTTAAAGATACTTCTCAGTAAAAACTTACAAATATCTATTTAAAGAAAAACCTCCACAAATATTTATATAGGTTTTTACCCAAGTTACCGTACTGACCCGAATAAAGGACGACCCTGATTACAAGACAACCCCGTCTTTCTAGGACCAGTTTTTAGGAATAAAACAAAAAGACCAAAAAGAAAAAAATAGACTTTTTTAATAAACAATTTTATATTCAAGTGCTATAAATGTTATTTAAACAATATTGCATTGAAATATTTGTGCAATTAAACAATAAAAATGGGGGGAAAAGACAGTAATGACACGATTAATTGAAATCTTGCTACATGGAATCTAAACTTTGCTCATGGAACGTCTCAAAAACCTGCATGATGCTTTTCCTCACAGACGTCCTCCGCCTCACTGTCACTCCTACTCACACCCTGCAGCTCTGCCATTTTTTCATAAGCTTTTCTTTTTGAAAGTGCCCTCTTCTGACATTGCTCTCTGTAATCACGTATTTCTTTGCTGCCTAACAGTTGTTTGATGCCTCCACTGCATTGACCGCCATTATTTTAAAATTGGTGTCACAACTCCTCTTCAATCGTCTATAAACTTGTCTGACATTTTATCGACTCTGTTCTGGGCAGCGATTCTCCATTTGTAGCATCCTTGTTCTCTGTTGTGATGATTTGGCTTTCCAAAAAAAAAAACGGCGCCCCCTGCTGTTGCGTTTATGTAGCGAACGCAACATCGTCATTGTTAATAAAAAAAAAACTTGTCTTATATTCAGGCCAATATGGTATATATCAAATGATGCAAATTCCTCTCTCCTTCTGCTATGAACCCAGGGCTCCTGATGGTTCCTGCATCCTGACCAACAGTGCTGACAACATCCTCCGTGTGTACAACCTCCCCCCAGAGATTTACAGCTACAGCTGGGACTCTATCCCTGAGATGGTGAGTTCACTGTCAGATTATAGATAAACCGCTGTTCAGTTTTAGAAGTTACCAGTGCTATTTTTAGGTTCATTTAAGGAGACCGACGTGTTCGTTGGTGCAACGTGTTTTGCAGTGTTTCCTCATTTTTTGGGTTTGGGATAGAATAAAGTAACTTTTAGGGCAAGAATTTGTGGTTTCATGTCAGAAGGGGATTTTTGGGGAATGTCTAACATTAGCTGCTTTAGTCAAATTGGTGGAATAACCATCTATTCAGCAACTTATCCATTCACCTAGTTCAGTGGTCTCACACTCAGATCCTTTTAGATACCACCCCTTGCTCTACACACACGACAAATGGCTGATTTCCCTCGCTAGCATTCAGTCCTGGTCTTCACAGCTCTGTTTCTGAGCTTATGTCCTTGTCTGGTTTGTTGAAGCAGAAATACACCAAAGGATTCCAGGAAACCCAAACCTTGAGGATTGAAATTGGAGACCAGTGAGCTAGAAGTTTTCCTTAAAGGTGAAGCTATTAGCAACGAGGTATATTAAAACCATGGTGTATGTCTTCCTGCATGTTACTAACTGCCGAATGAACAGCCAGTTGTGTTATTGTTGCAATTAATACAATAAAATGTTGACATAGCTTATGAAACCAGAATGAGGGCCAAAGATGTGCCGTTTTTGATTTTAGGTTTTCAAACTGGAGGGTTTAGAGGGTGTAGTGGAGTTGTTGGTTTACTAAAGGGACTTTTCTTTTTTTAGTTTTTTACAATTAGTGGCTTAAAATAAATTGTCATTGGTCATCTTAAGACTGTTTAAGATTTTTTGGTTCTCTCATTAGAAACAAAAAAATCAAGTTAGAAATCTCGGCATAATCATTAGATTAGATTAGATTAGATGAGCTTTATTGATCTCACAGCGGAGAAATTCACTGGTCACATATTGGCATAGGAGGAAAAAGGTGCATTAAGAATAAACAATATATATACAGTATATCAAGGTATATACAGTATATCAAGATAAATAATGATTAAGGTGCAAGTGTACATGTATCACACACAATTTAAAACAAAATAAAAATAAGATATGAAAATAAAAAATACAAGGGAGTAGCACAGAGATTTGAGGTGTCATATGTGCAATCCGGATGGCTTATATACAGGTGGATTTACTTTTACATTAAAGTGTAGTGGGTAAGGAACAACGTTGAGGTAGTGGTATGACTATTATATTCACATATATTGCACAGTCAGCATATTGCACAGAATATTAATTATGGAGTCAGAATTGAATTTCAGCAGCCATATTGAGTAAATTACATCAGCGGCCTATTACCATCTAAAAAAACATTACTAAAATAAAAACCCATAGTATTTAAACCAGGCTTGGAGAGAATAATCCATGCATTTGTCTCCTGCAGGTTAGATTATTGTAAAGAGCTATCCAAAATGCTGCTGCTCTGGTCTTGACCAGAACCAGGAAATACGACCATATTAGTCCAATTCTCCGATCGCTGTACTGGCTTCCTGTGGCTCAGAGAATAGACTTTAAAACAGCTCTATTTGTGTACAAGTCTTCTCATGGTTTAGCACCAAAGCACATCTCTGACATGTTAGAGCCGTATGAACATATCGGGCCTCGAGATCCTCAGGGAGGGGTCTCCTGGTGGTCCCTAGAGTCATCACTAAATATGGTGAAACCGTGTTTCAGTTTCATGCTGCTGAGGTCTGGAACAGCCTCAGTGAGGACGTAAAACCTGTTTAAATACAGATTGAAAACATGCCTATTAAGTGTTGCCCATGGCGATTGATTGTATTTTAACTACTTTAATATATATTATGTATTTGCATATATTTGTATTTATTGATTTGTTTTATTGTGTTTATATTGTTGGTGTTGCTGGGAGGCACATTGAGTTGCCTTGTGCTGTAAGAATAAATTAGCCTTGCATTAATTTTTCATCATTCTCAGCCTAATTCCTTTGCCTTTTTTCACTTGATCATCTTTTTGTGGTTAAGGCACAACAAATAACAGATCGAACTAATCGGACCGATCCATCTGCTGATCTGACTAACCATCCAGACAGCTCATCAAACCCTAAACCCTTTATTCACCCGACTTTCAACAAATCAATCCTCCAGCGATTGGCCCAAATACATCTGCAAGCTCAGTCATTCATACATCCCCTCAGCCAACCGACAGACCGCCCCTCCTCCGGTCCATCCACCCACAGTCTGAGTCATATGAAATGTATTTCTAAAGATTTAACAGGTAGAAGAAAATGGTTGTTTTGTCTTTTATGATTTGAGAAAATATGGAGTGCAGGGCCAATCTCTCTTTTTCTATTACAGCCTGGCAGATTGGGATCACTGAACAAAAATAATTGAAATGTAATCCATTTTCTTCCACAAATATCTCATTCTTTTTTCTTTTTTTTTCCTCACAAGGAGAAAATTGAGCTTGATTTCTTTATTTTCGCAGAAGCAGCCGTCGGCCTTTGATTTTTACTGCGAGTTATAGCCTGTTTTATTGCCTCTAATCCCATACAGTGGTGCTTGGAAATTTATGAATGATTCCTATTTTTTTTTTTGATCTCTCAATTTTTATTCCTAGCAAAAAAGGTGATGTAAAGCCGTCAGATTTTCCAGCTCAACAAATGAGAGGAAACGTCTCAGCTGGTGATTATATGAGGAAAAAAGGCCAAAACGCTGTGAGGCTCATTACTTCATAAAAACCCATTTAAAGGTCTAGAATACTGATGACTTTCCCCATAAGCTGTTCGCATCATTTCCGTCATTACAATAAAACTTAGAGGGCCTGCTATTTCTAAACTTAAACTACCTTTTGGTTCAGCTATAAAAGCGCGTCATATCATGCATGTTTGAATCACTTTTTGCTCAGTAAACAAACCTCAGTAAACGTCCTTCTGCTATTTTTCTGATTAGGGAAGACTGATCACTTGCTCTGAATATGTAAAGTTTGTGTCGTGAGTAGAATAATTTGCTTTAAAAGCATCTTAATCAATGCTCGATTACGTGAATTATTCAAGCTTTAAGTGCTCAGTGTTTCCTAATATAAAGCTTTTTAGAATTTGTGCTTTTTTTAAAAAGAAAATAAGGAAACCTCAGCTTTGTTGTTTCCTGTTCATCCGTTATGTGTAGCTCATTCACTTCAATGATAAATATTCATTTGATAGGTCATACTAGCTTTGTCCTCTGGTGTTTCCCATTACCTTCAGCTTACACACAGCCGTCTCTTTGCACACCATTGAACAGTCTTTTAAACTCCGAAGGAAAATTTATAGCAGCCCTTTTACTGGGGTCCTTGGAAATCTCATTTCATGCCTTGATAATCTTTACTGGAAGGAGTAGAATCTGATATGTCGCCTGTTCGTCTGTAGCTGGAATGGGACAAAAGTTACACCTGACTGTCATCCATTTAATACACCAAACTTCACATTTATCTTCTAATTAACTTTCTATTATACAGGAACATATGCTATGTTAATTCTTAGTTTGGAAACTTTGCCGTTTTTATTCATTTAAGAAAATGTTTTTGTTTTTTTTTATTTTATTCTTCTTTTAAAGATGGTGAAATGTCGGTGTATGAATTGCTGACGAGATGTTTTAAATATTAAATGACCGGAAACATACAGCTTGAATTTGTGTTCAATAAATAAGAAAATTGTGATGATGCGTGTTTCTCTCCCATCCAGAGTCCCGTGCTGAGGATGGCTGAAGGAGACACCGTCTATGACTATTGTTGGTTCCCCAAGATGACCTCATTAGAGCCAGACACATGTTTGTGAGTTGGTTATTTTCTGCTGATTCTTGAACCCTAAGCTCCCAGTAGTTGAGCTCTAAAGCAGAGTTTCATTGATAGCTTTTAATTAGGTTAAAAATAATCGCAACTTTCATTTTTGGCTAAATCGCTCAGCCCTAGTCTGTGTTTGATCTTTTTTTTTGCCTTTCATTGTCTTCCTCTTGAGTTGAAACTCTAATCCACACAGTTATTGCCTCCCAACTCAAATCCCCTGCTTCATTCCCCGACTTCTTGGTAAACTACAGATATGAACTATGTAAAGGAATGGGTTTCATTAGACATGTTTTGTATTTCTGCTGGTTAAATAAGTTTCATTAAAGCTACAGTGTGTAATAATTACAGGGATATAAAGTCAGAAATTGAATATATTATACATAACTATGTTATTTATCATCACCTATGAGCTCAGCCTTTTAACCATAATATTTGCGTTGCCTTAGAATTCGTTATTTATAATTACATAGGAGCGGGTCTCGCAGCCATGGAGGCAGACATCTTTGCGCTACGGCAAGTGCAGAGGCAACAAACTAGCAATTGCGAGATCTCCCATTACGCTCGAAAATAACTACGGCAAGTTGAGAGAGATTAACTGAGACGGTACTGAACAGTAGATGGCAGTATTATGCCTGAGAAGCGTTTAGTCTGCCTGAAACCAAAGAAGAAGAAAAAGCAGGTATACTGCGCCTCAGTAACAAGAAAGGTGAACAAGGCGGCAGGCGTGAGTGACTTTGCAAACTGTTTGGCACTGTGTGGCCAAACATCAGACGAATGGAGGATCATGCCTACTCTGTATCACAACGAAAAGCGGCGGACACCGAACCCCCGTCATCTAAGAAGCGGAAACACGACGAGAATAAACGCAAGCGTGACAAGAAACGACAAAAAACACGGATCAACATTGGCACGGCATTTACACGATGGAAGTCACTGATGGAGGAAAAAGGTTTTCAAAGTGACGCTCAAGTTGCCAGTTTTCTCTTGGACAGGTAATTAATCCTACACACACAATTGTCTAATATCACTGCAGTTTTTGGAGTACAGGATGCTCAGACCTGTCTAAAACAATAACATGCTGCGGCGTGATGATGCTGTTACTCTCCAGTATACTTATTCAGCAACGTCCCTGACGTTTCACAGGTAATGATTCAGTAATTTTCTGTAAAATAATTTTCTGGATATATACCTCGGTTACTTCTCTCCGGCTCCTTTGGAGATCTTCAAGCCTTTCCTCCTCTGCTCTAGTCACCCCGCTGGCTCCCCTCTCTCGCCTGGCCCTAGCTGCATGCCCTCGCCCTCTTCCTCGCCCTCTTCCTCGCCCTCTTCCTCTCCCTCTTCCTCGCCCTCTTCCTCTCCCTCTTCCTCGCCTTGTAACCCCCGTGCCACAAACAAGACTTGGACTCTGTAAACGGGGATTATATATTCTTCCAGCGAACACAATCTCGCTGTTAAACTAATGACTACAATTACTTCATCTGTTTATATCACCATGCAAAGCAGCTCACCAAAACGTCACAACGATGTAGAAAAAATAACGGGTATATTTATTATCTAAAGTCTACATGAAATCTATACCCTACACAGACTAATGAAATACTATCTGTAAAATTATCTATGTAAACAAACCTCATCACTTGAGAAGGTAGGTGATTCCGACGTCGTGGAAGACATTTTGTCCCGTAACGCTCGCCGTACTGTTGGGGGGGGGGGGGGGGGGGGGGGGGGGAGATGTTCATGTTGCTGCAGTCTGCAGTCTGGACGTTAGATGTCGCTGAAAATTACACACTGTAGCTTTAAGCCCTTTTTAATAATTTACAAAGAGAAGTGAGGAAAAAAATTAAGAATCAGTTGATAACATACAAAGAAGAGCATCCAAAGCAACCAAACTGATCGGTCAGGTTGGGCTACATTCTGGCTCTGTCAGGAATGGACTAAACCTTTCAAATCATGTCAGCAGCAGTAATTAAAATCCCATATTTCTCTTTGTCGGTTTTGAAATCATTTCAGTTGAGTCGAGATCAATTGATCCACCTAACCGTTAATAAAGACGATCGATAACAGTTATGCTCAGCAAACTTAAAGGGACAGTGTTGAACAAATTTGGCTTTTTATTAGCAAAAATCAATTATGTAGTATTCACAAAAAATATATTCTATAAAAGCATAATAACGTCAAAAATAAAAGCATTTTCATCCATTAGAATCACTCAACTCAGCCATTTTGATCAGAGAACCTGAAGGGGACAAAGGGTGTTTCACCCGTATCTGATAACCTGTCAGTAGGAGAGTTTAAAATGAGCAAAAACAACCTTAGATCATTCTATCTACCTATTTATTTTGCCATAGAGGACACTCTGCACTCAGCTGGGAGGTAAGAAAAACAAACATTTGAAGAATCGGCTTAATATAAGCCGAATGAACTGATTTTATTTTAGGTTAATATACAGCACAGCACTTGGTACATATCGACGAAGTGCTGTGTGAGGGGGTGGGCGGGGGGCGGGGGGGCTGCCCTACTCAGAAACTCACCCATGTAACTCAAGAAGGTCAGATCTGTTGAATGTGTGATGTGACCCACAGCGCCCTTTACAGCAGTCTGAGCTCCCGTTAAACACAAGAACTGACTTCTCTAAGAGTTGTTGTAGATAAAATATATTTTTGGTTTTCTAATGTGGGGCTTATTGTAATATTATCTTTGACTCATTTAATTTAGGGGGGTGAATACACTTATTCCACCTATGGGTGCACTAATAAAAGGATACTACAAACCAGATCCAATGGAACTACCTTTCATAAGTAGGATTTTATACATCTATCCATATTTGTCTTTCAATATCTGGGTTTTTGTGTATATGCTAGTTTTTACAATCCCTTTGAACATAAATTAACTCGAATCCAACAGGAAAGCTTCCTGCTTTGTGTATTTGTGTGTATATATGTCAATAATATTTTATTATTTAATTTCGAAATTTATAACTGCATGTATTTATCTCATCCAGTTTGAGTTAATTTTAAATCTTTTTGATTCTAAATAAAAATGTGTAATCTGACTAAAAGGTCATAATTTTTTTTTTGGTTTTTCGAGGGGTTGGGACATGTAAATGCTTATTGTGAAATTATCTTTGATTTGTCTTACATGATTAAAATGAGATCCGAGGTGCCCCCTATTCATTTGGAAAGATGGTCTGACCCAAGATGGCCGCCCTATAGGCACATTGGGCTAGCCTCCAACGGGGCAGCTACGTATCAGTGTCTATGGTCTGTAAATCTTCATAAGGAAAGAGCTTTTTTTGCCCTTAGTCTTGATAATAAAAGTCATTTACAGCCTCAAAATATTATGTGACTTTTTAATTAAAAGTAAATAAAATTATTAAGTATGTGCCGTAGGAAATATGTTGCCTTCTTAAACAATCAGTATATAAGTATTTTTAGCATTTAAAATAAGAGTTATAATAAAGCACATAATTGCCAAGCTAATTAAACTAATTAAATAAACGCTAATCAAATATTTCTGCTGCTTTTAATGTCATTCTGTTGTGAAAATTCTAATATTATTTATAAAAAACACAAAAGCTGCCTAGACTGGTACTGTTAGTACACTAATCAGTTCTTTATTTCATTTTTAGCCACTATTAAGAGAATTATAGAAGGTCCAAAGAGCCACTTGGGGCCCTAAAAGTATCTCCTTTTAAATTTATTTATTGATTAATCGATTACTCGTTTCACCTGGATCATTTGCTTTGATTTACCATGAGTACTACTTCTGAAAAACAAAACAATGGAAGAGTAAGGATTTAAATGAACTGGGATTATGCAGAATGAGATTAATCTGATCCACACAGCAGAGTCCACCGCTGAAAACCTAAAAAAAAAAGAAACAAAGGTATTGGAGTTTTTTTTTTTTTAAATGCTGTGACTTGACCTTGAACAAACGCTTTCCTATGCCTAAACGCTTCAATGTGGCCTAATTAGGGAAAAAAAAGCAAAAACAGAAACTTCCCTGTAGTTTGAGATTAACTTTAGTGTTTTGTTGGTTTTTTCCCAGTGAGTTGCAGCGAAACTAAACGATAGTTTGTACGTTGAAAGCTCTTCTTTGATCACCAGGATGTTTGCACTCGTTATGGGAGCCGGTTGTGATGTCGGGGTGGGGGGGAGGAATAAAAGCTGTGAAAGCGTTGTGATGTCGCTCATTATGAGCAGTGTTGGCCTTCTTCCTGTCTGCTTTGAGGCCAACAGCGTGATTCAGTGCGACTCGGCTCAGGAAAAGCACTCCACAGCCTGCAGAACAGCATATGGCGAGATGAGGATCCTGCTTTCATCTTCCTCTTCTGATAACGTCTGTATCGCTGCGTGTAGGTGCAGGAATCAGCGACACCCTGCCTTCCTCTTCACAAACAGTGGTGAGACCTTTGGGGGCCCAGCTAACAAGCTGGGGTCGAGCTGGCAGGTCTCCCTCCTCTCTGTCCCTCGGCTCACGCCGTCTCTCGGTAACAAACCTCCCTCCTGCTGCAGCGCTGACATCGCTCCATGATGGCAGCTCTAGCTGAGCGGAGGAGGAGGGCTGGGGCGAGGAGATGAAAGTTGAATATGACGGAGGATGATCAACAAACGTCTCGCACTGACGGAGAGCTTTGTGTGTTTTTGTCAGGAAGGAGCACCTAAGCGTCTGATGAAATATCATCATAGAAAAATAAATCCAAACACTCCTTGAACCAATCAGTGCAGGTTTCTGATGCCTCCGCTCCTGCCAGGAGGGAATAAGGGTCGTCGTTATGGCTCCATAAAGCAGCGCTCGCTTCCGGGCATCGCTCCAAGCTAGCAGCGGTCTAGCATTATAATTGGGCATTTCCCAGCTCTAGAATAAAGCGACAGCTCACAGGGGCCGTAACGGAGCAACGCAGCAGAGGCCGGGGCTAATTTCCTTTTGTCTGACAGAGCCACTGCCATGATGTTTGGGCATTTGTTCAGGGCTCCGTAATTAGACTT